GTGCTCTGAGTCGCCCTTTCATTGACTTCTTGCACAAAAACATCCTTTATTAAAGAACATTCATGTGAACATACTGTTTATGGAGTGATCTAATTAAACTTGTTCTGTTCCCTGGTTTCATTCAATTCATTCAATGTAAGAAATGCTTTACCAGAAAAAGTATCCTTTAAAGTAAAAGCATTGTTTGACCATGCAGGAAACAAGGTAACCTAAAAATAAGACCAAAAAAAATCAAAATAAAAACCTGACCAACAATCGTCCATGAGGCAATGTCATCACCGTAGAAGTTACGGTCAAGGGGCTGGCGATGTGAATAAATTGGAAGTTTGAACATTAATAGCCCTTTAATGCCTTTTGTATCATATTTGATACATACTTTTATGATACTTCTATCAAATCAATATGATCAACAAATTACTAAAAAAAACACCTGAATACAGTCTGATAAATGATAAAAATGTCCTCTTGTGGTTCATCAGTTTCCAAAAACATCTAATGTATCAAACTAAATAAATATATTTGTTAAATTTTGAGGACATTTTGATTTTTTTGGTTCTCAGTAGTAAGGAAAATAAACATTGCAGCTCCAAAAAAATTAGATTTTTTTTTGCCATAATTTCTTGTTTCAGGCATTAAAGGGTTAAAAATAGTTTTTAGTGTGTGTGTGCTTAAACACTATGTGTTTGGGAAACTAATTGGGCTCCACCATTCCTAAAAATATCATCAAACAGTTTGCACCTTGTAAAATCAAAATTTTCAGAAAAAAAGTCTATTTACTCTGCAGTAATGCCATAAATATCAGAGGAGGGGTTGGTTATACAGTTTCTACCCGTGAGCATGGATCCCACTACCCCATTTGAAAGTTCAGAGTAGGGCCGAGATTTGATATTAGGGGTGACTATTATGATGACAAAACTCACTATAAAACACCAAAGTTACTTGTTTAAAGGTAACAGTTCCCTCCATCTGTGGGTATTGTAGTGTATGTGTTTGGGCCTGGTGGTCAGTGTGTCTGGGTTGAGTTAGGAAGAAAGCAAGAAAGAGGAGGAGAATTATTACTCCCCTCACTTTGGTGTCCAAACGAAGCCCCTTAGATTCCTTCAGACTAACACCTCCCTGAGGAGCAAGGATCAGACAGGTTACAAGAGCAATGAATCTGTGTGTGCACTGGTGTGTGTTTGCGTGTGTGTACCCAGCAGCCACGTTGGAAGGTTTGGTTGGACTACAGGACTAAAAACCATTGCCAGCTTTGCCACCTCTCTTCCATTACAGTTCCTTGTCTCTGTTTGCACTCCGGCTGCTTTTTGTCACTCTCCATCTTCGTTTTAAATACTGCCACATCCGTCTGTTTCTCCTTTTGGTCTTTCAGTGTAACATCCAACTGTTAATAGCCTCTGTCAACACCAGCAGTCTTTTCTCTGACTGTCTCCTCCCCCCTTTACCTTTTAAAAGGTGAATACTTTCAGCATCCTGCTTTTGTCTATGTAGCTGTCTGTTTTTGACACTTTCTCCTGCTGCTTTATAAACCTGCTCTGCTCTCTTGTCTCCTTTCCTCTCAGTGACCAAAATATACAGCCTTCTTTTTAAAAAGCACACTATGCCTCCCTCTAGTCATTTAGCTCCTCTCTTGTCTCGTGTCTCCTTTCATTTCTCTCCTCTTTCTTTTACTCGTTTGTCTCCAGCCTGCAGGAGCAGGAACGTGAGGTGAATTCTCCTCCTAATTTATCCCTTAATGTATTTTTCTCTTCCTGTCATCTTTTTTCTTCACCTCCATCTGATTCTGTCAATCAGCCTAATGGATGGATAGATATTTAAAGATATTTACCAGGAAGTGTCTTATCTCACATTTAATGTGCCTGTGTTATTCTATAATTGTAACTGGCTGCTTGTCAAACCACTAACATGTAGCAACCCTGTGGGCCCCCCACACCATTCCCCCATCTCTTATGGTGTTTGTTTCTTCCTCCCTCACCCTTGTACCAGCTTGTCCCTCTTGGGTAGAGTAAAGGGGAGCCCAGCGGACCACAACAGCTCTGTCTATTTCCATTTCCTACCCACCATCTGTCTCTGCCCCTCCTCTTTCAGACAACACAGCTGGCCCCCTGGTACCACGGCTGACCCCCTCAGTCAGCCCTCATCAGCTGCATTGACAGCTGTCATTCAAGTGTCTGAGCTGTGATGTGACAAGGGGAGGCATTGGCAGGCAGTCACTACGTTTGTGTCTCATTGGCAACATCCTTAGCATTTAGATATCAGAAGAGGCTGCATCTTTTTGTAGATAAAAAATATGTTTTTTTTATAAATATTTGCCAATACAAGTCATTGCAGCTGTAAATGGAGAATGCCAGTGTATTTGTCAGCAAAATTATCGGTTCAAGTGATCATAAGAGTATGATAAGCCGCTCAATGTTTCTACTCACTAGAGCAGAAATACATATCTGTTTAAAAAGTTTTATCCCAGTGAGAGTTGGAGCGTTAGTAGTTAAACTGAGCAGAAAAGTCATTAAAGGGATATTCCAGCGTAAATTTAATTAAGGGTCAAACCCACTGTAACACCGAGTTAGACACCCCCTTGAGAGATGAATGTTGCCCACTGCTTGCTTCTCTAGTTATACCAACTTTGGTAACGACCGCACGATAGCAATACACAGCAGTCTATGTCTCCACACGCAAACCTCAACCAAAACATCACCCTATAGCCACAAATAATGCTCAGAACAGCACCTAACTTCATTAACATTGCATATAGAGTCCCAGCCATAGTATTAGCCACCAAACATCTTTTTAACTTTGCCTGATTTCTTTAGCAAAGAGACTAAACACAACTCACCTACTCTCTTCCAGCAGCTGTTTGTTTGTGGGGGAGCCCTGATGAGTTGATCACCGAATGCAGTGGAAAATTTATGATTATTACTTTATGGAAATGTAATCAGACCGAGATGCTAAGGCAGAAAAATTACCCCGTCTGCAGTGCACATACAAGATACACAAGAACTCTGATTGCATTTCCATGAGGTAATAATCATAAATGTTCTTCCTTGAGCTGCGAAACTCTGCTGCACTCAGTGATCGACTTGTCAGGGCTCCTCCACAAACAAGCGGCTGCTGGAGGAGAGTGGGTGAGATGTGTTTAGTCTCTTTGTTAAAGAAATTAGGCAAAGCTAAAAAGATGTTTGGTGGCTAGTACTATGGCTGGGACCCTATATGTACTGTTGATGCTGTTCTGAGCATTACTTATGGCTATGAGTGGCTTTTTGGTTGAGGGTTGCACGTGGAAATGTTGACAGCTGTGTATTGCTATCATGCAGTCATTACTAAAGTTGGTATAACTAGAGAAGCAAGCCGCCAGCAACATTCATCTCTCGAGGGGTTGTCTAGCTAGGTGTTGTGGTATGTTTGACCATAAATTAAATTTATGCCAGAATATCCCTTTAAATGTCTTGAAATCCTTTCAGGGTTGAAAGGGTGGAATTAAAATTTCCAGCCAAATGGTATGTTCCTCTTCCTAAATTCTGTCTTTTTATAAAATCAATATGTATTAATGATTATCAACAGGATTTGCAGGTATCCAGTTTCTCAAAACGATCTAGATATTCATTTTAATTTCAAGCACATTGGTAGGATAGAAAAAATTCCAAGGATAATGCCCAATCAGCCTTTTGAAACCTCCTTGATTAGCACCCAAATGCCTGCACAGTCATTAAAGACTGTCGGGTGGAATTCAGCTCAGTCACTCCATTCATTTAAACAAGACCCCTGTGTTCGGTTATGAGTAGGACAAACATTTCCAGACCTTTGAATGTTTTGTAGCCAGTGGCAAAGGAGCAGGCAGCGAGGGTTTCTCAGCTTGCCTGCCTTTGTTATGTGGGAACAGACACACCCATTGTTTATCTGCATTATTATTCTCTATCGCCACCAAACCACTAATGACCTAGCGTTCACATCAAAGCCCTCTATTTATGGCAGCCAGGTTAGATCTAGAGCCTTTGTGCGGACAAAGTAATGGCTGAACTGAGTGACCCTGTCGACTAAGGGAGAAAGAAAATCTCAGTTTTGTTAAATTATTTCTCAAATGGATCACAACTGCTCTCAAAATGTGTTTTACAAGTTACGCTACAATTACAAATGCATACAACAATAACACTGGTCTGTGATGGTAAATAACACTAGCATGGCTTCGGCATGTTCAAAGATAATATTTTCTTTGGATCACAAGTGTTTATACTTGCCTTTCAGAAAACAGCTGTCTCCCTCTGCCTCCCACCCCGACCCAAGCAACTATTTTTGTGATATTATATCAAAAAAACCTGTTGCTTTGGGCTTCTGTAGGTGTGCATGTTGAATGTTGAGACACTGGATCATCTGGGAAAACAAGGAGGGAAAAATTCCCCTCGCCCCACCCCCTTAGTCTGTGTCACTTTGGCTTAAACCAAAGCATTCAAACGCAGCATCTTTAAAGTAATGTTCAAACCAAAATCAACCTGGTTTAGAAAAGAGTGACGGGAACCACAAAACTTGTGTTCAACTTTTATTTTTGTTTGCATTTATAAAGTCGAATTATCCTTAAATTATTGGACCAAAACATTTAATTTGTTTAGAATTAAAGGTTTAAAGTGAGGGGAATATTAGAAAACATAAAATTCTAAGCCAGAAAATGAAAAAGTAAATAAGAAGTAAAAATGTCTTTGAATCGCTCTTTTTCTTGCAAAACATTTTTTCTTGGTTAAGCAAAGCTGGCTTAACAATTCATCATTATATGTAATGAAAATCGTATTTTCTGAAAGCAGTACAATTAAGACTGTGATTTATTCGACTGCAAATTAACATATCAATAAGCCTTATAGGAAATGTCTCATTAATTAGTCATCCCTTAATTGGCCCTGAATGCCATTAGCACGTTGTGTGTGTAAACCAGGCGTTCATTAATAACATTATGACCCGGATCTGCTCGGTCACTCTAAGATTAGTTTAACTGTTGTTACTGCTTTAGCTGTTGCTCCGTGTTTGTGTGTGTAGACCTGTGTGTGCGTTAGAGTGATATGACACCCATGCCCATGCTGAGGCTGGTTCTGCTTTGATCAATGGGGCCTGGCATTGGGGAGTAGGTGGTGGTGGTGGTGATAGGGGGGTTGTTGGTGAGTTGGGGAGGTCTGAACCTCCCACTGGTGCTGATGAAGACGAATGAGCTAACAAGACATGACGGAATTGCTTTTGCAGAAGGGGGGGCAAACGCTGTACGGTGATATTGTGCTGAGGCCGGCCAGAGGAACAGGTTGATTTATTGTCCCCGCCGCAGATAGCCACCGTTTTACCGCCCCTCCCACCCTACTTATTCACAGAGACCCTTCGCTCTTTAATTACAGCCCCCAGCCTCCGCCATTCTCTCATCCATGTCCTTATTAGAGGAGTCATACCTCACATCATATATCCAAGCTGGCAGAGGACAACAGTATATATGAGACAGAGCCGAAGGGATGGAAGGGAGGGTGTTACCTAAAATGTCACAGCCGTGTTGATTTTGCATTCCATTACCACCTTACGGTCAGGAAAACAGGTAAGAAATACAGAGAGTGAGAAGAGTAATGAAGCCGGGGAAGTGAAGGTCAAAGGGAGATGCAGAAAAAAATGAAACCGGGAACAGATGAAATCTAGAAGAGGAGGGAAACGGGACGATTAAGATATGTACATAATGGAAAAGAGGGATGGGGGGGATGACAAATGGAGAAACAGAGAAATCCTCAGAGAGAGGAGGAGGGTTTAAAGACATGTTAAATGGTTTGGGGGGCCTGAGCATGGCCCAACCTGATGAATTCATAAGGGTCTTTGGAGGGAAGAAGAGGAAAGCAAAATAATAATAAAATGCAGAAGAGAAAAAAAAGGAAAAGTTTGAGCATTAGCTGTGAGGGAAAGCTTGGCCAGAGGCACTCATTGCCTTGCAGGTGAATTACAAATTAGTCTGTTTGTTTTGAAATGAATATGGATAATCTAAGTTTATAACACAAGTCTCCCCTGCACCCAATAAGTGGACAAATAGCTGTGCAGGTCTACATTAGTGATTCTCTGCAGCAAGAAAAGGCAGAAGGGAGAGAAGTAAGGCAATGGGGGCCGGCTCGCCACATATAATTTATCACCGCGCTGCCATTCGCTCTCTGAAATATCAGCCTATTAAAACATTCATTGAGATGATTAAACTGCAATAAAATCTAACAAAATTTGCACTGACACTTTCAGTGCATGATTTATTAGGCCAAGGCTTTGAATATGCCGCTCCAGCCCTGATACTCACACACACACTCACAAACACACACACACACAGACCTCAGACTGTGGTAAAGACCAGGAGCTGCTGCCACCTGTTGGCTGACTGTGAGCTACTATTTAAGAGACTTTTTGCTGCACTTGTTTTCTTTCTTCTACATCAGGTTTAATCTCATAAGTATGAACATTAACTTTACGCTGTTCCTCACTTTACATGAGAGTTTCTTTTATATTTCTGAGGAAGATTTACAGAAAAAACCTGACATGACAATTTCATTCATATCCTTTGCTTGTAAAAGTGAATGAAACAATCAGGCTGAACTTGCTGTTAAAGCTACAGCGGGTAACACTCTATTTGACACCTATCTGTATAATGCATTATAAATATATTAATAATGTGTTATAATCACGTTAAAGCACTGTATAACTATAGTTATAAACACTCAAAAAATATTATGATGCTTCATAGCAATAATCATAACACATTGTAAAGCATTTTATCATGACTTACAAGGTCAGGTATTATAATGTGTCATAACTGTTAACAACAGTTGCATTGCATTATCTATGTCAGCACTGTCAGTGAGTTGTAAACATTTATAGCACATTATAGTACCTGGCCTTGTAAGTCATGATAAAATGCTTTATGATCACTTTTGAGTGTTTATAGTGTTCTGACGTGATTATAACGCATTATAGAGCTAGGCGTCAAGTAAAGTGTTACCCTACAGCGTGTAACTCTTTGTAATATCAAACATTAACAAAACATTAGCATCATAGCTTTAACCTTATACCATTGTAACATATTGTTTTCTTGGGTTTGGACACTGTCCCTGTGACAAAATGTTCAATACATAGCTTTAATTTCTAAATGTCAGAGCTATTCTTTATGCAAATTTGAACTACAATCACTCATTTAGTGAAACAATTGAAATCACTGAGAACTGTCTTGCCGTGCTACCTTCATTATTTTCTATTTTACACAGCGTGATCTAGTAACCCCACTGTGTATTTCACTTCATTGAAGATAGCGAGAAGTCGGATTGTTACATATCTTGTTCCCATTTCGCTGCATTAGCCGAGGTGAGAGTGTTTCTTGCTGAACTGCTGTTGTATTGATCTGTATGGTTTATTACAGGCTGTGTAAGTGTTAATGCTGTCTGGGAAGATAGGAGGAGGGGGGATTACCTGGAAATAGTACTATTGATTCAGGTCCGTCTCAGGAGAGAGCTATATGTTGCTCAACCCATGAGGGGTACACAGTGTCAGCAAACAAAGACCACCTGAGATGCGTGTTTATGACAAGCTGCCTTTTGTCCACAGTGATGGATCTGCTTTGGACGTCATATTGCTGCTGTGGGAGGGTGTGCAGGTAAAGCTAGGGCTGTGGAGTCGATGCTCTGACAGGCAGCATGGGCCGAAATTTCAAAGGAAAAAACACTTACAGCTTTTATACGTGCATGATAGAAGTGTGTGTTTGGTTGTGTGTGGAGCGTTCATGTTCTTCATCTCTTTGATTTTTAGTCTTGGCCAGTGAACAGACTTTTGATACGCAAGAATGTTTTGGTCAACTCCCAAAGGCCAGTTTTAGATTTGAGATACGGTTCAGTTTGGGCCAAGAGCTGAGTGAGCAAGCTGGCTCGACATGGATTTACTCTGTACAAGAACCGTGAACATAACAAAGATATTTATGGAGTAAATTCCTCCAACATTAGCAGGAAAACAGAAATACTCAACTCCTGCAAGCTAGCTAGACCATGCACAATGTACTTAACTCATATTATAGAAAGCAGCTCATTCAGACAGCACTCTTCTTCATCATCATTCTCCCTGTCCTCATAGTCCTCCTTATTTGCCGTAGCAAACTTGCCACATGAGACAGAATGGGCACCACTCGCCCTCTGTGTTTATTCATTTGGATTATCACATCACATTTCTCTGAATGTATGTTGATTTTTTTTTAGAGTTTCCTTAGTCAATCCAAAGCATATAATTAGAAGCTAAGATTGCGTTGTTGCAACCTTGGCCTTGTTGGGTGATTTATTATTATTATTGTTATTATTATTATTATTTTATGTTTTCTCATTTCTGGAAAATAAATAGTCTGTTGGGTTTGGGCCACAAGCCTTTTCTACAGGGGTTAAGGCTCTTTTGTGGACACAATTGATGATTAGATAATCAGAAAAAGAGAAGCGATGGAGTAAAAATTAAGGATATTAAAAACAAAAACTAAACTTTTGTAGCAGGCTGAGGTCAAAGAAATCTGTAGAATTACCACAATGAAAAAACATTTAACAAAAGATAAAAAACGACAGCGTGGTTACTTTGACATTTAACAGTGCACCATAGCAAGATCGGCTCGACAAGAGTCGTGAGACATCAGAATAAATGTGGTGAACACAATAATGTGCATGATGGTAGTATGTAAGTATATTAGTAAATTAGAAATAAAAAAGAATACAAATGCAAATATAAAAATGCAATATATCATACATTTATGTATTCATATATAATTGTTATGATTGGATTTTTGTAGAAAAAAATGTCAAGATTAAAAAAGCTTTTTACATTTTTCCAAACATGCTGTTATTAAACTGTATTATCACTCAAGTGTGTTGGGCTGCCTAAGTGACTACATGCTTGAATATTATACCCCAGCACCACTAGTCCCTAATGTTAACAGACACTGTTGGACTGAATCTGTTTCGGCACCATGCTTCAGTGATAAAGGTCATTACTCTCTAATGAAGAAGTGATATCAGAGCTATTACTGATCACACAGGATGGTTTTCCAAGCAGAGAGGTGCTGTGGGGATGTGGTACCTGGGTGTTATCTGGGTGCTCTTTGTCACCCTGCTGGTCAGTCTGTATGTCTTGATCAGAAGGAAAGTTAAAGGTATGTTTATTTCATTTTTAATATATATTTGTTTCATTTTTATGTCTTTAATGTCATATTTTTTATCAAATCAATGTTAAAACTGACTCTACCTCTGTGAGACTTAGACTTTAACTTGCGATCATTTGTTGTTGACAGTTTAGTCATAACTTTGGTTAATTGTAAAAGTACAAATTGACATTTTGAGTCAAAGGGATGACTGTGCAGTTTTACTGTAATGGTGGGTAAAGGGGGGAGGGTCCTGTGTATTTTAAAGCTTGCATCACCGTGTCACCATCCAACAGTCCAGCTTCTATTTAGAGACAACTAGAGTCAGCTGAGCACCAGGAGCCTGTCTGACTCACTGCAGTCACGCTGACTGTTGCTTTTCACCTTCAGTCAATTTTAATAGGCAAGCACTTAAAAAGCACTTTTGGTTATGTGTATTGATTTAGATTTCAGGAGCCAACTAAAAGAAAGAATAAATGACTGTTTTTAGAGCAGCTTTTGGGGTTAAATTCAAAATTAGAAAGGTGATTTATTGGCTCCCTAAGCAGCCTGGCTCACAGGTTTTGTCTATATGCAACATCAATTACACCTATTCTCAAGAATACAATATCTGTCTTCAGTACATAAACATATCTGATGTGAAATCAGAGTACATTTTTAATCTAACAGAGCTGCAAATTGAAGGATAACTTTATTTAGCTACTTTAAAATCAAGATTTTACCAAGTGCTTTAACAAACAGGCAAGAGCAAAAGATCTCAAGCAGATTAATGTCTTCTTCATGTAGTACGCACTCCTCAGTGACCAGCCTATCAGCTGCAGCTCAAAGCTAAAGACATGATAAGGCTGCTGGGTGTAAACAAACCTGCTGGTTACAGATAGAGCCAGTTTTATCTCTATAACACATTTTTGGAGTGACAGTATGGCAGAGAGAGAAAATCTGAGGAGTAATGCTCGAGCATGCCGTCTTTTGTAGAGAAGGTCTATCAGGTGAGTGAGATACTGCTTCATATGGATTACCATGATTCTCTCTCCTGCTGTAAATGATCAAGCTGTAAGAAATGAGGTTAGATTATATACTGCAAAATATATTTTGGTTCTTCCTCTCCAGGTGGTGATGATGACCGCTCAGCACCTGAATGCAGCAGCAAATCATGCTGCCCGGGAGCTGCAGAGGAGGCTGGTGAGATATTCTGCTGACTGTCACCATCATATTGTAATGTAATTAATAAAAGTACGCAAAAGAACATGTTTATTTCCTGCTGTATGGATTGGATGGGTAGCTGCAGACTGCTGTAACTGCAAGGAGTGATACACAGTAAACAGGAATATGATTGCTACAGGAATCCAAAGACTACGTCGGTATCTTAAAGGTCAAACAGCTAACAGGTTATTTCTGGTAGAGATGTCATAATAAAACAAAGATAAATTTCAAAACACAATGGATATAGTGCATGATTTAAAAGAGACGGTAAGGAAAGTGTACAGTGAAATGTCTGTGATCTAGACATCAGGCTTTGCCTCATTATTCTTAGCCTGTCAGAAAATTATAGAGACATTTACCATTGACTACTTATTTTTGGACAAGACAAAGTTCCCAAATGTCAATCTTATAAACAGCGCAGGCAAGTACCATATATATCAGCAATAGCAGTTCCTGAGCAGAAGTTTCAGTGGATTGCATTTAGAGTTGAATTAAACTCCAACTTTTGTGCAGAATTTGAAATTTTGAAAACATCTAAAAAGCTGAAAAACTGGATGTATGTGTAAAGTGGACACATTCAGTTATTAGGGGATCAATAATTCAGTCCCAGTCAACCTTTTTGTTTCATTATCATCTAGTTTTGTGAAGCAAAAAGAAAAACACAGAAAAGGGTGGTAGTTGATCATGGGTAAATGCCTATGATGGACACTGCTTGAACGTGTGTGTGCGTGCGTGTGAGTGTGTGCCTAAATGTGTTACATAACTATGTGTGTCTCTTCCTCTGCCAAGCAGATAGTTAAGCTGCGCACCACTGCGACTGCTCTTACTTTACATAGCAGCAGGGAGAGTTACAGGTGACAGGCGCTACGTGGTCCAGCAGTAGGTTGCAGGGATTTTTACACTCAAGGACTCTTTCCCTCAGCCAGCTCCAGCTCCAGGACCATGGCACAGAAGGCTCCTATTGACCCAACAAAGATGGGGGAGGGCCGGGCTATTGCCGTGCTGACATCAGGGGGTGATGCCCAGGGTGAGTGGATGGTCCTTGAGGGCCATTTGAGAGTGGAAAGCTCAGCCTGGGCATGCTGTTTGTTTATCTGAGCAGGTGATGAGAAGATCTAGCATGTGAGGAGTCACTCCTAAACAAGATGGGTTAGACAGCAGGCTTGACGATTAATGTGGATTTATTCTACATAAAGAAACTCAAACATGCAGAAATAAAGAATTTTGAAGATTCATGGCTGCCTTTGAAAAACAAGCAGCTTAAGTTTATAGAGATCCCCATGATGGTGATCTATTATTTGCATTTTGACAGTTGAAGACACCAGTTTTAAAAGTTAAGAAGTTGCCTGTAAGTTGATAGTTAAACTTTTTAAACCACCTCTCTTCAACAGAAAGAAACTCTGTTTCTGTTACTTTTTAGAATAATACTTTGCAGACCTCCTCACTGCAACAGCAGTATCAGATTTACTTTAATCACATGAAAGGAGTGACTGATTTTAAAAAGCAAAGATGAATGTCCTTCATGTAGAGCTGTTATGGCTACAGAGAGAGACAGACTCTCCTCTGACCTTTAACTTGAAGAGGAATATCTTCACTGTGACCTTTGGGGTTTGTGACAGTGACCCCACATGCCGCTGTAGAGAGTCACCTATCCGTATGTTATCCATACTTTTCTGCCCGCTCAGCTCTATGGCACCTCAGTTCAAGTGTGCAAATGAATAAATTTAAAAGCCTGCAGATCCCCCAAAAAAGATAAATAACACTCATTATAAGTTTAACTTTCAGACATCTTGATGTCATGAAGTCCAGGTTTCTTTTGGGCAATACTTCCTCTTCTGTAACAGTTTATCTGTTACGGGGGCTAATTTTAGAGGCATGACCTTTCAGTCATGCCTTGGTAAAGTGGTGAAGTGATGTGAGAGGCCTTCCTACTCATACCATCTGTCCTTTACTCCTTTACACTGTAAACAGAGATGCTTTTGGCACCCTTAGAGCTAATTTATCCACATCTCATCTTTAAGGCGACCTGCTGGATGTTGTGAAGATGGTATCTACTTCAGTATCAAACTCAAGATTACCTTGAAAATAATTAAAAAACAGCAAACAAAGATGACCTTGTGACAGTTTTTTCATTATAATAGAAAAAAAAATAACTCAAACTGTTTCATTTCTATTTATTTTTTCCCTCTTGTGTGTGCTCGTGTTATCAATAGTGTCTCATTTGATCTTTGAGGCGATAATGACCACACTGTATCTGCAGGTATGAACGCAGCTGTGAGGGCCACAGTTCGGGTTGGACTTTACACCGGGGCCAAGGTGTATTTTGTCCATGAGGTAAATGCAATTTTTTTTTCTGTCTTCATTTTTCTTTGCAAAATTCCAATGCAAAAAAAATGGAAAAACTGCCCTCCATGAGTTATAAAAGCTCAATTAACTTAACCCCCCTCAAACAAATATGCACCTAAAAACATGCAACATGTGTTTTACGTTTTGCTTGAGAAACACTTCTGTGATAAATCTTTGATATGATTTGTGTTTGATGGACTTGTTTCTGTACCATTACACACACAAACAAGATTAATCCACCATAAATATACAGCATTCCAATACTGCAAACAGACACTACTTGGTGCCTATGCTATCCTACAGTCATAACTCCATTGTATAATTAAACATGAGCCGTCTTCCCAGTACTGACACCTATTATAGAAGTTGATAATTAATGTGTCTTTGTTGTTGTCAGGGTTACCAAGGCCTAGTGGATGGAGGAGACAACATCCGCCCAGCGACATGGGAGAGTGTGTCAATGATGCTGCAGCTGGTGAGATTAAGCACAAGAACGCAGAGGCATATTTTTCAGAATGTGCTACATGTCACTGCTGTCTTTTACATGTGTCGGGCTGGTCACATATGCGGCATGTATAATCTGTGTAACTCCAGGAACCCTGTAATCTTGCAGTGCATGTTGATAGGTCAAAAGTCATTTAAATGCCAAAGTTCCAGTCAAATAGCTAGACTTAATAGATCTCATAAACACAGGCTCAGGTTTCAAACCTTACCCCTTCTCATCTTTGCTTACGCATGATTTTGGTGTCTCCTTGCCTGATATTAGGGTGGGACTGTAATTGGCAGTGCCCGCTGTCAGGATTTCCGCACCGTAGAGGGGCGCACCAAAGCTGCTTGCAACTTGGTCAAGCTGGGCATCACCAATCTGTGTGTGATCGGAGGTGACGGCAGTCTGACGGGTGCCAACCAGTTCAGAACAGAGTGGAGTGTGCTGCTGGCTGACCTGGTCAAAACCGGTGAGAGGCATATGAGAGGCCTCTCTGGCCACCCCACACAACACTCACAATCATACACCATATTAGCTGAGGTATTACCATAAAACCTCAGCTTTACAATCTCATGTCATACTCTTTGCTTCACTCCCCTGAGTTTCCTCTCATTCATATCGATTTCCACATTTTGCTATAATTCTTTCAGTTTAAAAAAGGCAGATCAAAGTTCAGTGTATCCTCTGTTAAATGGCTCAGACTGATCTTCTTTCTGAGTGTCTGAACTGTATCTGAGAGTTTTGTTTGAACCTGCTTAGGCAAGATCACAGAAGATGAGGCAAAAAGCTCTTCCCATCTCAACATTGTCGGCATGGTGGGCTCCATCGACAATGACTTCTGTGGCACCGACATGACCATCGGCACCGACTCTGCCCTGCATCGCATCATAGAGATAGTGGATGCTATCACGACCACAGCACAAAGGTAAACATGCAACCAGTCGTATATTTGTTTTACTTGCAGAAATTATGACTTTTTTTCTGACTCTTGACAATGACGTGTGATTTTCAGCCACCAAAGGACCTTCATCCTGGAGGTAATGGGTAGACACTGTGGGTGAGTAAACTGTGTCTGTTTACAAATATACATTAGCTTATCTATGTGGATACATAGTATAACGTGCTGTTATTTTGCAATCATAAAACATCTATGCATAAGGTAAATGTTTAATCTGTTATACTGGGAACTAGAGCAAAACAAGCAGCAGCTAATACTTGGTAAATGACAGGAAACGTTGGCATGTACAAAGTGCTTATACTTTGATGTTCAAATCAAGTCATACAACATTTCAATTTGTTTTTTAAATGTTAACTTTGGGATGTAGTTCTGGAAGTTGTTGTCTTTTGGGGCACCTTTCTTCAGAGCATATTTATGTGGTGCCACAATGCCTCTGTTGACTCAGTCCCAAGCTGATGATGAAGAGTATGTTTGAGTTGTCAGCTTAGACAATGCCCAAAATCTGTTACACATCTTGAAAGTGGTCACCTTCGAAGTCCATGTCATCTTCAGCGCCACCCCAAACAGCCTGAAGGTCCCTATGGAGGACTCCAAATGTGTGCAAGCTGATGTTTCTTCCAGGCTGAGATTTTTTCAAGAGTTTGCCATAAAGGAAGATCTGGTTGGCTTCAAGGTCAACCTTAAAGTTCTGCTCGACTGCCTCAATATCTTTAGGGGAAGCACAAAGCCAGGAGTATCAACAGTGTTGCGGACGTGCTATAAGGGATATGGTTACGCTCAGACCCTATTCCTGGAGGAAGGAGGAGAAGTGACTGTGTGCAAGATAAACACCCAAGAACCAGAGGAGGCAATTGACTTTGAGTTCTGCTGCAGCAATGTTGCAGACAAGAGGATTCTGTTGCCTGAGAATCTGAAGGAAGCCTTCTCAGAACTGGATATGACCAGTGAGGTGTTGCAGCTCACCATGTCCCCCAACCCGCCATACTTCAGGTTATCTACACTAGGAACCCTGGGAATGCCCACTATGACTTTCCTAAAGACTCTGACCTGATGTAGCTGTTCAAAAGCACTGAAACACAAACCAACAGGTACGAGATGTCTCTGCTGAAACCCTCCACTAAATCGCTGGCTCTGTCTTGTAAAGTGTCAGTGAGGACAGACAGCAGGGTCTCTCTCTCTCTCTCTCTGCACTACCTGATGGCGGTCACCTGATGGAATGATGGCGGACAAATCTGCTTTGTGAAGGACTATTGTCGTCCTGACGAGGAGGTAGAGGAGGCGTGAAAACAGACCATTGAATATACATTTAGGAATAAATGCTGGACTTCACGGGCATAATGAACCAATTGGAAAGGCTGTATTGACAATTGTTTTGTAAAAAAGATTGGTGTGTGGAGCACTGGCTCTGGATTTATACAAGACAGGAAACACCTATATGTGGACCACTATCATAACAGGTTAAAATTTCCATGTAAAATGTAAAAATTGATTGTATGTGCAGTTACTGTAGAATGTATTAACCTGGACTTGAGTCAGGAGACTCTGACACAGTCCCCAACATTATGGGTTTAATTACAGGGTTTGCAAATTTGTCTGTATCCAGCATTCAGTGCCATTTTTCTGGAGCATGTCTCTCCTATTTTATCTAACTCATGTAGCTGACCTTTTGATATTGAAATAGTCTCCACCTAGTGTCAGTTTTGTGAAAGACACCTGAACCCCAGGTTGTGATTCCTCTTCACATCCAGTTACCTGGCTTTGGTGACAGCTCTGGCCTGTGGTGCTGACTGGGTGTTCATCCCTGAGATGCCCCCAGATGAGGGTTGGGAGGATCATCTTTGCAGAAGACTAATTGATGTAAACATCTCGTCCTGCATTATCCACATTACTTATTTGAATCCAGCTTACAAACAAACAAACATCTGCATGTTACTTTTGTTGGTTTTCTCTTTCCTCTCAGCAAAGAGGTCGTGGGTCCCGTTTGAATATCATCATTGTTGCAGAGGGAGCCATGGATCGCAATGGTAAACCTATTACATGTGAAGATGTTAAACGGGTCAGTAATGACAATATACCAGCATATATTGGATCTCGTAATGAGGTAAGCTGCTTAAAATTATCTTTCTGTCCAGCTGGTATCAAAGAAGCTGGGCTTTGACACCCGCACGACTGTCCTGGGCCATGTCCAGAGAGGAGGAACACCATCTGCCTTTGACAGAATCCTGGTAATGTGTGCAAAACTCGTTACAATGTCATGATTGAAATGTTAGAAGTATTCACCTTCAGGGATGTTCGTATTGTGGATAACAACTGTGAGCCTGCTTTGTATGCTTTCATGAACCAGGCCAGCAGGATGGGGGTGGAAGCAGTGATGGCTCTGTTAGAAGCTACACCCGACACTCCCGCCTGTGTGGTCAGTTTATCTGGAAACATGGCTGTCCGACTGCCTCTTATGGAGTGTGTGCAAGTGGTGAGACTCTTCATTTACATATAAAAAACTGTTCATCTTTCTCCACTCTGATCTTGATAAGTTAATGAACGAGACTTAAACTGCAGGCACAGTTTTTATGGCTCTATCAATTTACAACAGTGAAGTTCTTCTTCATCTTCCTCTTCAGACTAAAGATGTCACATCAGCCATGGCTGAGGCGAGGTTTGATGACGCAGTGAAACTCAGGGGAAAGTGAGGCATGCACTTTTGTGTTATCCTCATAAAATGTTGAGTGTTGGATTCATTTTCAAAATGTCAGTGTATTTCTGCTTATTTTTGACTGTAGGAGCTTTGAGAACAACTGGAACACGTACAAAATGCTGGCTCATGTGCACCTCCCAGATGCAAAGGTCAGGACCTACACTGTACATCAGACTGTCTGGAACAGTCAATAAGTTCCTGTTAAAGACAAATGTTTGCATTAATGTGTCTGTTCCAGAGTAACATCAACATTGCCATATTGAATGTCGGAGCTCCTTGTGCTGGAATGAACGCTGCTGTTCGTTCAGCTGTCAGAATCGGGATTCTACAGGGTCACCAGATGCTGGCAGTACATGACGGCTTTGATGGCTTGGCTCATGGAATGGTGAATTATCATTATACTCATAGAAACCAACATTACAACCTGTGCTTTCGTGACAATGAGCTATTTTCTTTTACTAGAAATGCATAGCAATGAGCATAACAAAGCCTGCATTGGTTTCTGCACAGATTGAACCTATTGGCTGGTCTGGTGTGGCCGGATGGACTGGAAAGGGGGGCTCCATGCTTGGCACAAAGAGGTGAATCGAAATCATCTTTTGTTTTGAAGTTGTTAGAGTGCATGTTTTAGTGGTTGGTGGCACTGTGATTCAGTGTTTTATTTATTTATTTATTTTAAAGAGCCCTGCCAAATGAGTTCATGGAAGAGATCAGTCTGAGCATCACAAAGTTCAACATTCATGCTGTTGTGATTATTGGAGGCTTTGAGGTGAGCAGCTAATGTATGACTAAAATTGCAGTCTGAAGTTAAAAGCAGAAGAAGAAGAACTTTATTGATCCCTGAGGGGAAATACAAGCAGGTACATTACTGTGAAGTCATTAATCGCATTTTTTTCTGATTTCTTCTTTCGTCGCTCTGCTCCTCAGGCATTTGTTGGTGGTCTGCAGATGGTGCAGGCTAGACAAAAGTATGAGGAACTGTGTATTCCCCTTGTTGTGATTCCTGCTACTGTCTCCAATAATGTCCCTGGATCTGACTTCAGTATTGGCGCTGATACTGCCCTTAATACCATAACCATGGTAAAACTCTTGTGCAACAAGTAACAGGGGGTAGACAATCTTAGATTACATGATATATCTATGTGTTCCTCAATATGTATGTTTATTTATTCCTCTTCTGTCAGACATGTGACAGGATCAAACAATCTGCTGCTGGCACCAAGAGAAGGGTGTTCATCGTTGAAACTATGGGAGGTTACTGTGGGTACCTGGCCACCATGGCTGGTTTAGCATCTGGAGCTGATGCTGCTTACATTTATGAGGAGCCTTTCAACATTCATGATCTTGAGGTCAGTTCTCAAAATAGTTCAATGTAGTGGAGGTGATGACATAGACCTGTAAAGGATGGTGTTATAATAGTTTATTTGTGTGCAGGTGAATGTGGAACATCTGGTGGAGAAGATGAAGACCACAGTAAAGAGAGGACTCATTCTGAGGTTTTCAGGAATATATGTCATTTATTATTCTATTCTTCCCTTCAGCTCATTGTGGCTTCATATTCACTTAGTATATCCATGTCTCTTTCAGAAATGAGAAATCCAACGCCCACTATACTACAGACTTCATCTTCAACTTGTATACAGAAGAGGGCAAGGGTGTGTTTGACTGCAGAAAGAACGTGCTGGGGCACATGCAGCAGGTGTGCACCTAGCTATAGATTTTCTCTTTGTTGTGCACAACATCTTTGTTTTCATTTGCCTCCAGATGAGAAGACAGTGGACACACATAACAACACCTATCTTTTCTTCCAGGGTGGAGTACCCAGTCCCTTCGACAGGAATTTTGGCACAAAGATGGGGATGAAATCTGTCTTGTGGTTGACTGACAAGCTGAAGGAATGCTACAGACATGGTGAGGACTTGATCACTCTGAAAAACATTTTACACAACTATAACACGATGGCTTCCCGCTTTCCTTCTTATAATAAAAAATGTATTGTTTTATTTACATTTAAATTAAATGTTGTACTACCTTCCTCAAACCCACAGGACGCATCTTTGCCAACTCTCCAGACTCAGCCTGTGTGCTGGGCATGAAGAAGAGATCTCTGGTCTTCCAGCCTTTGGCAGAGCTACAAGAACTCACTGACTTTGAGTAAGACCGAACTTTTATCCTGTTGGTTTTTTTTCTTGTCCAATACTCTCTTTTTATGGGTTTTTCATGTAGTTTCTCTGACTAACTGGGGCAAAGTGAGGGTAGATAATATGTAAATATGTTGACGGATTACAAGAAAGAGTAAAATAGTATGGCACTGCTGGACAGGACTACTTTCAAAGATAAAATAGCAAATTTTATCACTTATCTGAATATCTGAATAATGACAGCTGGCATTAGTATTCAACCATCTTTAGGATAACATAACATAACATAACATAACATAACATAATACAACATACCATAACATGACACAATACAACATGACATCTATGTCTTTCACAGTGTCACTAAACGCAATGTTAATGTTAGCAATGAGAGGTGGTCGAATCTTCTGTTGTTTTTACTGTCTCCCTTGAACTGAGTATCTTTGTCCTCCACAGACACCGTATTCCAAAGATGCAGTGGTGGCTAAAGCTGAGGCCCATCCTGAAGATTCTGGCCAAGTACAAGATCAATCTGGACACCTCTGAGAAGGCTGCGATGGAGCATATCATAAAGAAGAGGGGCATAGTTCCTGAGTAGTTACTCAATGTGACAATAGTGCAAAAGCACTTTAACTCATTTTTGACAGGTGCAATATTAATAAAGATGAAAACTGACAAAAAGACTCATATTTAAAGTCATTTTTATTTTTATTTTGTGCTCTCATAGTCCCCTTTCTGATGCTCTGTAGAAATATGTAAATGTTGATTCAAACTTTTTCCAGCGTTCTTCACTCTGTCAAAGAGACCTTAGAGACTTGACCAGAAATAAGTTTCCCTTGGATTGGGGGAAATTATCTATGTAGTAATCTACTAAATTTTTTTGTGACTACTTGCAACATTTTCATGGTGATACTCCTTGAAGTACACCACAATACAAGTTGTCCTAACATCATTTGCTGATTGAAGGGGTACCTATGCTTTCCAGAGAGTAAACGTTAATTAAAAACAACAGTTAGGTACGAGTGGAAATTTTTAAAGCCATTTTTATAAATGAACACTGTAATAATGAGGTGAGGCATAGACATAGGTGAACAAATGAGATAACTCCATTTATTGTGTGACTGAAAGCATTGTTAATTTGAAAAGCCTCTGTATTCAACGTTTCTGTTTACTACCAGCAGAATACCACTGCTGGTTTAGTCCATTCGAATAACCTCCTAAACATCAACAGCTATGTGACCAGTCTGGACTTGTTTCATTCAAATAATTAATTTAGTAAGATTTACAGAGTAAACAGAACGTGGAAGACACTAAGGGCCGGACATAGACATGTTTGGAGGTTCGAAATGGCTCATTTCAGCTAAACAACATTACCCACAAACCCCTTTGTTTCCGGTTGAACCGGATACACTGCCGGATTGGTTACCGAACACCTTTCAAAAACAGTCCGCCGCGGCGGTGCAGTTCCCACGACAGTTCGGAGTTTGAAACCTGTATTATCGACACAGAAGCTGAGAAGAAAATGTACCACTGTAACAACTCCATTTGTTATCTTTTATGAATAAAGGTGTTGCCGCGAGAGCTTTTTCCTGTAAGTAAGTCCCACTTCTGTCTTTTGGTTGAATTGTTGACCGTTAACGTATGGCGTTGGTCTAAGATAAACGTTATCGCCAGTGTTAGCGGAGCGCTGTACGTGTTTGTTGTTTTGAATAAATAGATAATAGATATGTTTATTTGTTAAACATGATATCTGAACTCCACAGGTGTCAACATGAAGTGTTTAAAGGCGGAGGAGTACATCAGAAGGACTTCCTCTGTGAAGGACGCGAAGCTTTTATTTCAGGAACTAGAGGTCAGCATCATCATCATCACTATTACATGGGACCAGATTAGACCCAGACATTTTCACAGTTTTAGCCAAAATATAGTATTTTGATTTATATCCCACAGCATTAAGGACATATTTAAATTTCAGAAAAACTTATTTTCCCGTCTCAGGCATTGGTTTTCATTTATTATTTGTCCTTATTTCAAGTTGTGGTCACTGTTTTTCTTCAACCCCGTTATGGACAATACGTAAGCTCTCTGAGTATGATCAAAAATATATAGTTCCAAAGAAAGCAAAGGTATTTTTATATCAGTCAGGTGTCCCCCACACTATTTCAATAATTTCATACAAAAATGACCCAAAAGCTTAAACACTTAAACATTTTTGCTGCCCTTAAGCCTTACATGTACCTATGTGTAAAAGCACTGTTGTGTTTTTTTTAATCAAAAACTTACTTTTACTGAAAAATTGTATTTAAAATCCATGATCTTAAGATATATACACACACACACACACACACACACACACACACACACACATATATATATATATATATATATACACACACACACATATATATATATATACACACACACACACTGTGGGACATAAAAGAAATTTAGAGTACAAACCTTTATTTTTACCCTAGAATCAAGTTACACACAAATATACACAAACAGAATTTCAAACCCAAACTAATGAATTTACTTAACACAGAGCGTCTAACTTATCTCGTAGTTTGTAAATGATTTTGTTCTTATTTTGTAGGAGTTTGTGAAGAGTCATCCTGGCATTCAGGGCCGCACACTTTGTGACAGGGTGATCAGAGCCTGTAATCATCACCTTGGGACTGGGTCTCTGGACTTTGACCATCTTAGTCAGTTGGTTAAGCTGGTGGAGCTTGCCCTCCATGGATATGATGCTTTTGCAGCCCTTATTGCCCAGAGCAGTCCTCTGTACATGGAAAAGATCATTTTCCACATTGTTAAGAAACTAAGCTCACTTGGAGCTCACAGCCTATGCAGCCATGTAGCTGGGTTGCTTTTCACAAGGCTAACCCCAGCCCAACAGGTGAGTATCTTCTTCTAATCTACAGAATGTATTTAAAATGTCTTGCATATTTAACCAACAGCACTAACAAAACTATCACTATTGCATGGCCAACAGGGTGAGGACTACTGTGTCCTTGTGCGGAGCTGCTTCTCAGTTCTCTGGAATGGACTTTCTGCATCTAAAGAGAGTAAAATCGAGAATCCCCGTGACAGGTTCCACTGCCAGATACAAGCTCTGAGCTTCCTTCTGCTGCTGGACACGGACAGCTCTATCCCTTCTCTCTCCAAAGCTCCCATTTACACAGAGGATGCCATCAATGAATATGAGAGCAGCTGCAGAGGGATATCCACGGATGATGCTTCTTTTCTTCTGCAGGAAATGAACACACTTTTTAGCAGCTGTTGGACTAGTGGTCAAAGCTGTGATGGGGACAGGTCTAAGCAGTCTGCTGTAACATCAAGTTCATATGTGCTCTCAGAAATGGTGCTGGTAATAGTTAAGCTGCTTTGTAAAACTTGCCATCATGGTCCGGCCTTCACCTTCTTGAATGACATTGAGAGCAAGTTTATGGACCATGCTGACTGTCAACATACAGCTATAATGCTTGGGAAATGGGCTGTCAAATTTCATTCCACAGTGAAAGCTGGTGGGGAGAGCAGCCAGGCTTTAAAGGAGTGTGCAAGGGCATTAAGGTCTCTGTCAGCTGACCTGGGGAATCAAGAAGCTCATTCAGTTCTGGAAGGATGTGGACTAGTTATGTGGGTTGTGGAAAGTGGCAACACCAAGGGATTAAGTGGACCTGTGCTCCTGGCTTGGTTTTCATTTCTTGAGGAGTACCAAGAGCAGATAATGAGGATGTTAAAGAAGGTGAGAGCAGTTACTGACCAGCTGTGGATATCTGTGGAAGTGTCAGTCTTGGAAGTTAAAATACCAGATTAATTTCAACCAAGGTTAGTTATTTTCTCTGTGCTAGTAAGTGACTTGGCCTTTGCTCTATTTACAGAACCCAAAATGCCAGGCTGAAAGCAGCAGACTGCAACATGCACTTTGTTTCAGTATCTACCAGGGTTTTGTATTTGCTTACGAGAGCATGCTGGCTTCACAGGTGAGGCTGATTCTGCAATGTCCAGTTTTTATGATGCCGATTATTTCATTAAGAAATCAAAGACAGAAGTCATACACAGTCCCAGCATGTTTTCAGAGTTGTACTTGGTGGTTTCATCTTACAGTGTTGTCTTTTTTTCCCCCAGCTGGAGGACAGTAGCACTATGGACAGAGTGCTGCTGTACTGCCAAGCCACAGCTGGACTCATGATGACTGAGCTGCGTAAACTCTCTAGTGAAAACCTTCTCATCAAAGCAGGTAAGGTTAAAAATATCAGCGGTGCAACAATTTGGATTAGCTTTTTGTTCTTCTATCATGACTTTTCTGTTTTTTTTTTTATCACCATGTAGTCATCGCAGTAAGCAACTTAGCTTGTGGATTGTACAACCAGCGTCTCTACAACCAGGCCTTCACGTTAGTTGAGATCCTGTGTAGAAATCTGAGCAAGAATGTCCCTGCCTCTCTCTCAGTGGATAGGGTAAGTTCTTAAAGTGTTATCTGATAATGCATCACATGGTCTTAACTTTTTACACATCATGGCTGTCAGAACGGGCTTTGCAGTTGGTCTTCACTGGATTACCTTACTTTTACTCGGATGTTTTAAAATAATCTAAACCTTTATTGAATCTGTAGAATATTTGTCGTCATAATCTGTATCATGATCATACTTTCTAATTGTCCAGTTGAGCCGACCCTTCATGCTAGCTGTGCAGACCTCACGGCGAGCTGGACAACTAGAGCGAGCACTGGATTGGGTGATCCTGTGGCTGAAGGCACTGGGGGACAAAATAACCACACACATGGCTGAACCGGTCTCACTCTGGGTGAAAACCAAGATTGATGCAGCCCGAAACTCAGAAGAGGACATCCGTCTGAGGTACAGGCTAACCGATGAAGGGTCTTTCATACAGCCTTTGTTGTTATTCATAACTTTGAGTTAGTGGTAGAACAAGACAACACATGGGGTACACATAACAAGAAATAACACTGCTGGTTTGTTCCATCCCTTCACAGGACTTTACATGATGGTTTTGGTCCTGATGTCCCAGATGAGCAAGTAATGCTCTGCCTTTTGGAGGAAGAGCTGCGTGTGTACAAGGAGGTGGCAGGAGACACAGCCCAGGAGCGTTACAACACTCTGTGTGATCTGTTGGACATCTGCCATGAGGGGAGCTCCCACACCCATTTACGAGCTGTTTACCTCTGTGAAATGGCCCAAGTTGTGTGCTACCAGGATTTCAGTGAACTGACTGACTGGTAAGGATTTTGGCAGGGACTGATATTGATTTTCAGGGCTGATACATAGATCAGTTTTCAGTAGTTTATGGGATTAAAATGTAATATTCAGAAATGTCGGCAGTCGATAAAATAAGTGAAATTTGAAAGCCCCATTGGTCTAAATGAGGCAGCAGCCAACAGTTTTAATGTTTCTTTCTGTCTTTTAAACTATGCAGCACTGCAGTTGATTTTACCCTTGAAGCTTTGCGTCTGCTTGAGGAAGAACAAGAGACTCCTGAAAACACTGATAGACTGAAGGATGACAAGGCCCATGCTTCCCTTTGGCTCTATATCTGCACTCTAGAGAAGAAACTCCAGGAGGTTGTTGTCCTTTTTTTAAAGATTCCTCGATAAATAAAAAGTGTCACTACATTCATCATGAAAAAACGAACGAATGAAAGCGACCATACTAAAGGCATTTTAATGACATGAACAACCTGTTGACCAAATTTCTTGTAACTAATGGTGTATGTTAATCTTTTATTTTTCTTTTTTTCTAGGCCATTGAAAGAGACAAAAAACAGCGAGAGTTGCGTGAGCAGACCCAAGGTCTAACCAACCCTGAAGTAACCAATGATTTTGATTATGAGGACAAGCAGAAGACACAAGACAGCTTACTGGTCTACGAAGGCCTGCATTTTAATCTGGCTGCAGAAAACAGTAGGAGTGATTTGTTTTTATTCCAACCATCTCACCATGTGTGATGTGATAACAATATCTAGATAAGAATAATAACCTGTCATCATTTATTGTGTCTAAGAGAGATTATAAAATGTAATGTTTTCTATTTCCTTCAAAGAGTTGTGCAAGCCTTTGGAAAGAGCGCTGGATAAATGGTCTGCTCTCCTGCAGAGTAAAGTCCTGCCTTCTATCAGGAACCCTAAACAGACCTGTAACTCCATCGCTGTGACTGCAGCGCTCTTCAAACTCATGGGAAAGGTAATTCTCACCGAATGTGTTCAAACTCATCTGATACCCATACCTGGGGTGAATGTATCGGCCGATACCCGATACCGATCCAATACTACTGTTGAATGAATGAACTGTATACCTTGCCCCGTGAGTGAAGGTATCAGGCTAGACATTAGTTTCGTTAAAAATAAGGTAACAAATTAACACAGATATAGATTTACTTAATATCATTTATTTACATATAACAAATTGCACATTAGCACACAGCAAAAAGAAGTAAGACTTCCACGTATTAAAAGAAAAATTAATAATAATAAAAAAAAGACCCTGAACGCTGGATCGGCGTCATTCATCCAATATCTGATATCTGATCCAAAATCAGATTGGTGCATCCCTAATTTTAGATCCTTGCTATTACGAGCGTTAATGTGCATGTTACATAATAGATGTGGCCAAAAATGCTGTGATGACAGTTTTGAAAACATGTCGCCCATGGTGCAGTGCAAAGTAAAGGCAGTAGATGGTGTAAAAGCCAAACCACATGGTGCAGCATGTCTCAGTCAAAATCCTGTTGTGGACTCTGTACTGCAGTACGGTTCATATTGTGAGGCTGTAGGAAATACCCAGGCAGGTCAATTTCTCTTCAAGACCTAATAAATTTTGAGCTTCTACCAAAGAAGTTCTGGTTCCTCACAGTTCATGAAGCATATATAAGAGAAATGAAGAGATGTGCATCAAAGCTGCAGTTAAAGACTTTGAAGAATAAAAACTTTGATTTCACGTTGTATAGTGAAACAGACTGCATTCCAGTTTATATGAATTTTGTATCAGATAGAGACTTTATCTGTGTATTGATTAAGCTCTGTTTCTCATGTAGCCTCTGAAGGCACTGGAGGCCTACCAACTCTTGGTTGGACTTTCATGTCAGCTTGCTGATGGCCACACATGTGCCAGCGCCCTCTGTCAGTCAGCTAGTATTCTCCTGGATATCGGCACCCCTGAACTGGCTTTGGTAATATGTTTTTTTTTTTATATAAATTATTTGCAACAAACTTCAATTTACTTTACCTTCTGTATATACTTCAATTTAATTTAAATCTCCACTGATTTTTAGGCTCAACTGGAGCAAGCAGACAAGTTTCTTACCTCTGACTCCACCCCTGATGGACCGTCCTCTCTCTCCATGATGGCCATTCTGTTGAAAGCTCAATACTTCTACAACACAGGACAGGTGGATAACTCGGCTTTTAACAGGATATCTCATAAATTTATACACTTGTGTTTTCTTTTCTAATGTATTTGGGATGGGTGATTCTTTTCAGGTGGGCCTTGGATTGCCCCATCTGTGTGAGGTGCTTAAGGAAGTGAATGAGCAGAGGCAGTCAAAGAGCTGGTACTTGCTGCGTGCTAGAGCGCTACAGACCTGCAGCTCCTATCTGAGTTTGGACACAACTACACTGCCTCAAGCCCAGCGAAGCGACATCACACAGCATGGTTAGCTGACAATTACTCTATAATGATCTAACGTTGTTTTTTTTTTTTTATTCCTGAGCTAGCATTTTTGAGGACATGGAGATGATGTTTCAACTGTAAATGAATGTGGGCTTGTTTATATCCCAGGTATTAAAAGCCCAGATGCTGCCCTATATGAGAGTCTGAAGCTTCTGTGCAGCCTGCTCGTGACTTTAGTGGGGAAAGGCCTGTACAGGACGAACAGCAGCAACTCTGACAACTCCCGCTTCATTGACCAAGGTTTGTTTAATTATACCTATACTGATAATGCTGAGTTGATTTTTGTTTTTGTGCTGGCTGCCATGTTGAGTCATTCTCCCCTGGTCTGTGAGCAGGAGATAACCTGGTCCTGAAGTGGCAGCTGCTCTCAGAGCTGTTGAAATGCTCTGTGAAGATGGTGGCTGTGAGGAGCCGATGTGGGGCCGTCAATGATGCCAGGCTCCAGTGCCTGGAAGCTCTCAAACTGGCCACCAAGCTGCAAGCACTCAGCCAGTGAGTAAACACATGAGATACAGTGGGCTGAAATTAGGGATGTCCTGATTTGATATTGATATCGGTCCATTATCAACAAAAAAAAAAAGAATATTGGATTATATCGGCCAGCATCTAAAATCTCCGATATCAGCACTCCAATACAAGCAGTCCATTGCAGTCCATGGCAGTATTTCTGTTTAAGTCCGAAAAAGACGTTGCAGCTGAGTGCAAAACTTGTCATGCGCAAGTTTGTGTCAATATCGGATCAATATTGCAATTACAATATCTGTATTGTATCGGAAGTAAAAAAGTTCTATCAGGACACCCCTAGTTGAAATTTACTAAAGTAGAGCAGGAGAACTGATTATACTGTGCTTTTTCTTAGGAAACTTGTACTGAATGTAACATATAAGGAACTCACAGTGTGTTTACTGTACATGTATTTTCCAGCCCTCTTTTGTATTTTATTATTTTATCCGTTTTATTTATTTATTTTTTACCGTATCATGCACCAAAAATGTACCCAGCTTGCATGGACTTTACAAAGACACTTAAATCAGCACAGATAAGGGCAACACCCCAAGGAGAGACAGAAAAAACTGATTTACATATTTAAACAGTTTACCATCGATACCCTCTTTAAGTCCTACTAGTAGGCTCGTTCTTGGTGTCATTCTAATTTTCTTACATTAAAAAGAGTCACTTAATGATAGATATTTTTCACTTTTTGCCAACACTGTACCTAAACTCTACATTTCAGCATTTTTTTTCATTAATTATTTGAATCTACTGATGAATATGTGGCTACTAAGCATATTTTGTCCATGTGTTTTTTGTTCTGTAGATGCTCTGAGCTGCTGGTGATGAAGGCTGAGTTGGAGTTGATGCAAGGGGAGAGAGAGGAATGTGCGTTTGATTTAGACAAAGTCAGAAATCTCCTCGAGCTTTGCACAGGTCAGTTGCTCGCACAGTAACACCAGCTTATAAAAGTGCCAGACGTTGATTTCATACTATTTCCTGGCTTTCATTAAATGTGTACTGTGACAGATTGTCTACTTATTATTATTTATTTTTTTAAATGCTCATGTTCTCCCTCTCTCTCTCGCCACTCAGATTTTTCTGATCAGGTGAAAAGGTCAGAAGTGAAAATCCAACCCAGGAAAGGTTGTCCAGCAAAGAAATCTCAGTCTCCTCTTCCTCCCTTGGATGAGGATGATGATGATAAGGGTATCCTCAGCACCAGGTGGATTTCAAAAGAACCTGTTGTGGGGGATCTTACCAGCTCTCCAACCTTCAAAGCTCAACCTATCCGCTGGCTCTCCTCCTTGGCACATGAGACTGACTGTCATTGCCACTGCTGTTCGGAGCCCTGTTTGAGCCGTGCCACAGCTCGCTGGGCAGCCACACGGGCGGATCTGGTTCTCGCATCAGACCCGAATGGTGCTCGAGTCAGTTTGAAGCTTCAGTGGGCTGCATTGACCCGTTGTAAGAGTGTCTCTTCCAAACTTGGAGAAAAATTGGCAAAACTTTTCCCTCCCCGTGGCCCCATGAAAGGTGTCTACAAACCCTCCCTGATGCAGGATTTAGTGGGTCGTGTGTATCTTCGAATGTCTCTATCTGGGCTAGAACCCGGGTCAAACAAGATCTGTGGTATCTGGAAAATACTGGAGTCTGGTTTAGCGTTTGTGGAATCTACACCCTCTCCTGACCTTAGACCTGTTAGAGCAGGTCTACAGGCAACCAAAGCCATCGTGTCATTGGTTACCTTGGCTGCCAAAAAGGGCTGCAACCCAGAGGAGCTTTTCTCAAGTGTTTGGACTTGGAATGCACCAAAAATGGAGAAAGAGGTGAAATCAGAGCACAAAGTGGTGCCTCCCTCAACAGCCATTAAGAAGCCTAAAGAGTCCATTAAACACCCAGAGATCCCTGACAAAAAAACAGAGGTGAAGAAGAGTAGGGTTGTCAAGCCTAAGATCCAAGTGACAAGCTCTTCTTCCAAAGGAAAAGGATTGGTTCCCATGACACCTGTGACAGTGAAGTCAAAACCCTCTGTTCGGGACCTCAGCTCTTTTGACTTCAACACAGTGGTCCCTACTTTGGCCTGTACTCCTGTTCAAAGAGTGAAAGCTCCTGCTTCAATACAGAAAGCACCGAGGACTGCTCCAAAACTGCAGTTTCAAGTGTATGAAGAGCTGTCTCCACCTCCAGCCCAGCCTGTGCCTGCTGCCCCGAGACGCACAAAGAAATCACTTTTTAAGGTCAGTATCTTTCAGATAAACAGGCCTTACTGATGGTAATTTCCATAAGATCAGAGGCACTCAGAGGATCATTCAGTTTTAAAAGCCTTTTATTTTTGTGGGATCTTGGCGGATCTTGAATTTTCATCATCTGAAGTACATTTTCACCCCACTGGCCCAGTTTCAGAAACTTAAACACATCTGTGTGACTGATGAAGGTTCTGGAGGAAAAAAGCTGAAGATAACAGCCAAACACCAGGATATGGTGTCGCTTTTAATGTATAAATTTAGAATCACTCTCCACCTCTTAATATTTCTGATGTGTTCAATGCCTGGTATCTTTCAGAGGTGCAGTTGCCATGTTGCAGTTTCATTGTAGTTTTAAGGTGTGGGGTTCTGTGGATTGCCTGTCCGTATAGCGTTTTTATGTGCAACTAATCTTGCTTATAGTTTTTGTTCATGTCTCTGAAAAATGTCTTCTTTTTATTAATGTGGTGTTTAGGTGGAGTTCAGCGATGAAAGCGACACAGAAACAAACACCCGGGCAGAGCCCAAAGAAAAAACTGAAGTTCCTAAAAGGCAGACCGCAGCAAAAAGAGCAGGAAGAGCACAAAGCAGTAAAACATCTTCAGATCCTCCTGCAGAGAAGGTCCAACCCAAGAGGCAGACCAGGGGTAAGAAGAGCTGTGTAGCAGCTCGGGTCACCTCCTCTGAAGATGAGACTTCAACCTGCCTGCCTGTCCCAACAAGAAGAGGAAGACCCAGAAAGGAGCCATCAAGGGCTGAGGCAGATTCCCTGGAAGAGCCCGACAAAATGAGGACCATTGATGAGGAAACTACAGATGTTCTGGATATAAGCATTGAGCAGCTCAGAACATCAGACACTGAAGAGAAACCTGCTTTAAGTAAAGATATTGGTGAGTACCATGGAGACTAGGGGTGGGACGATATTATCACGATGCTTGGGCTACAACATATTATTATGATTTTTAACATTTTTCAATACAGTGAGTATTGTGATTCATACAGTTTTTTTCAACTGTTAAGCTAATTTAGCATTTGTCTTTCCTTTATGTTTGTCTTATTTACGTTGTATTTTATTTTCATGTAGCACATCTACAAACCTCATATACACTACCGTTCAAAAGTTTGGGGTCACCCAAACAATTTTGTGTTTTCCATGAAAAGTCACACTTATTCACCACCATATGTTGTGAAATGAATAGAAAATAGAGTCAAGACATTGACAAGGTTAGAAATAATGATTTGGATTTGAAATAAAAAAAAATTTCCATCAAACTTTGCTTTCGTCAAAGAATCCTCCATTTGCAGCAATTACAGCATTGCAGACCTTTGGCATTCTAGCTGTTAATTTGTTGAGGCAATCTGGAGAAATTGCACCCCACGCTTCCAGAAGCAGCTCCCACAAGTTGGATTGGTTGGATGGGCACTTCTTGCGTACCATACGGTCAAGCTGCTCCCACAACAGCTCAATGGGGTTCAGATCTGGTGACTGCGCTGGCCACTCCATTACCGATAGAATACCAGCTGCCTGCTTCAGCTCTAAATAGTTCTTGCACAATTTGGAAGTGTGTTTAGGGTCATTGTCCTGTTGTAGGATGAAATTGGCTCCAGTCAAGCGCTGTCCACTGGGTATGGCATGGCGTTGCAAAATGGAGTGATAGCCTTCCTTATTCAGAATCCCTTTTACCCTGTACAAATCTCCCACCTTACCAGCACCAAAGCAACCCCAGACCATCACATTACCTCCACCATGCTTAACAGATGGCGTCAGGCATTCTTCCAGCATCTTTTCATTTGTTCTGCGTCTCACAAACGTTCTTCTTTGTGATCCAAACACCTCAAACTTGGATTCATCCGTCCACAACACTTTTTTCCAGTCTTCATCTGTCCAATGTCTGTGTTCTTTTGCCCGTCTTAATCTTTTTCTTTTATTGGCCAGTCTCAGATATGGCTTTTTCTTTGCCACTCTGCCCTGAAGCCCAGAATCCCGCAGCCGCCTCTTCACTGTAGATGTTGACACTGGTGTTTTGCGGGTACTATTTAATGAAGATGCCAGTTGGGGACCTGTGAGGCGTCTGTTTCTCAAACTAGAGACTCTAATGTACTTATCTTCTTGCTCAGTTGTGCAACGCGGCCTCCCATTTCTTTTTCTACTCTGGTTAGAGCCTGTTTGTGCTGTCCTCTGAAGGGAGTAGTACACACCGTTGTAGGAAATCTTCAATTTCTTAGCAATTTCTCGCATGGAATAGCCTTCATTTCTAAGAACAAGAATAGACTGTCGAGTTTCAGATGAATGTTTTTTTTTTCTGGCCATTTTGAGCATTTAATTGACCCCACAAATGTGATGCTCCAGAAACTCAATCTGCTCAAAGGAAGGTCAGTTTAGTAGCTTCTGTAACGAGCTAAACTGTTTTCAGATGTGTGAACATGATTGCACAAGGGTTTTCTAATCATCAATTAGCCTTCTGAGCCAATGAGCAAACACATTGTACCATTAGAACACTGGAGTGATAGTTGCTTGAAATGGGCCTCTATACACCTATGTAGATATTGCACCAAAAACCAGACATTTGCAGCTAGAATAGTCATTTACCACATTAGCAATGTATAGAGTGTATTTCTTTAAAGTTAAGACTAGTTTAAAGTTATCTTCATTGAAAAGTACAGTGCTTTTCCTTCAAAAATAAGGACATTTCAATGTGACCCCAAACTTTTGAACGGTAGTGTATATATTTGTTGTACTAACTTTCTCCAGCTCTATGATGTCACCTCTGCCAAACTCCCTGACAAACAGTTGATTTTATTTTTCTATTATCATAGATTTGACTTTATATAAGCTATTAATTTGAAAAATCGATATTTGTTAAATGAGACGATACGATATATCACCAAACAAAATATCGCGATACTATGCTGTATTGATTTTTTTCTCCCACCCCTAATGGAGACATGCCGAAAACTATTTGTTTTAGAATTATTTCACAATATTTGTTTGCTACATAATTCCACTTGTCTTGCTTCATAGTTTTAATGTTTTCAGTATTTGTCAACAATGTGGAGAGTAATAGAAATAAAGAAAAAACAGTGAGTGAGGAGGAGTCAAACTTTTAACTGGTAGTGTATGCATATATGGTTGATCACAGTATTTCCTAACCTGAAAATGAAGGCCTAATCACTTATCCCTTTTTTAACTCTCCAAAGACATTGATTTTGAGGTGCTAAGGCGAGACATGTGCTGTGATTTGGAGAGAGACGACCTTTCCGAACTAAGGATCAGAGACCATCTTCGGGACGGACCGCAAACCCACCTGTCTCATCCAGACACCAGGCCAGGTAAAACTTTCCAGAGTGGTACATGTTCTTCTTTAAAACAACTCAACCCTTTGTAGGATTATCACCGATAATATGTAGTGTGAGGAAAATGAGAGATCCTTTACAGCTTAAACTTCTTAACCAATTGCAATTGTTATTTTCATCTTTTATTAGATAATCTTTCTCTGGAGGATCTACAGTCTCTGCTCCACTCAGCCTGGTTAGGTCTTCAGCATCTCCCCTCCCCCACCATCTACACGACAGTCAGTTCTCTTCTGGCTTTGACCACGGGACATCAGGACCCCAAAACTACAGCAATGCTGCACGCCCAGTCCTTGGGCATCACCAGCCGCCATCGCACAATCAGGCATTTGGCCAGTTGTCTCAAGTAAGCACGTCAACATGTGAAGTCAGGGTCTATGTATCAGTCTATCTCAGGGAATATTAATACTCTTTTACATTACATAAAAAAAGCATGTTTTGATATCCGTGGTCATTTTCTTTCAGAAAGTTGAGAAAGGTGTCCACGGACCTTGTAGAAAAGATCGATGCTCTGAACCTAGACGAATCCAGTCCGAGCAAGTCCAAGAATTCAAGCGAACAAAAGCTGTTTCAGTTGGAGAACATTTTCTCCTTCCCAACTTTTGATCCCTCCACTTTCCCCGAGAGCCACTGCGAAGAGTTTATGAAACAGATTGGACAACTTCCCCAAGGTAATGCACTCTGCTACTGTAAATACCGTCACAGAGTGTCTACATCGATGTTAAAATCATTTTCATTGCAGATACTTTTGCACCTGATAAGATACATTTAGATCACCTCGTGCATCCCTTTTCTCTTGCTCAGGAGTGACGGTGTGTTTGATGTCTGTGCTTGGAGTCAAACCTGGTGAAATAGGTGACAGCATCATGCTGACACGCTTCGGGAAAGGATCAGACCCCGTCACTGTTCACTTCCCCACCTCTAAACAGCAGGTGAAGATGGTAAAAAAATACTATAAGAAAAGCTGTACACTGAGCTCAGACGGGTACAGGGAGTGCATCACGGCTTTAGCTAAATAGAGACACTGCTCACTTCACAGCTTTGCCATGTTAACACAGCTATCTTTTACCGATAGTACAAAATATCTTGGCTGAAAGAGAAAATACCTGCTGCTGCTCTGGTTTTGATTTAAACGTAAAGTCACCTTTGAAAATAATAGCTGTGGAGTTTAGAAAAGAAAAAGCCGACATCCATCCATAATGGTGAACTTGCTTTGTGTTAAGACCGATTCAAAACCTTGGTTATCCATGTTTGATGTTTTTTGTCATTTTGTGTTTCAGGTTTCATGATAATGTCCAAGAATTCTCACCATTTTTGTCTCTTTGTGTGATGCAGCACCCCATAAGTTGGCTGGTGCAGGAGATCGATCGTATTCAGGTGGAACAGAAAGTTGTGAGCTGCGTCTCTGAGAAAGTCAAGTGGTGGGAGGGTCGCAGGGCGCTGGACTCACGTGTTGAGGTAGGTTGTATAAAGGCAGGATACTTGTTGGGGGGGTCTCAGTGAGGAGCTTGACAATCGCTGTTTTATTTTGCTTTGGTGAAAAATTGTCCCGTAAAAGTTCAAACTTCCCCTCGCTATTCCAGCAACTACTGGAGGACATTGAGGGACTGCTGGGATGCTGGAAGAGCTTTCTTCTCCCCCTTTCTTCAGATCCTGAAATCTTCAAACAAGCCCGGCACCTTTGCAAATCACTCTCTGCAAGGGGAGTAACAGTCAGTGAGGAGATGCTGAAGGTAGATGATTTTTGTTTTCGCCAAATAAATCTTTGAGCAGAAGCATTTGACTTTTAGTCATGTTTCTGTTTCTAATGCACAAGTGCAAGCAATGACTACAAACCACAAACCTTCATATTGTGTGTTTCAGACTGTGCTTTCAGCTTCTTCTGTGCTCACCAAAGAAGACCTCAGACAGTTTGCTCTTGGAGTGTCTCCTCAGTGGGACATGGATTGTGACCAGCTTCTTCAGACAGCTGTGTCCCAGCTCACTGAGAGGAACAAGCCCCACGGTCATGTGGTTCTCATTCTGGACAAGGTTTCTTCAATCACTTCTATCAGATATTAAAATGTCCCATATCAAGGTTTGTACGAGGTGAGACTTTTTTTCTCTCTTTTGCAGTATCTTCAGAAGTTGCCATGGGAGAGCATCTCCATCTTGAGATCAGGCTCTGTCAGCAGGATGCCTTCTCTGTATTCTCTCATTGGACTAAACATTCAAAAAGAGGTGAGATTAAGCTCTATGGCTCAGACGTCACTTACCTTTTAACACACCTCTGTAGTAGTTACATATATTGTTATTTAAATGCTCTCTTTTAGGCCGACTCTGGGTCCATCCTGAAGTGTGGTGTAAATACAAGGCAGGTGTTTTATGTGCTGGACCCTGATGCCAATTTGGGAAACTCCCAAGATCGATTTAAGGAATGGTTCAGCAGGTGAGACTAATTCCCCCAAGTGTTTAATTAGTAATTTATTTCTGTCAAGGCTTGCTTTTCTTCCATTTAACGACATAACTCTTCTGATTAAAGTAAACTGGACTGGGAGGGTGTGTGTGGAGTTGCTCCTGACTTGAGTCGGCTTGAGGAGGCTGTTGCAACCAAAGATCTATACATGTAAGTTGATATTTTACTGTTTAAAATCATCTTATTTTTTATTAGGCTCTTAGATAAAATACTCACTTGTTTTTAAATATCGCATCAGTCTGCCTGTTATGGACTCTGAGTCTGAAATAGCATTTGAATTAAATTGTTTGTGTCTTAGTTTTGTGGGTCACGGTGCTGGCGCTCGATTTCTGGACAGCCAAGCAGTCCTGAAACAGCAGATGAGAGCAGCTGCTCTGCTCTTTGGCTGCAGTAGTGCTGCTTTGGCAGTGCGTGGGGATCAGGAAGGACAAGGCATCATCCTCAACTACCTCATAGCTGGATGGTGAGCTATCTGTCTTAACTCCCTTGATCAAGAGTCAGTCAGAGCCATACTGACAGTGCACATTTATATCAAGTATTTGTATACAGGCAGATTCATGAAGCGCTGACTGGTTTGAGAAATACGAGCAAGTCACTCAAGGACTATTACAGCAACACAGAGCATATTCTTGGATTATATCCGTTCTCTATATTGTCTACAATAGTTTCCTGTGTTTTCTTTTTCACTTCAGCCCCTTTATTTTGGGAAACCTGTGGGATGTCACAGATCGAGACATTGACCGTTTCACTAAATCCTTGTTGGAGTCCTGGTTGTCTGCTGGTTCTGGAGCCCCCCTCCTAGATTACATGGGCCCATCACGTCAGGCCACACACCTGAAACACCTCATAGGAGCTGCACCTGTGGTCTATGGCCTACCAGTTTACCTGCAGTAGGCAGGCTGGAAAGCCAAAGCTCTTTTTGAAAGCTGCATGTAAACAGTCTTGGAAGATTTTAATTTTTTACAGTTTTAGCTCAATATTTTGGACTTGTCTTTAACTTAAAGTTGAATCTGTGTGTACATTTTTGGGCAAGATTAAATTGATTATTTTCTTTTATAACAATGTTGCCTATTTTTAAACCAATGTTTTATACCGAGATGGTTTCAATAATTTTATGTGCTTGAATGCACTTCTAGTGCATTGAACTGACAATATAATATAATAAAAGTGTTCTTACAAACAGCCAAATTTTGGGTTTTAATTAAGATGTTACAATCTTTCACTTTTTGCAGAATAGAAGTGTAAAAGAGGAAAATTTGTTTGAAAACATTTCCAATAAGGACAACATTTGGAAATTAGAATTATTTACAAAAATGTAACTGTACAGTGAAACATACAGAAATATTTGCAAGATGTGTCAATCTCATCCTTTCAGTACAAGTGTCCATTATACTGCAAGCCATTTTTATTTCATTACAGCCAAGTGCATGGTAACATGGTAAAATATGACTTAGGAACTATAAGCAGGGGATCTGAAACCTTTTATTTTACTGCTTCTTTCTTTCTAGTGCAAGACTGCCAGCCAAAATCATTCCCCTTTAAAAATATTTAGGAATACATGAAATTTAATTATTTGATTGCCTTGTGATTCTTAAAAAATTCCTACAAAACAATGTAATTTTGCTATTATAACTTGGATTTTTTTTTCTGTAATCTTGTTTGCCAGTTCAGTGACAGAACAAATACTATTATAAACCACTTTGAATATGAAATACAGTTGTACATCTTAAAAAAAGGTTTATTTTGAAAAAAAAAAAAAAACAATACAGTGAAATTACAGTTTGTAACTCTTTAGAGAAATTGGGAAAATGTGTAGCAATGCCAACATAAGATTAATGAGAGAAGGAAAAGGTGATATTGCTGCCATCCCAAAGTTAGGACACTTTCTGAAATGCGTCTGATACATTTTTGCCAACAAGAATATATTAAATACAATTAATATGGATGACACATGCCCAGCTTCTTTCATTAAAAAAATGAAGCCAAAATACTTGAAAGTCTGTTAGGTGCCTCTTATATCTTCAAATCAGGTGATGAATACAGCAGAAGTCTTCATTTGTCAACAGAGCTGTCAATCATGGTCCCTACTTTTTTTAACATCAAGTAACTGGTCAGAAGTGAATCACTCATTAAAGTAAACTCATTTCACTCGTATAGATGCACACAACAAAATGATAATTTTGAGCTTTGAATACGTTACTTCTAAACAAACGAAAACTTAATGCGGACAAAATATGTTTATTGTCTCCACATTTAATGTTAAGTTTTCAGATGAAATGGATCATTGTGTGAACGGTCAAGAGCAGGTGCCGTCAGTGTCTTGGCCGTAGGGGGGCGTTGTTCTCGACTGACTCCCACCTGACGCCACCAGAGCAGTCGATTAAACAGAGTGGCGACAACTTCAGATCTCGCCGCCGGAGCGGTCACGTGGTTCATATACCCCTCCATAGTTCCAAACGCAGCCTGCACTGTCCATGCTCTGCAACGGGGCAGACTGCAGTGAGCGCGCATTTAAGAGGTAAATATTAAAATTAACCGTAAAAAGTCAACATTTGCAACTCTTATTGGATTACTGTGTACACGTCAAAGTCACGTACGTATATTTAGCGGCTGGATGACAAATAAAAGTGAAATAAGACAAGTTTGGTAACACGTGTTACTTTTTAATAAGAGAAAATAATACAATAAAGTGGTAAGTAACAGGTGTTACAAGCTGTTTAAACAATTGTGCAATGTTTTGGTCTTGCAGCATGGCCTGCATAACATTTTTCCATGTTAAACATACGCCTTAAATGCTGACAGGATTTAAAAAGTAGCGGCCCCTTAACTCTATCATCCCATAAGCAGAAATCAAATTACATAGCACTTATGTTAGTCTAAAAATAATAAATTGCATATAACATCGGGAACTGATAAAGGCTGAAATCTAAAATAAAGCCCATAAGTAACCATCTCAACATATGATTGATGATGATGATTCATCTGTGATTCATAACTCAGTCACACAATACATTTTGGCAGGCCTCTACAGCTGACGACGTCCAGCTAGCAGGCCGTGGCTAAAAAATCGATCCCAATTCCTTACTAAAAAACGTAATTACATCTGTAATTACAATTTGAGCATACTAAAATTAAAATCATTTTACATATAAAGGGGTCCCTCAATACCATTTACACACGTATTGGCATTACATTCGTTGATACAATATTTTACCTCGGGGAGTGTGGGAGCAAACCGTGGCTAAAAAATCGATCCCAATTCCTGACTATAAAAACGTAATTACATTTGGGATATACATTTTTACATATAAAGGGGTCCCCTCGATATCAATTACACATGTATTGGCATTAAACTTGTTGATATTTTATCATTTAATCCGGTGAGTGCTTGCCTTGTGGCCATAGAAGCGAACGGCGTCCGACGTGACAGGCGGTCAGGTTGGAACTATTAAGAGTTCTATAACCCGGAAGTGGGGTCCGCCGGGCTGTTCAGCGTCTGTCTATTGCTGCGTCCGAACTGCCCGCTCGGATACTACATGCTACTGCTACGTGCTACTGCTAGATCCTACTCCTACATACTAAAAACGTTGGCCCAATTCGGACACACTAGACGAGCGGTGGGGAAAGACGACCCCCGCAGGCAGAGAGTAGGTACTGCGCCCGTGCAGACAGTGGTAACTGAAGCCCCTCATCTGCGGGCCTGGCTGTAGTACTGCAGCTGTGCAGTTTAATGATGGAATAAGTGAGCTTTACCTCCATGATGTCGCCACTTGCTCATAAAATGATTACTTGGGCAAATGTGAAACCATGACATGACAAAGAGATACAACCGCACATTTTTTAGGACAGTGTGTGAAGATACATGAAACTTACATCTGTACTGTCCCGCCTGCTGCTGCTGCTCCGACATGGTGCGCGCTGCTGTGGCCAGCCGGCGTTCGCGACACTTTTAAATAGGCAGAGCAGCTGGTGGCGCTAGCATCACATGCGCTTCTACAACTTTTAAGAGGACGAAGAAGAAGCCCGCGGTGCATTTTGGGTCAGTAGCATGCCCGTAGGATGCACCGAGACCAACCTACAATGTGGGCGTGTCTAGCATCTGAAGTAGTATCTGAAGTAGCATGCTACTCGCTCCGGTGGCCAATTCGGACATGCTAGATACTACTTCGACTACTACTTCGACTACTACTTGGCAATTCGGACGCAGCTTATGGGAGTGTCGCCACTCTGTTTAATCGACTGCTCTGGACGCCACAGCTCCTTCACCCGGAAGCACTCACGTCAAGCTAGCACAGCTAGCATCACGCTTCTACCATGGCGGTGAATCTTACAGATCTCTCCCTGCCTCAACTAGAGGGGCTGAAAACTCAATTAGATCAGGTACGATCAGAAATTGTTCTCTGTTTCATTCGTCTGTTTGCTCATTGATACGGACTTTCGGATTGCCTGTAGTATGTTCAATTATTGCAGAAGGGTGTGGTAAACTGCTAGCATGTACATGACGCTAACGGTACAAACGCTCGATCATAACTATGAGCTGAAACACGTGAGCATGTCCTTTCTCTTAGAGTGACTAAATACTTACTGTGGAAGTAAAGTAAAATCTGCTCTTTTGAAGGCTATTGACTGTATTAGTGTTCGTGTCTGAAAGCTGGTTGTTTCTGTTTAGTGTCATTGTCTGGTGTGGACGGACTCACAGATCACAGGTGTTCTGATCATTTCTGTTTCCTTCGCAGGAGATTGAGTTCCTGACGTCTTCAATAGGTCAGCTCAAAGTTGCCCAGACAAAATATGTTGAAGCTAAAGATAGCCTAAATGTCTTGAACAAAAACAACAAAGGTGAGTGAAGTTCTTGTTGTGACCTTAGTAACTTTCAGTTTGTGTCAACTTTAGTGCCTCAGACCCCCCATGGACAAAACAGTCTTAACTTATATTCAATCAAGTCCAATCCACTTTATTTATATAGCACATTTTAAAAAAACATTCAAGTTTGCCAAAGTGCTGCACAGTGAAATTTAAAAAATAACAGACACTACAGAAAACATCACGAGGAAATAAATAAAAGCAGGTAAAAAAATAAATAAAAACACAAAAGCATGAAAGAAATCAAAGTGATAAAAGGACCATAAAAAGGCATAAAAGGATAGAGATCACACAACTCTCATGCTGAGCTAAAAGCCAAGAAATAAAAATGACTTTTGAGACGTGATTTAAAAGTATAACGTGTGGGGGATGTTTTGATGTCAAGTGGAAAAACCGAGAAAGCTCAGTCACCACATATTGTCCTCTGCAAGCTAGTAAGGGTTTCTAACAATAGATGTCATCCTCATGACTTTTGACAGTCAAATGTATTGTATTTTGGGAAAATTTTAAGTGGAAGGTGTAAAATTGGGGTAATTTCCTCAACAGATTCACCGACACCTACCCACTCCCATCAATTTCAAGCTTTAAAAATTACAGTATAAAAATCACCAGTCTTGTCACTGATGGTCTTATTTGCGTTTGTATATTCCAAAAGGGCATTTGTATGAATTTCTGTGCATTTCATAAATATCCCAAAACTCCTCATAGCAGCTTTAAATGTCATCAGGGGGTTCCTCTAAGGCTACCATCTCTGGCACATTTTAATCATCACTGCATACTACATATAGAAAAGTTGAGACTGCTTAAAAGGATATTCCGGCATTAAATTAATTTAGGGTCAAACATTTCATACCACGGAGTTAGACACCCCGTCGAGACATGAATGTTGCTGAACGCTTGCTTCTCTAGTTATACCAGCTTTAGTAATGACCGCAGATAGCAATACAGAGAGCCACACGCTCAACCAAAACGCCACTCTAAAGCCACAAATAATGCTCAGAACAGCACCTAACTTCATCAACAGTACATATAGAGTCTCAGCCATAGTACTAGCCACCAAACATCTTTTTAACTTTGCTTGAGCAAAGAGACTAAACACAACTCACCTACTCTCTTCCAGCAGCCGATGTTTGTACAGAGACCTCCGGGCCAGTCCATTATAGACTACAGCGGGGTAACACAGCTCAAGGAAGAACATTTATGATCATTTCATGGGAATGCAATCAGACCGAGACGCTAAAGCAGAAGAACTACCGCGTCTGCAGTGCAAATTGATTAATATGATGATTATTACTTCATAGAAATGATAAAGAAATGATCATAAATGTTCTTCCTTGAGCTGCGTTACCCCACTGCAGTCCATGGACTCGCCCGGAGGCCTCACTACAAACAAGCTGCTGCTGGAAGAGAGAGGGTGAGTTGCTTTGAGTCTCTTTGCTAAATACATTAGGCAAAGTTAAAAAGATGTTTGGTGGCTAGTGCTGTGGCTGGGACCCTATATGTACTGTTGATGAAGTTAGGTGCTGTTCTGAGCATTATTTGTGGCTATAGAGAAGCGTTTTGGTTGAGTGTGTGGCTCTCTGTATTGTTATCTGCGGTCATTACTAAAGTAAGTATAACTAGAGAAGCAAGGGTCGGTGACATTCATCTCTCGAGGGGTGTCTAACTCGGTGTTACGGTGTGTTTGACCCTAAATTAATTTTAGGTCAGAATATCCCTTTAAATTGGCTTAGATGTTTTACATGAGGCGAGATGAGCTCAATCTACATCACTGCTTTTTATGGAACTGTGTATCACATCTGCTGATGTGCATATGGTGCTGATATTAATTTTTTGTCACATGTTTCTCTTTTTTTCCAAACAGGAAAAGAATTGCTTGTGCCATTAACCAGCTCTGTATCCTTCAAAATGAAAATAACCAATTCTGTGTGTGCTTTAAGTCAACCTTTTCATACAAGTCCTTGACTCTATCCTCTCTCAGATGTACGTACCTGGAACATTAAATGACGTGGAAACTTGTTTAGTTGATGTGGGAACAGGATACTATGTTGAAAAGGCAAATATTCGCTCTCATTCTAAACTCTTGTATGATCTCATCCTTAACTGTCAAGTTAAGTTAGATGAATTCAAGTTATAGTGAACACTCTGAATTTATACTTGTTTTTCTGTGTCCTTGTAGAGTGTTGAAGACTCAAAAGCATTCTTCAAACGTAAAATAGATTTCCTCACAAAGCAAATTGTTGAGAAAATTCAGCCAGCCCTTCAGGAAAAACATGCCATGAAGCAAGGTAAAACAGTCTTCGTTCCTCTACCCTCCTCAGATTTTCTTTTAGTAGAATGGTTATTTGTATTATGTTTAAAAACTGGCACACATTTTTAACACTAGAAAAAAAGATTCATTATACCTATGAGAACATGTATAACAGAAAATTTACTCATTGTAATTTATTACAATTCAGTTATTAATAATGAGAACATTTTTAAGATAGTCAACTTCAACTATTTTTTCTTTTCATGAAACTTCAGTTTTAATATGGTTTTCTGTCTTGCAGCTGTGGTTGAGGTAATGAACGTGAAAATCCAGCAGCTCCAACAAAGCCAGCAGTCATCACAGATGGTTGGGACCACCAGTGCTTAATGGGGACACCTGTTTGAACTCTGCATGACTGGTCGGGGGCTTTCAAGTTTTGTGTACATCTGCTGTTACAGTTCAAGAAAAATCAAAAGTCGTTGATAGCAGAAATGATGAAATTAAAAATGTGTCAATGTAAAACTGTTGTTGGGTGGTTTGGTCTGTTTTTTTAATCTATTCAGCTGATATTAAATGAGTTTGTACAATAAAAAAAGGTCATTGTTCAAACAAGGAACATTTCTCTCTTAATCATGCTGTTTGGATTCTTTGATGTATGCCACCTTTGAAATTCAGGTTTTAAGGTTTAGAGTAATGTGGGGAATTGCACAAGCTCACAGGGCAACCTTCAGTCCACACAGTCCTGCAAGAAGGGTCTAATAAGCTGCAGGTGAAATAACCTGTGTGGGTTTCTCAAAGTTGTATGCAAGCCCCAAGGCAGAGTAAAACAATTAAACAAAGAAGTATGTAATAATTTTCTGCAATGAAAGGTGAAGTGTTAAAGTTATAAAAATATCAAATGACCTTTCTTACAAAATATTCTTTTCATGTCAGAAGACGCGACGTTACCGTTGACTCGTCCCCTGTTGACCTACTGTCCCCTTGGAGAGGTCACAGTTGCCGCGGTAGTGTGACGCCGAAAGCGTCAGAGTTCGCTCTCGCTCATTGTGTATTACAAGCGACAGATTCGCTGCTTGGAAACCTAGCGACGCGGAACAATTCAGCGACGGAAACTAAACTTTTCTCTCTCGCTATTTCACATTCAAGCATTTTGGAGAAATTGAAGGTTAAACGACTCAAGAAAGTTCAAGAAAGATACCATAAAGCGTCCACCATGACAAAGCAGAACGGAACCAGACGAACAAGTTGCGTGCAGTGTGAGCTCCGTTTAGTGCTTGTGTTACAACAGGTGTTTTGCCAAAGAATGCACCCCTGCGTCCCATCCACTCATTAGCTTCTTAATGTGGAAGAAAATGATCTCGTATTTAAAACACGAGTATTGGATCATGACAACATATCAAATGGAGCAGCAAACTTTCGTTTTGTTTTTATGTGTCTCAAAAATGCACACATATAAGTGTATATAAACTGTACAGTAAGCTGTCACTGTAGAGAACATTATATTTTCCGGACAGCAAATATTCCGAATCAGAGGGCTATTGTTTTCAGTTTATCTGAATAGTCTGAATGAAATAATTAGAGGCACACGCTTTTGAATCCATCCAACGATAAGGAAAACTTGGATTATTTCGCCTTGTAATGTACTTTTAACCGCGCTCCCGTCAGGGGGGCAGTCTACGGCAGGGGTGCATTCTGCGACACAACACCGTGGAGGCGGAGAGCAGCAGCCTATCGGGGCGGACGGTTACAGGCACAGGAGGACGCAGCTGTCACATGCTGGATGAGCTGCGCTTCGGAGCTGAACTGAGCAGGGGATATATTTCAACAAATGGCAATACGTTTTCACTAATTAGCCATTAATGTAATTAACAAGAAGCCTGCTAAGTTGTGGTCCGTACGGACACTCCGTTTGGTTTGGAGCGGAGGAGTACATTCGACTGTTTGAGTTTGGTTACCGGGAGACGACGGCAGTTACGCGGAGGGAGCAACACGAGGAACGAGCAACACTTCTACGGAGGAGCAGAAAGTGTTCATTTAGAAATTTAAGTCGTCGCTTGGAATTGAACAAAAACACTGTTTAGGGAGAAAGGAGGCACCGTGAAAAGCGAGGACCGAGGCAGCATGGTGAGTTTCGGGCCTCGTAGGGGGCACGCGTTAGCTAACATACGACAACCTGTTTGCGTCCTTCCTCCTGTTCGAGTCACGCTGTCTGAAACCGAGCAAAGCTGCATTTGCTGTGTCCAGTTAACTCAATGCACTTGATAGTATGCGCCGAACTACCATTTTAAAATTCATCTGGACAGGTATCTACGTGTGCCTTCTCACTGTGGCTTGGAGTTTAAAGAGAGGCCAGTCCTAACTGGTTTTGCTAGTAAACTTAAGCTAGTTAGCTTGAAGCAGATATTTATGGAGTCGCCTGACATAACAAGGTGGACGGTGACTCATTGAACAAGATTACCTTCCCAACACACAAGATCAAACTAAACTGTATGACTAATGTAACATCTTGCCATAGAGTGTAACAAATAAAACTCTGTAACCATGTACCCTTTGGTTGCCTGAGCTGGTACTACCACACGTGATTTAAGTGTTAGCTGTTACACAACTGGAGCTAAATTGCTATCAAAGAGTTCCGTTGTAAGGGTCATGGCAGCGTGCCACGGAGACGTCAACTAATACAGCAACGTGAAAATTCTTATTTTTTTAAAGATTAACCAAAAACGTTATTTGATTAACGTGAGACCCATCACAAACACAAAAAACGAAGTTACACGGGCACGTTTCCACCATGTGCTCCTTTTTCAGACGTACTCAGATGACTGCTCTGTGTTATTATAGACACAGCCGCTGGATTGGCTCGGGTCTTATTGGTAGACAGATTGTACTCCAAGTGTCTTAAATGATGTTTTAAAATTGTATTAGCACCTGGGGCACAAAGGACGTTTTGCACCATATGACAGGTCAAACGCCTTGTTTAAAGTCACGCTGCAGCTCCAGACAAGGATTTGCGCCATCCGTAGGCGCATGTGACCGTTTGATGGGCGGAGTTACAGCCTCGAGGAAACCAATGAAAACTGGAACTGTTGAGTAGAGGGCTGTTGCAGATACGGACAGAGATCACAGGAACTTAAAGGACCTGTCTTTACAACGACGTTGACTTGTTATGCTGCTGTTTCATGTGTTTTGAATACTCTCCCCTCACTTTAATCAGGCGTTTGTTATTTGTAAAGGTATTACCGTGACCATGATTATGTTTTCATGCGAGACCTGGACACTGAATTGAAGTGCAGAACTGTAGCATTTTTATATGGGACTGCATGAGGAGGATTGTTGTTACTGTTGTTTTAATGTTGCTGCTGTCCCCTGTCTCTCTTTCTTATCCTGTTCTCCACTCTCTCTCTCTCTCTCTCTCTCTCTCTCTCTCTCTCTCTCTCTCTCTCTCTCTCTCTCTCACCCTCATTCTCTACTCTCTCTCTCTCTCCCTCTCCCTTACTCATTCTCTCTCCCCTTCCCTCTTTCTTGTTCTCTTGCTCTCTCTCTCTCTCTCTCTCTCTCTCTCTCTCTCTCTCTCCTATCTCTCTGTATATAAAAGGAAGTTTTTCCTTGACACTGTCACTCATGTTAGATGAGATGGGCCAAATCCCATTTTAGGTTGGGTCTTGATAATTCATCAAACAATGAGAGTGGTCTAGACCTGCTCTTGTTCTTTGAAAAGCGTCTTGGGATGACAACTGGTGTGAAGTGGCGATATATAAATAAAATTTGATTGATTGATTGAAAACCCACAACAGAAACTGTACTTGTGGAAAGTTCACTAAGAAGGTGCAGTGGTTCAGAGGAAGTTGTTGCATTTGTATTTTTTAAAAGTATGAGGAAAGACGCTGTATCCCAGTGTGTACTTTATACATTTAAGCAGATGTAATTTTAACACTAATAATAATAATAATAATATAATACAATTTATTTATAACACACTTTTACAGGTGCTTAAAGATGCTGTACAAAAAAAAACAATTTAAAATACAGAAACTTTTGAGTAATAAGACCAACAGTGTTGAAGGCTAAAAAAGACACAATATGAAAAGACAATAAAAGAACAGTTCACAGGTTTAAAGCCAATTTTTAAAAAAGTGTGTTTTTGTTTAAGCTGCCATGATAAAAAGGGATAGAATGCCGACTTAAACATGACGGAGGAATAAACATGACGGAGGAATAAACATGCGTAGCCATCGGTTTCATTTGACCAGCATGCACACACAAAAAGGGAGCAGGGGCATGCAGTCATTTATTGATTTGCAACACCTGAGACAAATTAACCACACCCCCTCAGACAATGGTCAGTGTAAGAGCACATTCATCATCTCTTACACTGACCATTGTCTGAGGGGGTGTGGTCAATTTGTCTCAGGTGTTGCAAATCAATAAATGACTGCATGCCCCTGCTCCTTAGTGTGTGTGCGTGCGCGCGCGCATGCCGGTCAAATGAAACCGATGGCTACACATGTTAATTCCTCCGTCATGTTTTAGTCGGTGTTCCATCCCTTATGGCAGCTTCAACAGTTTTTAGGAGTGATTTAAAAGTATGGGGGTCAGTACAGTCTCTGATAGGTTTGGGGAGTGAATTCCTGAGGGTGGGGGCAGCAGCGGAGTAGGCTCTGTCCCCCCAAGTTCAGTGCTTGGTCTGAGGGGGTAAGGCAAGGAGATTTCCCTCTGAGAATCGGAGGGCACGGGAGGGGGTGTATTGGTGGAGCAGGTCTGTGAGGTAGCTGGGGGCCAGGTTGTTAAGTGATTTGTGGGTAAGCAGGAGGATTTTGAATTGTATGCGGTGTGAGATGGGGAGCCAGTGCAGTTTTTGGAGGACAGGGGTGATGTGTTCTTGGGAGTTGGTGCGGGTGAGCAGGCAGAAAGCAGAGTTCACAATTCTGCTCACATCATCATCCAGACTTTTACCGTGCTTTCTACTTTTTTTCCACCAGTCCTGCTGAGATGTCCTGGCACTTTGGGAAACTAAAACTTTTAAACTGTTACCTGTTTGAGGTGCTGCACGAATCAAGGAGTGTCTGAATACTTTAAATCCCATCATGCTCAATCTCCTATGCTTTCCTGTTCTTACTGCACAGTTGTATTGAAGCAGACCGCTTTATTTTATTTTTTTTTGAGTTACAGTCAAACATTTTCTTATAATTATGCAGGTTACTACAAAGGGAACAGGCCTGAACCCGAATGCTAAGGTGTGGCAGGAGATCCCCGCACACCAGAATGACAGCTCTGAGGGAGGAGAAGACTCTCCTTGGCTGCTGACCTACTCCCCTCCTGCTGAGATAACAGGAGGTATGAGTTTCTCAAGTTCTGTTTGCATCTCCCATCATTTTCCTTGTGAGTACTTGTAAACCAGACTGTCTTTGCTGCACAAGTACAGCCCATGAGTATGGGGAAATACTGTGACATGCATAGACATGTTAAGTATGTATTGAACATTACAAAGATGACGCCACAGAGACCTGATATTTAAGTCATCTTAACTCTAGTCCTGAACACATTGCATTGCAAGCAGCGTGACGAAGCTTGTTTCGAGCATGAGAGGATGTTGTCCAAATATGACAGCCGTCTACAGTCATCGTCTTGCTGCTTGTCCTTCCTATCATAGGTTACACGGATGTTCCTTCTGTAGGGGGAAAGGGATTTGACTCTGAATATCTGGATGGTGACTATGACCCTGTACCTGCAGAAGACATTGTCAATGGCATCGATCATGCTGATTTAAGTTATCTGGTCTACGACCCACAATGTTCTCCTGTGGATGGTGACATTGTGAAGGAACTTCCGATGTCCAAGGAGAGCCTACGAGAGTCTTTGAAGAGAAAGCTTGAGTTCTGCTTTTCCAGGTGAGTCATGTAGAGAATTGAGAAAAAATGAGAGCACAAATTAAAACTTTGCCCCTTAATTGTTTCTTGTAAGAAATTATTTACAACCAAGAAGATCATTTTTAAACTTTTTCACTATAATTTGCTCGTATGATGTTGTTTACAGTGGGGGTTATCCATGTATGTGCGTGATTGATTGATTTGACACGGTATTTCATTTCCAAATTGAACCAGCTTTTTTCAAGCAATATCTATGACACAAATGTATTTTATTATATGTTGTGCCTCAACAGCCACTGAACAGCCACCACCATTTAAATCCTAGTGGGGGTTGCTCTTATTTTTCATATTCAGTTTTGCAAATGAAGATTCAGTCCACTAATCTTAGCCTATCAGTATTTTGATATGAATGAACATCTACTGTTATGTTCTAAGTTGATATTGGTGTTGGGTCTGAAAAAACAGGATCGCCAAACCCCTCGTTCACTTATCCCTCAGTCATTCAGTTGCCCTAACGTTGCTGGTTTAAAGTCAAGGTTCAGAATTTGTAAAAGCCAAAGATGATCAGAAGCAACATTTTCCTTCTGTCTGTTTCTCCAATCAAGTGATTATTTTATTGGACAAAGTGAAATATTTGTGCCTGGTGCTGTAAATGGCAAACTTTGTAGTAAAGGTGCGATGAAGTTTATTTCAGTTGATTTTATCCTAATCCAGTGTTTTGTTGTTTGCAGAGAGAACTTAACGAAGGATCTGTACCTGATATCCCAGATGGACAGTGATCAGTTTGTTCCCATCTGGGCCATTGCATGCCTGGAGGACATCAAAGCCCTTACCACTGATATGGATCTCATTCTTGATGTACTGCAAGGTATCACCGCTTACGTACTGTCTGTGTTTTTTTTCGGGAGAAATGTCTGCATTGAAGTTTACTGGTAGAATATATGTCACCTGTGATTGTTGTCATAAGAGCAGACCAGTGTGAACAAACTTAGACACTGCAAGCACAAAACATGTCATGACTGATCAGCTCTCAAGTCGCTCCCATTTAGTAAAATGAATACGTGTCTTTGTGACAGCCTCACCTATGGTGCAAGTTGATGAAACTGGAGAGAAGGTTCGGCCAAACCACAGCCGTTCCATCATTATTCTGAGAGAGGTCCCAGAGACGACACCAGTTGAGGTAAACGGAACCCTGTACAGTACTGCATGCAAGACACAGTCCTCCGTAATACCAGCCAGTCTCATTAAACAGAATTTTAAAAAGGCCAGATACAACGGTTAAGCTACTGATAATAAATAAGATTGAAACAGCATTTTTTAGCATGAACATGATGTGTATTCTTTATTGACTCCCTTTCATTAGAGAGCCTGCTGTGTGGCCTTAGGGTAGATCTTGTTTTCACTCATATTTGAGACACGTTTTTAAGTACTTTGCATATCATTCACAGGAGGTGGAGGCTCTTTTTAAGAGTGACAACTGCCCAAAAGTGTTAAGTGCCGAGTTTGCACACAACAGCAACTGGTACATAACTTTTCAGTCTGATATGGATGCACTACAGGTACGTTTCCGCTTAAAAAAAAAAACAAACTCGTTAATACTTGATCACCTAGCTATATAATCTTGGTCCTGCCTCGTAATGTCTTGTTTATTTTCCCATTTATACAGAAACTGTACATCTTAACCAGTTGCTAAATGTGTCTGTCATTTTCTTTCATCTTTCTTTATACACTAACCTCTTTGCTCTTGTTGTTAAAACTGTAGATGTTATCAAGAAATTGTAAGAATTAAAAAACTTGGTCTAGTGCTTTCTCTGGTTTTAAATATAAACCAGAGGAGGAAAGCTTTAGGTGTGAAATTCAGAGCGGAGCCTCTAAAGAACAGCTCTCTCTGTTTTTTTTTTTCTTTTTTTTGTTGTCAGGCCTACAGATACCTAAGAGAGGAAGTGAAAACATTTCAGGGAAAACCAATCATGGTGAGTTTCTGTCTGTCTTTCTTTCTGTCTTACTCTCTTTCTTTTTGTGTGTGCATATGCAGTTATTTCCCTTGTGTTTCAGTGTTGAGGTGTTATATCTCAAGCTGGATTACTGCTCATTATTGGATCTGCACTAGTCCAGACAGTGTTGTGGAACACGACAAGCCTTGTGTTATGCAAGTATAGTTGTGCTGTCAGCTGTCATGTCTCTGATCCTCGGCAAGGCTAAAGAAAGCCTCAGGTGCGACCTCAAGGGTTTATCTGTATAGAGGCTACAGAAGGAGGCGTTTGTGAGAGCTGTAGTACACCCATATCTCAAGATAGTTTGGTCATACCTCTTATCACGATGACAATTACCTTTTTATATTTGTGATCCTGTTTCGACTGGACTTTGATATGATTTGAGTGCTCTTTTATTTCCTGATAAATCAAATGAGACTTTGCTACCTTAAGCCTGTGTAAGCCCCTGTGATGATCAGTATCGCGCTTGGAAGGACCCATAGACACTGTGGCTGGCTGGGAGGAACTCTTTATGGCTTTACATCATTCTGTTGTATTTCTATTTCTCCTCTCTCCCTTTACTAAGCCTCATCCTTCATAATTCTCCCTACTCTATTCCCCACCCCTGTCCCTCCCCCTTCTTTCCCCTAGTCAGTGCAGTGTTTAATGGCCTAATGACCGTGAGATTATGAGATCTGAGGGGACTAAAGCATGATACACAACTAGAGTCCTACTCTTCATGGACACAGTGGATTTTTCTCGTTCAACCACAGGAAATATACTTGATCCTCTTTTTTTTTTTTTTTTTTTTTTCCCCTATACCTCCTTTTAGGCCCGTATAAAAGCCATCAACACGTTCTTCGGCAAGAACAGCTTTCACAGCATGGACTCAGCTGTTTACAGTCAGCACACCCAACCTCAGGCTCAGTATGGCTCCCAAGTGTACATGCAGCAGATGTACAGCCCTCAGCAGCAGTACCCTGTTTACCCTGTTGTGTCTCCATCCTGGAACCCTTCCATCATGCCTTACTTTGAAACACCACTGGTGAGAGTTTGGTTCAGTTGTTCAAAATGTACCCTTGAGTGTCTGTTTCGATTCTTTTGTCTAAAACAACAGAAACTCTGTTTTAAAAAAAATGTGGTCGCTGCAGTTAATATTGATACTCTCACCACATGACACTATTCAGAGCATCAAAGTGATCATTAAACATGGCCCTATTTGATTCTCTTCTCTTGTTATAACATCAAGGCACCTTTCCCACATAACGGATTCATGAATGGATTCAGTGGTTTGGGAAACTACAAAGCAGATTCGAGCTCCATCAACAGCCAAAGACCCTTGAGCAGAAACAGGTAAGTGCAACTCATGACACACCCTAAAAAGAGAATTGATTTTTTTTTCTCTCTTTGAGTTGTTTGGATTATGAAAAAAGCTTATCTACCAATTATTTTTCTCAAAATGTGCTACATATCCTATATAAAGACTTTAAACACTTAGAGATGAGCAAAATTAAGAATCCAAACAATTGCACAGTTGTTGAGATGGTACCAGGGCTGACACAATGGCCTAAAAATTACATATTTGTTTTTCCTTGTCTTATAAGACTCTTTTTTGCAATTCCAGTAGTCTTTCTTTTCCCTTAAAAAATACAAATGACAAAGAAATGGCTCAGACACTTTATTTTAGCTCCTGGGAAGTAAGCTGATATTTTTGGTCATCTGGGGCGTAATCTATTTGGAGGCTAACACTTTGTGGTGTACAGTTTACTTTGATGTAATTTTTCTTAATCGGAATATTTCCACTGTATTGTTTTGGGCTAATCGTTTATATCTGCAGAACACATCGGATATAAACGATTTCTGCCGACTTTGCAGAGTCAACTGCAGAATTAACAGCGTTCTGAATGAACGGGGCTTTGAAAAGTCCCGCAGCATGTGTTAGACGTTACCGTCTACACATGGACCAATCAGGGGCTGCCTTTCCCTGTTGTCCGGGTAACAGTGGAAACACGGTCTGTGATTGGCCCGGTTATTTTATGATCGGGAATACATGCTCCCACTGGGCCGAAGTCCAGACTGTTGTGGGAAGGAACAGCAAGTGATTCACACAACAGGATGGCCCCACCCAGGCTAGCTTGGTTGGCCTGTTGCAGAATATTGACACAGTCTTAAAAACAGAAACACTGATCTGAAATTGGCGAGAAACCACTTAAGGCAGCTGATGGGGAAACTGTACTGTCACAAACTCTTACACCTTCTGCCTACAGGGTAACCCTCTGCTTGTTAAAATTAATAAATTTTGACATTAAGGAAATAGATAAAAAATCATAATGATGCCTTGGTGTTATATGCAATAGCAAACAAGAACATCAGCAACCAAATTTACCATTAATTATCTCACAATTTTTTATGTTTTAAAGCTGTTTTTAGGGAGTAGGTGCTAGTGGAGAAATTGAATATATTCACAATAAATAATCAATCTAACTGTCAGAAGTAGTATGACGAGATATGTTGTCAGGAGACACTACATAAGGATGTAGAGGAATGGATAAGCTAGACGGCTTTGTCAACAGGAGTAACAAAACTGACACCAACAGAAAGTTCCTCACTGAAGCCTTAAATAATTGATGCTGTGATTTTTCATGACAAACTTAACACACAGCTGCATAATAAATATGTGTCCTTGTATGTTCAGAAATCATGTCAAGGGTCATCCTAGGCCCAGAGACATGTCCTCTCCTTCCTCTTTGACTCCTGGGATCCTGTTGGATAGTCTGCCCAGTCACTCAAGTCCGCTGCCCCTCCAGATGTCAGGGACACTGGCTGGCTCTCCTCCAGCACTGGTCTCTCTGCCATCCTTCGGTGCTCAAGACTCTCCTCCACTGGCCAGCAATCCAACCGGATATCTTAACGGGGCCGGACGAGGCAGGTGGGTGAATGCCATCTGACTTGTTCACATCTTTGGTTTAAAATTAAAAAAAAAAAATATGTGACTGCAGTGAATGCTTATGGAACATATGATAAACATGCTCTGTCTTCATTGTAGGAAAGGTAGTCAGCGAAGCATGAGGAGGAAACGAGAGGATGAACATAGCACGGTCAGTAGCATCTTATTGTAACCCTATGTAAGACCTCAAACTGAATACCATTTCCCAAAAAAACACATTCACAATTTTTTTTATAATTTTTGTGGCAATTTTCATAAGACGTTTAATTATTTATAAGCTTGTATTTTATCATATTGAATTTACAGAAGCTTATCCCTTTGATGGAGGCCAAGGTACCTCCCCCACCAAAGTTTGACCTGGCAGCTTCCAATTTTCCACCTTTACCAGGATCTGTGGTTGGCATCAGGGAAGAAGTTACTCCAGAGATGCGTCTGTCTGATGTTGTGCGCGGCCTTAAGGTGGCTAACAAGGTAATTATTATGATGTCATTTTTGATACCTGCCACTCGGAGGACTCTGATATGCAGCATTTATGTCATAGTTGTGTCAAGGCTTATCAAGTTAAATCCCTTGGTTTCAGCCCACCGGACAAGAGACCCGTCACACAAACAAAGTAGAAGACAATGTCAAGAAAACTGATGTGACCCCTGTTGCTAAATGTGCTCCTGAAACGCCACACACAGAGATGATGGCACCTGCTCCAAGGTAAGGATTTTATTATGCTGCTGGATTTTGAGACTGGGAAGTCAAACATCATAGAATGTGCCTTGACTTGTTTTTTTTTATTTATTTTGTTGTATAGTGCCTGTCAATCAGTTGAGGGGGAGGATAAAGGTGAACCTCCTGTTTCAGAGGAGAAAACCCCCACACCCACACAGAGTTCTCCTCCAGTGGCCTCTGAACATTCCCCTTCCACCTGCAGCCAGTCAGGGGGAACTTCTCCTTCTCCCCCAGCAGTTCCATCAGACCTGGTAAGACCTGCCTCTGCACCTGGCATTTAAGTTTAGCTCACAGCAACATCAGCCTACAGTTTCCAGTTGACGCACAGTTCATTTCAAGGCCCCTTCGACTGTGCCTTGTTATTTGTAGCACATAGGTTTGGAAGTTTTGCTAGAAGAATGATCTTCTGTGGAATATTTTTCAAATTTCAAAGATTCATTCATAAGTTTAACCACTGGCTCTCAAATGTGTAAATTTAAGTCCCTTGTGGAGTTTTTAAGTATTTCGATCATTTTGAGGAGTAAGGACAAAAAAAGGTATGATGGGAAAACTTCAAAAGCAAGTTCTTAAAGTGTCCCTACAGTACAGTGCATGTGTCAGTCTGGTATTGTTATTGTAATAACCACTGATCATGATAGAGCAGTGTCAAATTCATTTCAATGATTTCATGATGTTTGATTTTAAATCTGCGTTCAATTTCTCATCATCATCTAACAAGGGGTCAAGAAAACTCAGCTATGCTGAGGTGTGCCAGAAGATGGCCAAGGATCCTCCACCAGTCCAGGCTCCTTCTCCCTCTCCTCCAGCCTCTACAACCAGCCAACCACTCCAAGAGCTCAAGGTCAACAGGGTGGAGGAGCTTCGGCCTAACTTCAGACGCTCTACAGACAAACCAGAAAAACACAGACACAGCCGCCCTCCTCGTCAGCCTTTACGCTCCTTCTCTGGGGCTAATGGCCAATCCAGATTTGGGGGCACAGGTCAGAAGATTAGGGAGCATCAGAGAGGCCTGAATTCTGGAAAACAATTTTCTCCTCAGCGGGGAGCGAGGCGCAGTGGAAAAGAACAAAACATACCCCCTGGGTCACCAAAATAACTCAATAATAAGAATTCTATTTAATGAACAGAAATAATTTTGTACATAAATGTAAATAGAAAGATAAGTATATTTCTTTGACAGGCTTAATCACTTAATGTCCTAAAAAGGTTGCAGACACAAGTGTGTACTCTTTTTAGTAAACTTCATACAGTCTGCCGAGGGATTTGATGGGTAGCAAAACATACTTTATGTAAAGTAATTTGATGGCATCAACTGAAAACACCTCCAGAAATGGGCATGATTATACGCATGTTATGCGTTATTTGTGTGTATGTATATGTTTTTGAACGTATAAATGGGTGAAATGAGGATTTTGTTACTTCAAAGAAATCTGAAAATAATCATTTGGCAAGTATTGAAATCCTTAATGTCTATGAGGCACATTTGATGTCCTGTTAATGGCTGTTTTTTTTTTTCCTGTCTGATCCATGACATTATTATTTAAACTGGAGTGTCCAAGGATAACCTAGAAATCATGATGGTGTAAGGTTTGGATAATTAACAATCTCTAGTTCCTGTGAAGTTTTTCGAGTAGGAAAGAAAGATTTTATTGAACCAGCATCTCATACAATGGACCCAGGGTTATTAAAGATTGAAATCTTTGAGCTGTAGAATAGTGGTAGGTATTTGATGGCTGTCCAGTTCTTCAACATGAACAGATGGTGTAGATTGCCTCAATTTGAGTATATCAAGATTAAAATGAATGTACCCCATTGGCATAAAACTGCTTTTGAACTTGGTTTATGTATTTAGTTTGTCCTCAATTGTTTGTATATACAGGTTAGTTTTAATGTGGCTTGGTTGTGTATTTCTTCTTACTGTAGAAAAGTTTCATTTTCTATCAAATTGTTTCTCTATCAAAGTAATGAAAGTTTGTGTGTTGTCTTTTCAAATAGTCTTTATTCTGCAGAATATGTTCTTTGATCATCCACAATTAAATTGGATGCCAGTTAATACAACGACTCTTGGCTTTGCAGAAAAGGACTTTATATGTAGTGATGTGAACTGAAATGCACTATGTTTTTGTCTATCAACCATAATAACAGTGATAATTTGAAAGGTGTTAATTTTTTTTTTTTTAACTTTCTTTCACTTCACCTTAATTGTATGCTTCTGCAAAAGAAAGTGAAGATATAAGGGATAATGTATTTTACTCAAATGACTGTTCTGGGTCATATGTTATAAAAAAAAAACTGATTTTGTTGTAGAGTATATTGTTTCTTGTAATCTGTAGTAAGTTTTCATTCCTGGCATGTCTAGTGTTAAGTGGAGAATGGTGGTCCTGCTCCGTTTTGTGGAACTATGTCCTGAAACCAAACCTGCAGTGCCTTAACAATATCATAGTCCAGTGCAGAGGGTAAGACTTTTGAGCACAGAAGTTTGTCACACTTAATAAGGGTAGCAAATCCGTTTGTCAAAAGTTGAGACATGAGAGTAAATTCTGTCCAGTGTAATTTTCCTTTTACATTTTGAGCAGCTGCAGGACTCTGACTGGTTTGGGAGGACCTTAAGGTGTGTGTGTGTGTGTGTGTGCTTGTATGCTCATGATGTGTGAAAGAATTAGTTCGCTTGTCAACGCAGTTTGTCTTGTATCAAAATATGCTTAGAAAGCTCACAATCAAAAATGGAATTTGCAATTTTCAGCCAAGTTCACACTGGTTATTTAGTGAATATTTTATTGCCAAGTCTGATGTATTGAATAAAGATTTATTTTTAAACATTCATGCCTCTTACTTTGTTTAATATGTTAATAAATCTAAAAAAATTTCACATGATAGTTATAAAAGAGTGATGTACACTGTGTCCCAAATTATTATGCAAATGATATTTTTCTCAGATTTTCTAAATTTTCAAGTCATTAACTGTTAGAGTGTAATTTAAATGTTATTGAACAAACCTCCCAGTGATAACAGTTTTTTATTCAAAAATAAAAGACTTAAAATGTACTGTTCTAAATTATTGTGCTCAGAGTTTCAAAACATTTTATAGGATGTAAGGAACTGAAAATGGTCATTTGTTGAATTTGCAGCATTAGGAGGTCATATTTACTGAAATCAAAAGCTATTTCAATCAAAAATGTCTTAACAGATCAAGTTACATTTTAACATAGGACCCTTTATTTGATAGCAGCTTCAAAATTATTGCATCCATTGAACTTGAGTTTTTGGAAAGTCTCTGCTTGGATTTGTTTGCAGGATGTCAGAATATCCTCCCAAAGCTGCTGTTTGGAGGTGAACTGTCTCCCACCCTCATAGATCTTTAGTTTGAGGACGCTCCAAAGGTTCTCAATAAGGTTGAGGTCAGGGGAGGATCAAGCCACATCATGAATTTCTCTCCTTCTATGCCCATAGCAGCCAATGATGCAGAGGTGTTCCTTGCAGCATGACATGGTGCATTGTCATGCATGACGGTGATTAAAGATGATTTTGTTATGGAAAGCACGGTTCTTCTATATGTACCATCAAAGAAAGTGTTCAGTCAGAATCTCTATAAACTTCGCCGAGGTCAGTTTCACACCTTCCAGAACCCTAAAGGGCCGACCAGCTCTCTCCCCATAATTCCAGCCCAACACATAACTCTGCCACCTCTTTGCTAACGTTGCAGCCTTGTTGGGACATGATGGCCATCCACTACTCCATCCATCTGGACATCCACGGCACTCATCAGTGAACAAGACTGTTTGAAAATTAGTCTTAATTTATTTCTAGACCCACTGCAACCATTTCTGCTTGTGAGCATTGTTTAGAGGTGGCCAAATAGAGGGTTTATGCACAACTGCAAGCCTCTGGAGGATCCTACACCTTGAAGTTTGTGGGACTCCAGAGGCATCAGCAGCTTCAAATATCTGTTTGCTGCTTTGTAAAGGCTTGTTAGCAGCTGTTCTCTTAATCTGATCTGTATTTGTCTGACAGAAACCTTCCTCATTGTGCCTTTACCTGCACAAACCCATGTGTGCTCTGAATCAACAATGACAACACTTAAGTTTTTGTGAAATATCGAAGGTTTTTGTACCTTGTTAAAGACATTCAACTATTTCATGCTTTTCAGCAGCAGAGAGATCCTTTTTCTTTTTTCCCATTTTGCTTGAAAATGGTGGTCTGCTTAATAATGTGAAACTCCCTTCTTTACTAGTTTTTCCCTTACCTGGGCTCACCAGGCAAACTAATGATCCCAGGTGAATGAGACTGATTTCAGTGATCCAAAGAGCCCTGAGACACAGTACCATCTATGAGTTTAATTGAAAAACAAAAAAATAGAACCTGTATGACACTTAAAGACAATTTGCATAATAATTTTGAACGCAGTGTAAAGTCCACATCTGTTTTTTCTTCTCTGCTATTTGTTGTAATCATAACAGCTGACAGATAGCAACAGTGACAGATTGTACAGAATAAATGGTTTGCCACAGAGCATTAGGAAGGATTTGTTAACAGATTTTTACATGTTATCTGCCAAGTAGACATCCGGAAATGACCTTAAATATTATGTAACGGTTGTGGTCATGTTGGGCTTGGAATAGTTTGTTAATGTGTGAAATTGTTTCCATTGACGCTTGACACTACGCTATAAAAGAAAAAAATGTCGCTGTGAAGTGTAGGTGGGGTTTGACACACACACACACACACACACACACACACACACACACACACACACACACACACACACACACACACACACACACACACACACACACACACACATCAGAGGGTTTGGAAATATTCAATATCACGTTCGCGTTTGTTCCCTCTCTTACAAATCCTGTTACGTAACAACTCTGTTCCAAGCTCCAGATCTCGCGATGTTTCGCTCGTGGAAGTGTCAGAGTGTCAACAAGAGACAGGCAGCAGCATTAGCAGCAGCAGTAGCACAGCAGTAGTGTCCGGAGCTGGGAGGGGGGAGTCAAGAGGCTGTTTAAACGTCGGGTGAGTACAGCCAGGATACCTGTTACATAACATTTGATGTAATATTTTGTATAATTGATTCAGTCGTGGTCGTTAGATGTGTTATATTTTCGTGGGCTGGGTTCAATAAGCAACGCTTTCTTTAGCATTAGCATGCTAACGTGCAGCTATTTACTTGGCGGATCCAACAACACAGAAGCTGAACGAAGCTTCGGGCAGCAGCAGCAGTAGGTAGCGTTAGCTTTGCTAGCAGTATTGTGACCAGTGTCTACTCTTACATTTTCGCTTCCGGCCTCACTCTGTCTATAATTAGTCTTCATAACGGTAGCCTTCAAGCTAACTGTAATGACAGCTGTCACGATTTCCCCCGAAACAAAATATTCAGCTGTGTATCGCGGCGAAGTTGAGCTAGGAGAAGGCCCACCTGTCATAATTTCATATCCAACCATGTTATTTCTACTCAGGGTTAACCTGAAAACCATTTGTAACTTAAACCTCCTAGTTAGCCACACAGCCGAAACGACCTCAGCCCAGAACAACGCCGATGACCTGAGGACTCAGGGGGGAAACGTTAGCCAGTTGTGGCCCTGCTGCTTTATCATCGCTTTCACTTTAACGTTGTTCCCCGAGCAAAGGCTCACAACAGGCAAACAACATCCACCCTGTGTCCGCCCAACCAGGTTTTTGGGGTTATGTCTAACCATAATTTACTACCATTTTGGTGAGAAGACACGATAAACGAATGGTTGTTCTCAACAGGTGCATGTCAACCATTTAGAGCTATAAGATGCTTCATTTGTTAGACCACAACACACATCAGTTACAGTAATAGTGACATTCGATTATCTTTATTTTATTTGCTCTTTAAAGTCACTGTCAGTGGTTTCAGCATTTATAAATAGCTCCACTTTTAAAACATTAAGCAGAAGTTGACTCTAACTAGTAGCATAATGTGTCTGAGCACCATGCTTATAAATGCATGAATGAATAATGTAACTAAGCACTTTGTTCTTTGCTCCATTTTGCAGCATACTTGTCTGAGATGGGGGATGATCGACCCTTTGTATGCACTGCCCCTGGATGTGGGCAGGTATATTCCTTTAACCTGACACTACACTGTTCTCCACTCCTCATTTGAAATCTCAATAACTATCATTTATAACCTCCTGACAATCACTGAAGCTTATTTTAATTTGCCTCATACCTAGAAGTAAAGCTGAGCAAGATAATATGTAAATAAAAAGGATATTTTGGCGTAAAATTAATTTAGGGTCAGACACAATGTAACACTGAGTTAAACACCCCCTCCAGAGATGAATGTTGTGACCGCTTGCTTTTCTAGTTATAACAACTTTAGTAACGACTGCAGGATAGCAATACACAGCGGTCTGAGGAGCCATCAACAAACCTCAACCAAAACGCCACTCTATAGCCACAAATTATGCTCAGAACAGCACTAACTTCATCAACAGTAGATATAGGGTCCCAGCCATAGTACTAGCCAACAAACATATTTTTAGCTTTACCTAATTTCTTTCGCAAAGAGACTAAACACAACTCACCTACTCTCTTCCAGCAGCCGCTTGTTTGTGGCGAGACCTCAGGCCAGTCCATTACGGACTATAGTGAGGTGACGCAGCTCAAGGAAGAACATTTATGATCATTACTTTATCATTTCTTTATAGTTATAATCACCATATCAATCATTTTTCTCTGCAGACTTGGTAGTTCTTCTGCCTTAGCGTTTAGGTCTGATTGTATTTCCATGAAGAAATGATCATAAATGTTCTTCCTTGAGCTGTGTCACCCCGCTGCAGTCTGTAATGGACTGGCCTGAGGTCTCGCTACAAACAAGTGGCTGCTGGAAGAGAGTGGGTGAGCTGTGTTTAGTCTCTTTGCTCCGCTGTGTGTTGCTATCCTGCGGTTGTTACTAAAGTTGGTATAACCAGAGAATCAAGCAGTCTGCAACATTCATCTCTCGAGGGTGTGTCTAACTCGGTGTTAGGGTGTGTTTGACCCTAAATTAATTTTATGCCAGAATATCCTTTTAAATTCGTTTTACAGTGCCATATTTAGAGTAGATCAATTTTTGTAAATAACACATTGGTGCTACACTTTATCTTCCTTATGGTAATGCTCTACCATAACAGCTCTTTTGTTTTTGTTGTTGCAGAGATTCACAAATGAAGACCACCTGTCAGTTCACAAACACAAGCATGAAATGACATTAAAATTTGGTCCTGCCAGGACAGACTCTGTTATCATTGCAGGTAATAACATTGCAAATTGTTTGTATTTGCTTAACTAAGGAGCTGTTAACCTACCTTATACCTTATGTGTATGTACTACTTTTCACTTAATTCACATTTTTCTTTCCACTTTCTCTTTTACCTCCAATTTCTTTACAGATCAGACTCCTACACCCACACGCTTCCTTAAGAACTGTGAGGAAGTTGGCCTATTTAATGAGCTGGCCACCTCCTTTGAACAAGACTTTCACAAGGCACATGATGATGAGCAGAGGACAAAACACTCGGTGGGCAAAAGGCCAAATGTTAACAAAATTAAGGAAACCCGATTGATTTCCTTTTGTCTCTCAAAAAGAAATCACATCACGATGTAATGCTTGAAATGCACCGATTTATTTTCTTTTTTATCATACCCTCTGATTCCAGGCTGCACCTCTGCAAACACCATCTGAAGTAAAAGTTGAAGATGAGGGTCCTTTACATGTTGATTCTTCCTCTCCTGGAAGTCCAGATTCTTCATCCAGCATGTCAGATGACAGCGGAGACTCCAGGGTGAGAGGCAAGGTACAGACTGCAAAACCGTCTTTTTGGTCAGCAGGCTGGTTCCTTTCATAGACTTACTCCTGATTAAAATGTATGCCCCATCAACATCAATGATCAGCTCTCCTCCATGCAGATAAATACTCTCATGAATGAAAAACAAATGACTATCATTGATTTGTTATAACAGGAGATCCCTGCAAAGCCTGTGGCAAGCTCTGCTCCCACACCAACCATTGTGCGTCCAGGCTCTCTTCCCCTTCACCTGAGTAATGACCCACTACACCCCACTCTGCCTTCTCCAACATCTGTCATCACACAAGCTCCACCCTCCAACAGACAGCTTGGGTAAACTACAGTGTGTTTGTGTTGTTTGCATGTGTGTGTTTGCTTAGTGTGGTTGTTGCTAAACATCTCAAGTTTTGGACAAAATGTACAAAAGAAAATGTCTATCTGGGGTAGTTGGTATTAACCCACAAGCAAGGATGTCAGCTAGCTTGAGATTAAATTGATGTGAAATTAAGTTTCAATTGGGTGGAAAGGTTTAGTCCTCTGGAGACAGTATATTTACTTCCTGATAAAAGTGCCCGCTGTTTGTTCGACATAGCTATTTAGATGTTTGATGAAATTGCTGCCTCTATTTTAGCTTTCTACTTTACATCTGCATTAAAAGATCATTTATTAGTGAATTTCTGGATACAGGTTTTCCTTTTTTATGCTGTATCTCCACTGTAGTTGTCTTGATAAACTCCCTTTAGTCTAGTAAGTACTTACAGCAAGATAAGCATTTATTATCCAGTTTTATCTCTAGAAAGGTGCATGTTTAGGTGGATGGTTAACAGCATTTGAAATAGTGTGTTTGAGGTTGTTTCCATTTATAAAAACACAGGTGAAGCAGGTGTGGGTGGGGGCCAGCAGTCCTGCATGGCTCCATATTGCTGTGATTCCAAAGACACCTACTTATGAGAGACCATCCTGAAACCCTCTTGAATAATACTTCATCCTCACATTCTGTCTCTTAATCGACTGTTTTGTTAAGACTTGAGGGGCAAGGTAAAGATAGGGCTTACAAAAAGAGCATCTTTCCTGTGTTTAACACTTGGTGAATCTGACTGTCATTCAGCTTTTTATTGGTGAATGCAGAGCAGAGAAGCAGCCATGTTTAAGTATCTGATTTTTCCCAACAGTTCACCAACAGGTTCATATCCACTGGTGAGGCACCTCCCCAACGGGCAGACAGTCCCTCTCCTGCCAAGTCCTGTGCAAATGACTTCAGTCATATCTGTGAGTGTGTTTAGCTATTCTTATGGAAACATATCATGACTTTTATCTTAATTTTATCTTAATCTTGTCCCATTTTCTTCTCTGGGTATTTGTTGTGTTGTGATGTGAAGCTTGCAAGGCCCGCAAACTCAGTGCCTAACATCCCTGGGATTCCAGGACCTCCAGTGGGCGGGGCCAGCAGTGGGTCATCCTCCCCATCTGGGTATAGTCTGCACTCAGAGACCAAGATGGTGAGATTATCTGTCATGATGGCATTGTTTATATCGGTTGCAAACTCTTAAAACAGCTTTAGCTCTTTGAACGTGTCCCATTAAATGTAACCAAATCTGCATTCCAATGATAAAACAGCTCACTTTTAGAGCTCTATTAAATCATCTTCATGGGGTTGTGTCTATGTCTTCCTGTAGCGACTGAAGGCAGCTCTGACTCATCAGGGCCCAGGAGCACAGGATGGGGCTGGTGGGGGGGCAGGATCTATCCCTGCTGTCCCCCAGCGGCAGGAACAAAGCCAGCAGCCCTCTCAAAACTCTGACGCACCGTCACCTGCCCAACCCCAGGTAATACAACTGCTGGTATTTACTGCTCCCAAAAGAGTCCGACATATAACCCCCACCCCCAGCACAGTGACCAGAAAACCTTTTATTCAAATGAGTATGAATCATGACTTGAATCTCTTATGTACAGGTGCAGCTTGAAAAATGAAATACTTATACATATATATAATTTATAATAATTGACAAAGGTAAACTTTCACAAGTTTTCTATTCACTGGATCTAGAGCGAGATTTTCAAATCCTCATTTTAATTATGTTTCAATGATGTAAGCTTAGAGTAATTGAAAGTCAGAAATCCACTTTTTTTTTGATTATTAGATTTTTTTCTGAAATCAATCAAACAAGGATTTCAAATAACAAAAAGTGTTAAACTTTGTGAAAATGTGTACATTCAGTACTTGTGTTGGGCATCTTCACAACAAATTACTACACTGATGAAATGTGGCTTGGAGCCTTACTGAGATGCTACTAAAGCCCATGTAGCTCTGATAGTGGTCGAGCTGGTTAGCTTGGTTTGTAGTTTTGGCGCTGTGCATAGGTGTGAACCATAGACTGTATATAGAATGGACGCCGTCTGCCTCCTCGCTGGGTGAAGCCACCCCGAGAACAGCACCCTCTGTTAACGGGCTGCAGTACAGGTTATAAATCCCGCCTCCGCCAGCAAAGCTTATGGAGTTTTGGACAAACTTTAGAAATTAATTACACAGAACATACATTTTTCTCCCCCCTGCTTGTGATGTTGACATGTAGTTACTGTCAGACTGGTTTGTGCTCAAGTCCTCTTTTTTTCTGTGAAGTTCTGTTTTTAAGTTATTAGGGGGTTCATGTTTTCTATGATTGACACCTGACAGCCTATTGGCGTTCAGAGATTGCGTAGCTCACCCGGGGGGATACGCTGTTTAAGCCGAGCGTCATCACAGCAACTCTCTGAGACTCTCCCGTCGAATGCATACAACGCTACTACCCAATGCTGGTTTCAGGAAATGAAGAAAAATCGCATAAATACAGAGAGCTATTTGGCTTCAAATCCGTATACAGGCGGGAGGCGGAACCAAGTTGTCCATAGTATATACAGTCTTTGGTGTGAAGTCATAGTCATGAAAAGTAAATCAGCATCTTTTATCAAGCTTGTCAACAGTTAACTTTGGGCTTAATGCAGCAAAGGCCTATAACAATGGCGTTGTGGCTTCAACAAACAAGCCACAATGATCAGCTAAACACTATAACAGCTCATACATCTACTACTCTGTCTGTGAGTGCCCCATACAATCTTGAAGAACATATACTGTCTCATCTAAGCTACAAAAGTTTTCTGTATTTGGCTAGTTTTGCGTTGAATGTTTGGATCTTTACTGTAGCAGTCAGCTATTGCAGTCGTATCCTGAAAGGCAGCAGTTTCTGTCATCATGTTGTGCAGAATAAGCCTGGCTGTTATAACAAACCTGTCATTATAAGTCCAGTCTGCAGTCTGTTCTTCAGAAAGGCCAGTTTACATGAATGATTTATCTGCTAAAAAGTAAAATTGCTAGAGATCTGGTAGAGGCTGTTTGAGCAAGTATTAATTTTTTCTATTACCACTTTTTTTAGTTACATATCTGATTTCTTAGCGAGTTTAATTGTTAGTTAAAAACAGAACTCTTATGGAAAGGAAAACAGATAATTTTCTCTTCTAAAATAATTTCATTAGGCTCACATTTCAGTGCCAAACATTAGTGTATGGCGACTATCCAAAAAAACGTAGTTGCTGAGAGGCTGAGTAGGGGAAAAACGATACCTTGCCTGACGCGCTGGCTGTTTCAGCTTAATGAACAGGGTGTATCTCTGTTTGTAGTTTTATTGATGCAAAAAAGATGAAGCATTTACATGAAACAAAAAAGGGCAGTCGTTCAATATCAGGCGAAACATGAAAACAGCAAAAAGTAGGACCTCCCCATTCACCCCCTCTTCATTCATCCACAAAACCTGCCAGGTGAACAGCTGACTTTACTACTACCGGTGCTGATGTACTAACTCCACCCACACCACGTGACTCTCATCCCCTTATATAACCACACAATACACAAATACTATAAAAGATCATGGCTACCACAAAGAACTGGCATCTACAATAAGTGAGAAAAGGCTCAATTACCAACTGTTGTATAGAAATAACATCTCTGCCTTTGCTCTAAATATGTAGCACTGCTTTAATCTTACATATTTAACAAATAAGCGGTAATGCAGTATTGTACATACACCACATTTTTAATGTCTTTATAGATAAGAATAATAACTAATTTCTCTTTTAGACAAGATTTTTTTGTTGCGAAACATTTTAGAAACACAATGCAAAACTCATGCATGTAACCTCCCTATTTCTCACCCGCTAGGTTTCCCCAGCTCAGCCTACAGGAGGCCGGCGACGGCGAGCTACAGAGATGGACCCTGACGAGAGGAGGCAGCGTTTTCTGGAGAGAAACCGTGCAGCAGCCTCTCGCTGCAGGCAAAAACGAAAACTGTGGGTTAACTCACTAGAGAAGAAGGCGGACGATCTCGCCAACATGAATGTCTCCCTTACAGTGAGTCTTCCGTGTCCCTGTCATTCAGTGATGGCCTGACAGATAGAGGCAAACTTGCTGAGTGATTTGTGTGCTTAATGCTTTTTGTCACCATTAGAATGAAGTCACCCTGCTGAGGAATGAGGTGGCACAGTTGAAGCAGCTCCTCCTGGCCCACAAAGACTGCCCTGTGACGTTGATGCAGAAGAAGGCGGCTTTCTTAGGTAATCATGATTTGAGTCTTTATGTTATATAATGTACCAGATATTCTGTTAGAATCCATCTATCACCTCCTCCATCTAATGTATTCTTCTTACTCGCTCACCTCTCTTAAGGGTGAATGTGTCTTCTTCTGTTTCTAGCTGCAGGAGGAGAGGAAACCTCCAGGGACACTTCAACTGAACCCATAGGCTCCCCAGCTGCAGTTATCCAGCATGGGCCGTCTCCCCCAGCCTCTGCCTCCAGTCCAGGGCCCACCATCAATGGCATGAGTGTGCGGGCTGCAGAGGCAGTGGCTATGTCAGTCTTAGCCGGCATGGGATCCGGCCAGCCAGCAGGGATTGTCATGGCAACACAGTCACAGTCAACTTCAAGATGATGTGCTGATGCAGGTGGAAAGTATGAACTTGAGTGGCCGGACTGGTGCAAAGTGATTGAAAAGAGGGACCCGCCCTCAGCCCCCACGCCTGATAAAGATTCCCCCCTCCCCTCACAGCCAGTGATAATCACACACAGACACTTAATAGTGCCTCCGTCAACCCCCCCTGTCTCACCAGGCCCCCCCACCCAGAGAAGCTCCGTCACTCTGTATGTACATATGAATAACACAATGGACAACAACTCTGCAGGCTTTGGGGTTATTTCTTGTTCAGTAGTGACTGTTGGAAAATGTTTTCAGTAGCTAAGAAATGTATGAATGAAAATCTTTGTCAGATATATCCATTTATTTTCATTTCACTTTAAAACGCAGCTTTAGTCCAACTCTGTCCCACACGCTGGCTGTGATGAGGTTTGTTGCTTCTTGGGCTGCCAGTTTTACTTGTATTTTTCAATTGTAAAAAAAAAAAAAAAGATTTTCATGCCTGGTATTGGTTGTTGACATAATGTTTTGCTGATGTAGTGAAAGTACAACGACAGATTGGTTGCCAGATTGCAGTAAAAAGCAACCTAGAATTTTATTTTTTTTTTCTTTTCAACCTGTCTTTTAGTTTTCAGTCTGTTTCCCTTTTTCAGTTAATTCTGCGTAACTACATATGACAGTTTAGTAAGCCGAGTATTAAACCAAATTATAGACGTGTGCTCAGTTTACCCTGTGAGTGTGTGCCTGACTTTTTTACCATCCTTTTTTAAGCCATTCGGAGTGGATGTCATTACATTATTCCCGTATGTATAAAACCCTATTGACTGCATGGATTACTCAAGGCTGATGTATACCACTGTGTGTTTGTGCTCAACATACTATCACTGTTTATTGATCTGCTTTTCTCCTGTTTTATAACATGAAATTATAAATGCAAAAACTGTCCTTGTCATGTAAGGATTCTATCTTCTGTCCTAATGTAATACACTTGAAATGGTTAGCTTTAGAAGGCCTTTTAAAAGATAATCAAACATAATACATCTGAGATCCTTTACCCTGGCATTTCAGTTGAGGAAAGATTAGTGCAATATATTTTTCTATTAAATATCAATGTTCTTGCTTTTAGCTGATGTGTGTAGACCAACTGCTGAGAGCAGTTTGGTCTGTTCTGAAAGAAAAGTTAAGTTACAAGGAGACCAGAGAAATGTGAAGAGAATGAACGATAGGTTAGTGATTAGTGCACATTTGTATGAACTTACAGATGTCCTAGTCTAAGTTGCTTTCCAACATTTGACAAGCCGTCTTGTTTCATGAAGTAGACTTGTGTAAGGTGCTTCTTTTTGAGTTTTTATTTTTTACCACATTGTACTTTCAAGACTGTCCTGTTTTTTTCTCCCGTTCTTCACTGTGCATTTTTTTAACATTGTTTTAAGATGTCACCTTTTTCCCTGTGTGCATGTTAGGTTTTGTTTTCTCCTTCGTGTGAATATGTCCCTTTTCTTTTGTTCATGAGGAAAGATATCTTTATTTTCTGAGATTGAATCACAAGGAAAAAAATGTAACAAAGATCACTGTATGGAGTGTTTGTCTAAATCTCAGGCCTCAAGGTGGGAAAAAATTACTATATTGTGTATAGTGTCAACTAATGGATAAGTTGTGTCTCGGGCAAATAATAAAAATAAATTAATGTAAAAAGAAAACCACTTATCAACACTTTCTGCTTCTTTTATAGTACTATTACATTAGAGTCATGTAGCCAAGTATTCATTTTACTAAATATAAAAACTGTCTGACCTGTATATAAATCCTCAAAGCTGGTTTAAGTAATGTTTTTACATTTCAAATTAATCAAAAGAAAACGTTTTTGTGAAAGGAGCTTTGCCAATAAGACCACATCACCAATTCCGGCTCCTATGGCTTTGTGGTATGGCATTTCTGAGCACAATGTTTGAATTTTATCCGCTGTACTATCAGAGTGTCACCACTCATTTGTCTTAGGGATGCACCGATCCAATATTTGATATTAATATTTTGTAAATTTATTTTTATTTTATTTATTTGATTATTTATTTATTAATATTTCGGTATTGGTCCCGATACTGCTGGAAATTCTAGATCAGGTATCGTGACAATGGCCCCAATGCACAGGGGCCGATCTATTCAGTCTAACTCTATACTGTGCGCCATGAGTGGCATCCACAAGTAAACACGCAGAGCGGATGCCCACATTGTTTTCAAAATGGAGCAAGCAAAGGGGCCTGCTATCTTGAACTTTATCACAACACCTCAGCCTACAAGCTCGACGCCCACTTGCAGTACCTGCGCAGTAAACGTTCTGAGGGGCAGTGGTAAAACTTCAGGTTACAACAAAAGGTAATTCAGCGCGACTTTTCTGTATCGGAATTGGATCGGTATTGGCCAATACAAAACTGTGGATGTCTGTATCGGTATCGCAGGTGAAAAAAGCCGATCAGTGCATCCTTAATTTGTCTCTTGGTGACATGGCTCCTATAATCAGCAAGAGAAAAAAAAAACTCTAACTCCACCACTTTCCAAGCACTAAATAGTTAATCTACAAAAAATGTCAAAGTAGTTTCAGATAGACCAAAAAAACTGTTTAGAGTTTAAATGAACAGAAACACAAACTTTAGCATTGTATAGCATTGTCACTCCTGTTCCTTTATTGTCTTTTCATATTATGTCTTTTTTAACCTTTAACATTGTTTGTCTAATTACTCCAAATTTTCTGTATTTTATATTGCGTTTCTTTTAAAGCGTCTTTGAGCACCTGTAAAAGCATGTTATAGATAACATTTATTATTGTTATTATTATTATTATTATTATTATTATTATGAGACTGCCACCAGCTGCCAAAGCTTTTATTCGAAGCTGGGTTACTCTAAGTTATGATGAAAAAAGATGTGTTGTCCTGTTTGCCATACTGGTCCTACAACGATAAAATAGTGACATACAGTACAGGCCAAAAGTTTGGACACACCTTCTCATTCAATGCATTTTCTTTGTTTTCATTACTATTTAAATTGTAGATTCTCAAAACTATGAATGAACACATGTGGAATCATGTGCTCAAGAAAAAAGTGTGAAATAACTGAAAACATGTTTTATATTTTAGATTTCTCAAAGTAACCACCCTTTGCTTTTTTGATAGCGCTGCAAACTTTCGCTGTTCTCTCAATGAGCTTCATGGGGTAGTCACCTGAAATGGTTTTTACTTCACAGGAGTGCCTGAAGTAACCCTGACAAGGTACTTCTGTCATCAAGACCAAAGGATGGCTATTTTAAAGAAACTAGAATATAAAACATGTTTTCGGTTATTTCACACTTTTTTTTATAAGTACAAAATTCTATATGTGTTCATTCATAGTTTTATTGCCTTCAGTGACAATCTACAATGTAAATAGTCATATAAAAAAAAAAGAAAAGACATTGAATGAGAAAGTGTGTCCAAACTTTTGGCCTGTACTGTACATAAATTGTATATATTGTATTGAGGTGTTTTGTCACTCATGTATCTTATTTATTCATTCATTTATCTCAGCTCACCTGTCACAATCTGTATCAACCTTTGTCTAGCTCTGCTGACTACTTGCAATGGCTTCAGAAATAGTTTTGGCTCAAAATATTGCACTAAATTGTCCAGGTGTTCAAAGTACTGTTGCTGGCCACTGTAGTTGTAAGGGAGAGAGGGGTAAAATGAGCTATTTTTCATATTTCGGATTACTACATCAAGGAAACTGATAACCTACAAGAGGACATTTTTATCATTTATCGGACTGTATTTAGGTGTTTTTTCAGTAATTTGTGGATCATATTGATTTGATAGAAGTATCATAAAAGTATGTATCAAATATGATACAAAAGGCATTAAAGGGGAGATTGATGGATTCAGAACATTCACAGCTGTATTTTTGAAAAGAAAAAGTAAAACATTTCAACAATCTGAACTGAAACTCTGATCCTCTCATCAGACTTTTTTACTTTCTCAGTTGATCCACTGGCTCAACTTACCCCAGAACTACTATTGTGACTTTATTAGTCCTCTAAGCTTAAATGGTGGACTTTTATGCTAGGTTTTTGACCTCATGTTGTAGCTCATAGATACCACAATTGATGTATAAAACAAATTTAAAATATTTTTTTTTGTCTGAAAAAAATTCTAATAAAACTTATGACAGACGAAATTCACTTTCAAGAGTGAAAAATTTTGTTTTGTAAATTAATGTCTCACCCCTTCACCCATGTGCCTCTAACCTTCACAGACTCCATGAATTCCTCTTAAATGTTTGGTCACATGATCAATTTCTTTTACCATTTCCAAGCAACAGGGGGGTGGCTCAACTTACCCTTTGTCTCATCTTACCCCACCCTCCCCTACATTAGTTGACGTGGATAGGGTGCTAGGGCAGGTGAGTTGTATATATCCGTATAGGAATGCTATTTTCTCTCCCAGCTGTAAAACAATCACAACAGCAGAGGGAGCAGAGAGTCCACTTGAGCCCAGCTTTTCTGTCACAGCAATTACAATCAGCCCGGGTCACGTGACTGACAGACTCCTCTAGCGAGTTGTTCCCATCTCCAGCAGCAGTCATGGCGGTGTCAGGGACTCGCGAAGATGGAGTAAACACCACCACTCTAACTACATCTTCATCTTGATTTTTTAATGTAATAATCGTTGAAATCTTAGCTTCATGGTGGACAGTACCTGCTGTCGTCCGAAAGATCACAAACATCCCGCTGGCTGCTGCTGTTGCTGCTGTGCTTCCAACGATGGCCGACCGCGGCGTTGATTTGTCGGCTCTACCTAAAGAGGTCAGAGACCAGCTGGCGGAGTTGGATTTGGAGCTGTCCGAAGGTAATGTTTCCAATTCAAAGGGATGAAATAGTCAGAGCTGTAAAAGATGCGAATCACAAGTGTGTCTCTTCAGAGTGTTTATATGAAATCAAACACAGACAGCTCTGTCCGGTGTCTGCTTGTTGAGACTCAGAGCTGCTGCAGTGGATTCAGGCACGACTACAACTAAAGATAAAAACACACTGACCTCCTTTTTGTCAAGCTGGCATTTCCCCATCGGGTATCCTGACTGAATTTAGTAGTACTAGCACTTATTCATATGAATTGCTTTGCAGGACTGTGCATGTTGTTGTCAATTTTCTGAAATTTCCAGTCAAAATCCACGTTTAACTCTCATCTTATGTGTTATTCAGTGCTCTTAATCATCTCAGCTTTAAAAACAAATAGACTCCTGTCAAGAAAAATGGGTCAAGTTTGTCATTCTTGAGGCCTGTGTGTGTGTGTGTGTGTGTGTGTGTGTGTGTGTGTGTGTGTGTGTGTGTGTGTGTGTGTGTGTGTGTGTGTGTGTGTGTGCAGCCTCAGTCACCACTGGACTTGACATGATGCTGCAGCCCCCTCTGTGCTCAGCTGTGCCACAGCAGCTTTCAGAGCCTCAACGCTCAAACTGCTGCACCAGATATATAAAAGGGTAATTTGTTTCATGCTCTGAGAAATAGGAATATGGTGGAATATGTTATGCAAGTCTCCTCCTCACACCGTGAATCACAGTGCAGCCGCCTGATTGGTGCTGAGCAGTTCCCAGGTGCCCGGGGGTGGATGAGTAATATTGTGTTTTTCACATGGCGAGCAAAGCAGAGGGGATGTTAGGGCCACTAATGATGCCTCACACCACACATAGATACCTGGAAGTGTCATGGCCATGTTGGATGACAGGTGAAAGTGCACAGAAGGGATCACAGGTGGAAACTTAAGGCCATCATGGCTTTGCAGTTGTCCAACTTGTTGTGATTGTTTCAGCAGTTAAAATGCAAAAACACATTTTCCATTTATTTCACTGCATTTACTGGTCACATTCTCTGAGTATTTCTGTGGTATGCTATGACCTGAGCTTCTGTAGAGTTGAGTATGTGCTCCAGTTTAATAATAGATACCAATTAACTGTGTGATAATGAGGCTGGGTAATAGAGGAGGGGGTGTTCACGCTCTTTGTTCATTTACATTGGTGAGAAGCAATGGATGATGGTGAATGTATTTATAAACAGGCATACGATATGTGCTTGAATACCCTTCCTCCTGTTTTAGCTTTTACTATGCACCCACCATGTTAAGGGTCAGTTTTGACCCGTGTCTTAAATCAGCTGTAAAGAACATTTAAAACAATTCTCTATCGTCAAATTTGGTTCTCATCTCTAGGTTACCTTTTTAGGCTTCATTATCCATGAAAATATTGCTGATAACATTGTTTGTTGTGGTCCTCTGGGCCTTTCTTTGTCAGTAGACCCCTCATACAGACATTTATACTGAACTGATCTCACATGTCTGGACATGCCTGACGTTGTTTTTTGTGCAGGGAAAAAAATAGCAAAATGAGAATTTCCTGAATCACACATGATTGGAAGAGGATCTTACTGTCAGTGTGATGCCTGACAGTTCACTTATGATTTCAGTATTTGCTCTAATTATTAGATATTGATCTAACCGGGTCAACAGCGACCCTAACACGACAAGTGCCATAATTTTAATTAGAGTATTTTATAATTTAGTCAATTAATTTTTTAATTTTTATTTTTTTGAAATAGAGGTTCCTGACAAAGTCAAAAAGTCTTGATGCAAAAAAGCTAATTTAAGTGGGTTTTTTTAAAAACAAAAACAGGTTGGTGCAGACCCTAACACAGGAGGAGGGATACAGTAACTGTATTCAATTGCAATTTGTTGCAACAATATTTCATCCTAAAACAGCTGTTTTTTGAGATGCATGGCAGGTGTAAAAACAGATGTTATCTCGATGATGTTCAACTCTATTTAATTTCTCTGAAGCAGAGAAATAATGCAAATCAACAGTTCAAAGACTCACATGTTCACCCAATAATTCCTTGTTTTGTCCGTCAGCTGTACCAAAATACGAAACCAGTCTCTTCACTGCACAAAGTGAATAATTCTGTATATATTTTTTTCTTTCATTCTAACTTCAGATAGTTAGGCAGAAATGCAAAAGTCCCATGTGGCAATATTTTCCCTAGCAATTGCATCTCCCTATTTATTAAAGCATTCCCTCAAGTGCAAGCGCAGCAGTTTTATTAGTACTGTTATATTGATAAAAACAACAATATCATATTATATATCGGCTATTAACTGACCTGCTCTTTCATTATCTATATCAACATCAGCCGCTGAAAAACTGATATCGGTGGACCAGTTGTCAGCAGGTGATGTTATTGACATTCTCCAAAGTTTCTATTGTGTAGTATCTTGCACTGGAGTCCAGGAATAGTGTTTTAAGGCCAAAGTGTGAGCGAGTAGAAAGCTGATACCCTCAGAGTGACTGACCCTCTGCCGGGGACTTTATCTGTGAAAACATAGACTTCATAGTTTGTAACTTAAGATCAAAGAGGCTCACTGCTAAGCAGATGCTACTGTGTGCTCCGTATTCTCATCCTCTTGTGTGATGAGATGCATTTGCCATCTGCTCGACAGCGCTCAGTTTGCCCGATGCTAACAGAACCAGGTAATAGCAGCTGGCCAACTAATAAGTGTAAAACTGTCTCATAGATATATTTTACACGGCAACAATCGGTCCATTGTTGTCCTGATGCATGGGACCCCCCCAGCAACTTTCAAAAAAATCCACCAAAAGCTGAGAATATATCCCCGCAGTCTATTTCGATGTGGTTTCCACTGTGTGTGTATTTGTCAGTATACATGTGTGAATGTGTAGATGGGAGAAAGAGAAAGAGAAAAGCTCTGCCTACTTGAACCTACATGACTGTAAGGACACAAAGAAAGCCATTGAAGGGATCAAAGACTGAGTGATTGAGCCGGACTGGAATTTAGAGCACTAAACCACAACAGTTTAAGCTGCTCAGGGCAGAAGTGTGTGTGTGTGTGTGTGTGTGTGTGTGTGTGTGTGTGTGTGTGTGTGTGTGTGTGTGTGTGTGTGTGTGTGTGTGTGTGTGTGTGTGTGTGTGGGCATCGTGGTGTCTGAGAGGCTCTTGTTTGTAGATTGTCAGAGCAACCAGGGTTAGGAAGTGAACAAGACTGTGGCAGCTCTGCTTTACACAGATGCTGTGTAGAGGAGGAGACAGGTGGTGCATGATGTAAAACTCAGAAATGTGTCTTTTGGAAAGAGTTGTCAAAAACTGTCATGTCTGAAATCCTGATCTGATTCATAGTTGGTCATTATCTGCATGAAAAAAACATTCAAAATTTTGACATTCAAAAAAGTTTAATTTTTACTTCAATGGGAGATGAGCCTAGTTGAAAACGGTTAACCTTTAGCTACAAAGTATAGTACCACAATACTGTATTCAGACCTGTTTTAGCCCACCAAACTAAAAAGAGTTACTCTTTATTTTTTCAAAACAACCAGTTCAGGACAAAGTTTTGTTAATTCTGCCTTGACAGTGGAAACCCTGCAGGAGTTCTTAAATTTTTCCTAGGACTGGGCGATATGGGAAAAAGTTTATCACAATAAATGTTTTTCGTATCAGTCTATAGATATACCACGATATAAAAAATGAAATTTAACAGTGCTTATTGGTAGCATGTCTTTTCCAATACAATAATCTACTGCATCTGTGAGGTATTTGTGTCTCTTTGACATTTTGTCGTAAGGTGTTGCTCTAGAGAAAGCGGACTGAACAGTCGGCTGTTTCGACTGCACAGACGACATGGGCTCCTTCCTCCGCTTGGGGTTTGTAACCTTTTGCGTTGCGCGTGCTGTGGCGCGTGGCGCTGCTTCAGGTGGTGAAAAAGATTTGAGGTACTCCCCGACTTTGCAAGAACATGGACTCGACATAATTTGCAGTGCACATTACTCTGCTTCATGTACGACCTCAAAAAACCAAAACACCACCGATATTTCTGTGCAGGTGTTGTCGACGACGTTGTCATCTCTTGAGCCTTCATGGTCATTTCTGTCCGGGGTAGCACTCATTTTCTTTTTTTCACACTGACAGTACTGTCGGCTTCACGTGTTAAAGTGCTATGGTTGCGTGTAGCTGCAGCCTGCTACTACACAGTTGTTTGCTTCTTGGTTCATATTCATCACATGATTGGTTCAACGCGTAGCTGACTAGGAGAAACTCCCCTTTTCATTGGCTATTCATATAGTCTACCAAAACACGGCAGAATGCAGACTATCAAAAAGGATATTGACCATGATTTACCAAGGGAAAATAATTTTCGATATATATTGTTATCATTTTATCGCCCAGCCCTAATTCTTCCCATAGATATCAAACCAGAGTTGTAGCATTTGACCCATCGCCTATATAAACATGCCCCCTGTCTGTTTCTGAAGTAGAGTTTGGAAATGCTGACTCAACCCAACTTTCAGTCAACCAAAAAAGGCAAAAAGCAGAGTTGGTAGGCCTTAAGTTTTCTTGCTAACTACAGTGTGTCCATCTGTCAGACAAGTCAGCTATGCACCTCGATGCAAAACTCGTAACCTTGAAATCTTCCAAAATAATGAGGATGTATGCTGTTTGATCAGTCCCAATGTAGTACTCTGTATTTGTGAAGACAGCTCTTCACAGACTCCCCGACTTCAGTTTACAACAAACTGTTTCTCAGTGGTTAGCAGCATCCACCCTGTTAGCCGTCTGCGAAGTTATGAAGGGGAAGCACATTTTCACCTACTCCACACTGACAGAGAGGGAGAAAGAGAGAGAGAGAGAGAGAGAGATTATGGCCCCGCCTGTGACTGTCAATCTAGGTCACAGAGCATCAGGGGGGCAACAGGCCTAGCTCAATTGGCCTGTGAGTCACACAGGACAAGAGCTGCTACTGGGGATGTCTCTCTCTCCCACCCACCATGATAACACCACTGCCGCGTTACCCCTACTACTACTACCATCACTTTAATCCAGCTACCTCCTCAAACCTAATCAATATACCCAGAGAGCTCTAAAATGTGCCAACAAGGCATTAGCTGATCTTAAACTTCAGCCTGTCTTCCTTTATCATGAGCTAAATCAGCAGTTTTTTTTACAGCATTGGAAATTTAAATATTTTTTATTGTATACTTTTCCTTTTTATCAAGTTTGTCATGAAATAATATGTCAAAACTAACAAAAACTTAAAATTTCTGAAAGTGTCCAAAAAAAAAAAACGTAACAAATTCTAAAAGAGACTGCTGGTTAATTGATACTGAATAATAAATAAACATCGTTTCTGTTTGCAGCAGCATTAGTAGGAAAAAGTAAAGTGCAGATGTTTATTTTACAAAGTAAAATGCCACCAGCTGAAAGGCGGCTGCTCACTGAAGTGTTTTAATAGATGGGTCACAATGGAGGACTCTGGGAGAGAGGGATATGTTATGTAAGCTTTTGGTACACAGACACAACATCTAAAGATAGTTTCATTGTTGGTTTTGCATGCTTCATGCAATAAGAAAATGATTAAGTAACCCCACATTTATCTCTCAGTGCTGAGTGGAGAAAGAGTGTTGCGTGTCAACGTCTGTGTGGGCATGCTTATGTGTCTAGTACTTCTTGGATGTGTATACGTGGAGCATTGAGGGGGACAGGAAGGAAGCTGAATTATCTGTTTAAAAGCTCATTTACTGTTTGAAGGAGCTGTACTCTGATCTGCAGCCAGTGCTTTAGGCCATGGACTTAGTTTTTACTGGCAAAAGATGAACCCTACTGCCGCCTGTGTCACACAGAAACTCAACGGCAGGAACCATTAAAAAAAATCGATTATGTAACACCTTTTATTTCTCATTTCATTATGCACGCAGACCTACACACAGAAACAGGGTATATTGAAGCCTGTGTTTTAAAAAGGCTGAATAATTCAGATGAGACTGCAGCACAAACAGTCAGCTGGAGAGATGAACCCTCTCACTTTCACACCCACAGTGAACCTTTTGTAAGCTCACATCCTCCTCTGGCTCCAAAGTTGAGCTCCTCTTAACCTTGTAGTAACCGCGAGTCAGCTCTCCTTTCCCATATTTATTGTCTGACTTGTGTAGCTTGTACCCAGAAGTAACTCCAAAAACAGAAGTGACAACAAGCAGTAAGTATTGGTCAGGTCACTGTGCAGTTCACTGAATTATTGAAAAGTGCCAACTGGAGGAAGGAGCTGCAGTCAGACTGCATGCAGTCCGTGTTTCCGACTCTGTCCTCAAGAGAGACTCGTCTGCCATTTAATCTGGAGGTTTAGCTGATGGTTTCAGTTTCCCCCATGCCCTACCACTGCCCCTAGCACACACACTTTCACTCTGTGAGTTTTCATAAATCCTCCCCAAACTAGATGGACCATATGTTGGAGCAGCGCATACAGTAACTCAGTTAAATGCTCTGGTAAGCTGTTGAAACTGTCGCAGATGAAGTCTCCAGGAGCCCGTTACAACTTGTCCACAAGTTTTTTCAAAGGTTGTTCAGGATGTTGATAAGAATTGTAGCAGTTGTAGCTGTTAAAAGTTTCTGTCAGCTTGTGTAAATAAATTTTCACTCCTTTTATGATTTTTTTGGGTCAGGCAGGTTTTTGTTGTTATTGTTGTTTTTAATGTTTTCTGTGTTTTTCCAGACCCACTGTGAGGAAATTTCTTGTATTTCTAGAAAGACTGGGTTGGGTCTGTTGCTATTGTGGGCCTGTGAGGCACACTGAAACACTGAATGTGGGCATTGAATGCTGTTCAAATAAACTTGACATGACGACTGCAGCATCTTCACAACAGCTCACGTTCAGTGGTAGTGACTAAAAACAAAGGCCTCTTTAACTTTACAGGCTGCAGTATTCACTACTATTCACTTCTCATATGTTTAAACATTGGTGTTATTTGTGTGTGTGCTCGTGTGAAAAAATAAAATTACACAATGTTCCACTGGGTTCAGATCTTGCCAGTTCACATATAACAGTCTGCACCAGGTCACAGTTGTCATGGCTTACAGTGTGTCAGGAGGTAAATGCACTTATTCAGCATTGAGCAGCATTTTCAACAGCTTTGCCTTGAAGTGTTGAAGTAAGTGTGTGAAGCATAGTGTGTGCGCCCTCAGCAGTGCTCTCTTCTTTCACTTTTGTGCGCACAGAGAGAAGAAAAAGTTGCTAACAGGAGGCGGACATGATCCACTAACTGACTTCCTTTTTGTCAGTCAACTCTCTGCTCTTCTTTGCACATCTGTTTTGTCGCCTATTATTACACAGACTGGCCTTTAAGGGCCTGTGTGTGTGTGTGTGTGTGTGTGTGTGTGTGTGTGTGTGTGTAGTCACTCCCTGTTGGAGTGAGGTTTAACAAACGTGTGGAGTGAAACATGATTCACTCTGTTACCTGAGTTGGCCACACCCTGCATGCTTTTCCAGAGGGAGAGAATCACAAGAGACCTGCACTGAAAACCTGTGTGTGTGTCTGTGTGCGCCCCTGCGTGTGTGTGTGTGTGTGCCTTTGTGCCTGTGTGTAATACAAGCGCTCAAGACTTTTCATGGATTTCTTCCTACCGGTGCCTGTTATACCAGTTTCATTGTGTGAGTCAATATACTCTTAAGTGCATACAGCCTTTCTCATTTACTAAGATGCATGTCAGCAGAGTGGCGTGTAATCAGTGACTTAGTTATATGCATTTATGATGCTATTAGCCATTGCAATTTCTCAGAGCGTCCATAAATGTCCATAAAAGTGCAAAGGTGTAACTATTACAGTTTAAATTAGGAGATTTTGCAAGCTTCTCCCATGAAAATGTGAAATAAGTAGAGCCTGACAGATATCAGTATCATTTGTGTTTTAAAAATACCCTGACATTATGGTTTTAGGAGACTTCATTTCAGAAAACAATCCTCACTGGGCTTTAAATCAGGTTATCACATAGTTTTTTTATAAGCAGTATGTGCTTTTGTTACCTAGTGAACACTCTCAGCGTTGTCTGCAAATAAACTGAGCTTTACAGGTGAGCTGATGGAAGTCTACACACTGATCTTGGTTGGTATTGTATAACTGCATTACAGGTTGTTCAATAAATTATTTAATTAAGAAAATGTTTAATTCTCAGATGAAAATATAAAACATATCAGATGTTAGAACTAAAATTGTTTTTTTTTTATAGAAAATACAGTGTATACTCATTTTGAATTTGATGCCAGTAACATGAGTCAAAACAGCTGCTCTAAGGACATGTGCAGTTCTGTTGTATCACCTCTTTTTTAGACAACAATCTAACTATTAAAGTTGACATAAATAAAGTCGAGATTTCTTGAATTAAATTAAAATTTTGAGATTAAAGTCGAAATTTTGAGATTAAAGGTGACATGACCAAAGTCGAAATTTCGTGACTTGCATCTAAAATTTCGAGATTAAAGTTGAAAGTATGAGATTAAAGTTGAAATTTTTAGATCAAAGTCGACATGAATAAAGTTGAAATTTTGTGAATTACATCGAAATTTCAGGATTACAGTCAAAATTACGAGATAACAGTTGATGCAAATAAAGACATTTCATGACTTAAGTTGTAATGTTGAGATTAATGATAATAAATCAACAGCATTGTCGCTCGTCACTCGACAACACGTCCTTTGTCGAAGAATTTGTAAAGCTGTACTTTAGAATTGGATTCAGTAATAAGGGATTCCTTGCTCTTTTTGCACACAAACACAGTGTGGTCATAAGTATTTGGACTTTGAAATGACTGTGCTGAAGATTATGATGCAGATGCAGGGGTTATCAGTGGTTACACCTGCGTGCTGTACAGCAAGGCTATGTTGTATCGCAAGATACAATAAGACAACTGATCAAGTTGACTGATCCTGAAGGCCTGTAGCACAGACGACCGCGGCACAGGCATTACCTAAGCCAAGGAACCAATGCGCTCTGGCACATGGATGGCTACGACAAATTTAAGCCGTATGGCTTTTCATTCGACTTTTTTTAATTTCGACTCTAGTGTCAAAATTTCGACTTTAATCTCTAAATGGGAATTTAAACAAAATCTCCCCCCTGTAAGTATTTTTTTCTCTTCTTGTGGCCCTAATCCTCCCTGGTAAGAAACAGAGGGGTTCAGTTCCTGGAGTTTAAGTCTGGTTCTTGCCTGATGTACGATTTCAGCTGCTCAGCACTTGAGGGTCTCCCCTGACATGTTTTCGATTTGATGATCCTCCAAATGTTTTCAGTGGGGGAAAAGTTGAGACTGCAGATAGGCCAGTTTAGCATCTAGACTCTTCTACTACAGAGCCATGCTGTTGTGTTGTGTGAACATTGTCCAGCTGAAACATGTAAGGTATTCCCTAAAAAATCCATTATCTAGATGTTAGAAAAGTGACCCCTAAACCTGAAGACCACAAAATGATTCCACTTCACCTCAGTCCTTATTGAATGGCTGTTTTTTCTGCATCACTTTTATATACATTCGCAGTTTTAACCTGTATGTGGTTTCTGCAATGAACGGTATGCAAAAACAGCAGTTTTTGAGCGGATTTCTACAACAGAGCCACGTCTTTTTTTAATTTAGTATCATCCAATCCTGTGTTTTATTCACTTGCAGTACAGTATGCACTTCGAACTGCTGGCTCCTCCTTGCATCAAGGACACAAACGCTTAAACACACACGTGTCCTGATGCCACATGGATATTTAGAGGTGATACTAAATCTACTTGTCTAACCACTTTTACTATGACTGCTGGCCTTTATTGTACTGGTGATGATGACGCGCACACACACACACACCACATTGTCCCAGTAGAGAACATTTGGATGGATTTGCTTCGCTAAACCTGCAGGAAGACTCTGTCAGAGGACGGAAGATTAATAAGTGGAGATCATAACATCATGTGTCCCGAGAGGAAACATGCATGAGTGAGACAGAGGGAAACATATGGCATCTAACTTTGTTCCTGAAAACTCTATGTATATCCTGACTGTGTATTACATTTGGAAGTTTCGATAAAAAAGCGTTGTGTGGTGTTGTTACAGTGCCCTACATCCCAGTGTCTTATCTTCAAACCTTGCTTGAAGTTGTCTGTTTTCCAGTGCGATACCAGCTGGCAACCTCTGTTTACCCAGCAGTATTTGAACCTGATTTGGATCCTTTTCAGCGAGCAGGTGTTTGACATGTGTTTAAGCTGTTTTTCTGAGAAAGCAACCAAGCAGGGCGAGACGAGGAAAAGGGAAAGAGAAAAGTAGGGAAAGAGAATAGAGGTCGGTGGCTAATTACTATTCAGACAGTGTGCCTGTGGGGTGGAAGGAGAGAGAGCAGTCTCGCTGCAAAAGGCTGGTGAGAGTGAGAGTGTATCAGAATACAAAGCTATGATGTTATTCATACAAGATTGTGGGGAACTAAACTACACACTCTAAAGTTTAACATACAAATCCTCTTTGTGGTTACAGTTGGAGAACCAAGACAAAAGAGGAGAGTTATGGAGAGAACCGGTGACTGTCGTGGTTTGATTGGGACCTCCTCATCTTGACAGACATGAGTGGGTCACTGTGAGAAGATGAGTTAAACAGTGAGACCCTCATCACTGCAGCAGAGCTGTGCCCAGCCTCTTAAGCAGATAGCTTTGCATGTTGGTATTGAGACACACTGAAAGACACCCTCATATTCACTTTGACCTTTTGAGAAGTGCTTTCTAGTCATCTTCTCTGGACCAGTGTTTTGCAGCTCTTGCTACACGTTGTTCATGGATCAAAACCACGATCAAAATAGGGTTTTACACATACATTCTTGATTCTCAACAATTATTATAAAATGTGAGTCTAAAATTTGAATAACAGTGAACAGCAGTGCTCCTACAGCTAAGAAACTGGGTAATGGAACAAAATAAATACATTACAAAAGATGCAAAATATACAATATTTTAACTGTTGGTGGCTAGGAAGCAAGCCGTCTAGGTCGCAATAAACACAACATACACCAAAGTCTGTATTTATTGCATTAAATGGAACAAATGTGTAAAAAATCAGTGCTTTCTTGCACAGCTTATATTCATTTCACCTTTTGGACAAAGTCCTCCCTATAGTGGCCATGCATTTACACCACTGATGTAAAACTCAAGCCAGCTTTCAGCTACTCTTACATAAATTGATATCAGTGTAAAGGTAAAATTTCTTTCTTCTGTGTCTGTTTTTGATTCAGGACAAACACTGAGCTAACACAAGAATGGCGCAGATTATCAGATAGACATGAAAACTGAGTTATAGCTAATATACATCCTGTATATTACTTGTTATACACTGCTTTTTTCTTATATTGCAAACATACAATATTCACTTTTTGATGTATGGAAAAAAGCATTATGGTTTGTACAGGAAGTGAGTCTTTTTATAGACTAAACTCTTCTGTCTCTTAGCGAGACCCTGACAGACCCTGACAGATAATTTAAGCATAAAAAACTTAACAGACGAATTTCAAATCATCCAGATGGAAGAGTGATTACTTGGAGTTTCGTTTAATGCCACGCCAGCCCCTCCCCCGCCGCTGACTCCATCCCTCTCTCTTCTTGCTTTTTCTCTCTGTGTTTTCCTGCAGAGAAACTGCCTGTTCACATGAGCTAAAAATAAATCATGTGACTGAGCGAGGCGCTCTCTACCATTCATGCATTACTTATGGAAGTGTTTGCTTTTCTTCCATTTTCTGCTCAGAAACAGAAAAAACAGGCCCAGAATAGGGTTAGATATTATGTTGGAGGAAGCTCCCAGGCGATGTCCTCTGAACGTGAGCGCTGTCATTTTTGTCAGCTTGACAGTGGTGTGTCAGCACCATTGTCAAGACAAAGATCAAGATCAAGAATAAGCATATCAGATTGGCTACAACAACCCAAAACAGGATAAAACAGGCGGAAACATGACAAAAATAATCAACATAAACTACAGTGGTTCAATCTTCACAAAGCAGTCCTCAGGTCTCTTCAAGATAGGCAGCATTATTCTGTTGTATTTGGGTTTCTTTGTTCTGACTGAGCATTGTTTATGTAGAGGAAATGTAAAGGAGGTATTTGTGTTAGCTTCCTGCCGCATTTTCTTTTAGCTGTGAATTGATGTTTTTGGGTTGATGAGTGGAGGACTGGCCCTGTTCCTGTAGTTGGTGCACACTATGCCAAATGGAAATGTTTCTGTGAGCCCTTTTAGCCACAAATAGCTTTGTCTGAGGCTTTGAATGATGCTGTAGTTTCGTTCAGCAAACACCAGATTGATTATTCTGATACCATTTACTGCCTATTATTCATAGTAATAAAAAACGAGGCTACTACAACATGTCCGACAATCATTGATTTTAATACAACAAAGTGCACTCACTCAAATAAGGTTATTTTGGCTGCAATAACATTGCTAAAAAGATTAATCATGGATTAAGAAACCCAACAGGTTGTACAGTCAAAACTCTAACCTTGAGGTTAGCCTGATTCTGGGGCACTGGTTGGCCTGGTGTAGGGCTGGGCGATATGGGAAAAAGTTTACGATATTTTTTTAAATATCAGTCGATATTGATATATACACTCACCGGCCACTTTATTAGGTACACCATGCTAGTAACGGGTTGGACCCCCTTTTGCCTTCAGAACTGCCTCAATTCTTCGTGGCATAGATTCAACAAGGTGCTGGAAGCATTCCTCAGAGAGCTTGGTCCATATTGACATGATGGCATCACACAGTTGCCGCAGATTTGTCAGTACACATTACTCTGCTTCATGTCCGACCTCAAAAAAAAATAAATAAATACCTCCACACCACCGATGTTTTTGTGCCAGTGTTTTCGATGTCCTCATCTGTTGAGCCTTCATGGTCATTTCTGCCGCACTCATTTTCTAGCACTCATTTTCTTTTTTCTCGCTGACAGTGCTGTCGGCTTCACCTGTTAAAATGCTATAGTTGCGTGTAGCTGCAGCCTGCTTCTACACAGTTGTCTGCTACTTGGTTCGAATTCAGCACATGATTGGTTCAGTGCGAAGTGGAACCGGAGCAACTCCCCTTTTCATTGGCTATTCATATAGTCTACCAAAACATGGCAGAATGCTGACTATGGAAAAGCATATTGACCATGTTTTATATTGATATCGAGGGAAATTAATTTTCAATTTAGTTTATCGTTTTTTTGCCCAGCCCTAGCCTGGTGGTGTGAGCTATGTCTCATTACAGAGGCCATAATCCTCATCACAGCAAATGTTGGTTCAACTTTTGGCCACATACCTTTACTGCATGTCTCCCCCCTCCTTCTAGCTCTTACATTGTCTGTCTTTCTTCACCTGTGACCATCAAAACACAAGCATAGACACATTTTGTCCCACACTTCCTGCTTTACCTGCTCACGGTGATCCCACCTCACCTCTGTAACGCATCTGTTACTGCCTCTGCTGCTAACATGGCGGTGTGATGATGTTGTCTGAGATGTTCATGTAGAAGGTGACACACTACAGAAGTATAAATACAGCACCTTGAACTGGAAAGATGAAAAAAAAATAGTTTACTCACCAAATAACAGGTGTTAGTTAAAGGTGCTTCACTGGGTTGGAAGTTCATTTCCGGCACTGGAAACAGTATTTTAGGGGCAAACCTCACTGTTTGGTTAAGAAAATCAGTGTAAAACAGACAGCCAGAGGTCTGACAGGGACCTCCTGAATGAATCACAACAGCTCCACTTAAAAAACTAGGTATAGTAAAAGTGAGTGAGGAGTTCTGATGGAGTTGTGGTAAATGGAAATCAGAGAAGTGTGAAGAAGAAGTTTTATCAGCCTGTGTTTGTTTGGGAGGGTGGAGGGAGGTATGGATGGGCTGTCTGTCTGGGGCAGGGGTTAGGAGAAGGTTTGTGAAGGGTCATTTTAGACATTTTACTCTTCAGCCACCTGAGACTTGAGACTCCTTCATTTCTCTGTGGCACCGTGGCTCATCTCTACCATCATGCCCTCTCCTTATCTCCCTTGCCTTTACGCATTTGTGTTTTCTCTCAGCAGCTCTGATTCATCTCTGTAATCTCTCGCCCACACTTCCTTATGTTTCCAAATTTAGTTCTGTTTTGTTTTTCCCTTCGTGTCATCTTGAAGCTGGAACTGAGCCACATCTCCTATGCCCTCAGCTATCTCTTGAGATTACTGCAGCACTGTGTGCATCCGTCTGTGTTTCCCATTTTCTTCACTTGTCTATTTCCTCTGTGTTGCTCTTTCATTATTCCAGTTCTCAAAGATGGGGAAAGACCTGATCATAAATGGACCATGATTTTTTGATTACTTATCAATCTTTCAGAAGTATATTACTTGGCTCTTACCAAAGCATCAGAGTCATCTAGGTGGATGTTTTGCTGCTGGAATGTAAGTGTATTATGTTGATAATGTGAGTGAAATGACATCAAGCTTAAGCTGAAGTGCCTCTTTTTTTCTGCAATCATTCCAGGTGATATTACACAGAAAGGCTATGAGAAGAAAAGGACCAAACTTCTGGCTCCTTACATCATCCATACTCCAGGTAAAAAGCCATCATGTCTATAACACGAACATAAGTGCATGCCCACTCTGACTCTCAGATCTGCCTACAGGACTTAATGAAAAAAAGAGCATCATCTTTATACCACGAAAACACAGTTTTGATTGATCCTCTGTTTACTGGACTAATATTGCCTTGCACATTTTATTTCTACATCCATCTTTAAAAGTTGTGGTGAAGTAGCTTTCTATAAAAAGTTGTATTTTACATTAAAACAAAAAACAGAAACTTCACAAGACAATATTGTTGACAATTTAAACCAGACATACAACATGAATTGCGGTAAAAGTCACACTCTGTAAATAATACAGGTCTTTCAATATTTAACACTGCCTCTAGTGGTACCATCTCTCTGCTAATCTAATCAATTTAGTCCCCTGAAGATGAGAGCAGATAATAAACAATTATTAGCTGTGTAAAAAAATGTAAAATCCTGGAGAAGTACATGGCTTGTTATCAATGACAGTGACTGTAAATGGTGCATTATCATCAGGATAAAATTCACTCTTTCTTTGGTGTAGCTGTTGATGACTCATTTTTTTGTATTACTCTAAGTTGACTGGATAGTAAATACCCTAGTGAAATGATGCCCAGTCATAGTCCAGGCTCAAAGTATGAAGGATCCACATGAATAATCTGTTTTACAAGCTTTACTGGGTGCAGAACTGGGTTACATCTCCAGCATGTGACAACAGTAACAAAAGACTGGCATGAATGGATCAGTTATATGTAGCTGTTCACTCTCCCACTGAGCATTTTTTGGTCTAAAAGAGCTCTAATAGACTAATAAATGTAGCCGCCAAGACGACTGGTCTAAAATCAGGCTACTAAAAATGAACGTATTTAGATGTCTAAATTTAGACCAACTATAGACTAGCTGGCTAACAGAGGTCTAACTGTATATTGCTCAACAGCTATCATCATTATTTTGGTTAAGTACTTTGAGATCAGTTATGCAACTCACAGTTGTTTTTTTGAAATAAAAAGTTATCAAATAATGGGTTAAAGTGCAACGTCTAAATTCTGTCTAAAAATATACAGAATCTAGACGGTTGAAATTAGGTCTAAAAAAATAATAGCCGTCTATTGCTTAGTGGGCTGTTTGATAACACAATATATTTGAGGAGCTTGTGTGATGTTGAACAGGTGTAGAGGTTCTTGTTTAGGATCTTTCCCTGAAGTACAGGGTGCCATTTAAGGGACTTGAGTCTGGTACCAAATTATCGGAGGTCTTCATATTACTCAATTCAACCACCATGAATTTTTTTTTCCAATGGACACAGGGTTCCTGCGCAGTAGGGCTGGTACGATATGCTTTTCTCCCAATTTGATTCTTCCATGATTTTTTGGATGCCAATTCAATTTAAATTGTGATTTGCTGATTTTCTCAATATTCAGTCTGCATTTTTAACACCAGTGAAACAGCTGAATGATTATGATTGTCTACTGACTATTCCAGGAACTATATTTCCCCCAAAAATACACATCGCATGTAAGTCAGTTTTTAAGATTTATTCTTAAATTTGAAAAAGAAAAAAAACAATTTTTGAAAACAAAAATTGATTTAAAAATTGTAAAACAAAAAATTTTAATACCTTTGTGAATAGTTTTTTTTCTCCCACCCCTACTATAGAAGTATGGGAAAGAATGGAAGTAATGGAAGTTTTCTAAAATAGAAAAGTAGGTATTTCCAAAAATAAATCTAAAAGTAGGGTATGGAAGAGTATGGGAATTCCAACTGTGTAGGAACCCTGTGACAGGTTTTAAAAAACTATAAAACCTCTGATAGGAAACGATTTGTTAAGACATCAAAAAATGTATCCGCACCAGCCATCAAAAAACTGATGTCGGTCATCCACTAATATGCATGCCTTGTTGTATTGATTGGACAGTGGAGCCGCCCCGTCAGAATGATGTGCAGCCTCCCGCTCCCAGTTCCTCTTCCAGCCACGCCCCACCCCCCTCCAGCTCATCTCGTTACCGGGAACGCCGCTCCCGCAGGACACACAGGGGCGGCGGAACTAGGGATGACCGCTACAGATCAGGTAAGAACAACCAAAGCAAAAAAACAAAGGTATCAGATGGGCACAGCATTTACATCCCCTGCACCAACCACTGAGGACAGATATTATAATTCACTCTGCAGCACTCACACTCGCCTTACGGTAGTCCCACTTGTTAAGCCAGACACTGGGCTTTTTCAAAAGGACCAATTAGTTACAAGTTTTTGTGTGATGGTGTGTGTGTGTGTGTGTGTGTGTGTGTGTGTTATTTGAGGGGCTGTGAGAGACAAAAGTTTAGCCCTGCAGCTGGGGAGCCCCTCAGTGAGGACCCCCACTCAGCGAGAGCAGAGTGATGTCACTGCCTGGCTATGTGCGAGGAAAACAGGGGGGGATGCTGATGCAGAGGGGAAAACCTGAGACTTGCAAGAGTAAAAGAAACAGAGAGGTGAAAGAGCACACAGCATATGAGGAGGGAGTCAGACTGTCTCTTCCTGAATGTTTTTTTTTTTTTTTAGCTATTCTTGCCTCTCATTAAAAAACACCCTCATACTCCAGCGAGCAAAAATACAGCGCTGATGTATCCAAAGACAATTTATAAGGCTGGGATTTTCTGGAAAATGCTTCATTGGCACAGAAAAATCTGACCAGAGACGTAATATTTTTATCTGATGGAGGGACTCAGAAGGAGATGGGGGAGGAGGATTCAACACAGGGAGGATTAAGGCTGCAAAAATAGAGTCGGAGCAAAATTGAGTTTGGGAAATAGCAAAGAAATGAATTCAGTGGAGTGAGAGAAAGTAGCTCTGCATAGGCTTCTGGTTCAACAAAGAAGTGCAGTAGTGAAGTTCTGAAAGGCAGAAAAAGATGATGAGGGAATAATGAGCATTGTGCTGCATGAGTTTACCGTCTGTTTTATTCTGTCTACTTGGAGCACTTTAATAGAAGTATTATGGTTAGACAAGTCTCAAAATGAGCTTGGAGGCAAGTGTGGCTTAGATTTTACATGAAACTGTCATTAGTGTAGCTGGTAATGACTGTACAATGAGACTTTGAAAGACACACGTACATTTTTACCACATTTAATGCCAAAAAAGAAAAGGAAGTGCTGTGGTTTTTTTAATTTAAACACAGCCGGGACTAAAACACTGAGCCAAGTGCTAACCTTTGCATACTAAATCGCCTATATTGACTACTTACACACTTTGGACATGTGTAACAGGCAACTTAGTAAAGAAGACAAATCAGGAAGATGCAAGACGTTCTCCATATTTACAGTGTTGGCATACAAACTGTAGGTTTAGCCCACAGACTGAGTAAAACATAAACGTGGTCTTTACGATGTCAGCTGTTGGTTTCTGAAGTGGACATATTGGAAATGCCAACTCAACCAAAGTATTGGTTAACCTAGCATAAAAGAAAAAGGTAAAGTTGAACTTAAAGGGATATTCCGGCGTAAAATTAAATTAGTGTCAAACACACCATAACACCGAGTTAGACACCGCCTCGAGAGATGAATGTTGTCGACTGCTTGTTTCTCTAGTTATACTAACTTAAGTAACGACTGCAGGATAGCAATACGCAGCGGTCTGAGGAGCCATAAACAAACCTCAACCAAAACGCCACTCTGTAGCCACAAATAATGCTCAGAACAGCACCTAACTTCATCAACAGTACATATAGGGTCCCAGCCATAGTACTAGCCGCCAAACATCTTTTTAACTTTGACTAATTTCTCTAGCAAAGAGACTAAACACAACTCACCTACTCTCTTCCAGCAGCCGCTTGTTTGTAGGAAGACCTCAGGCCACTGACAAGAGACTGCCTCATACCCAGAGCAGCTAGAAACCCAGTGTGCATAAAAAAAATTATCATAGGAGAAGGTGAAACACTGCAGCACTGAGTTACAGAAATTAAAGTATTTAACATTTGTAGACTGCAGAAAATAGAGAGCAGAAAACAGCCCTCCTCTTATTATTACTCCCTTAAAGACTTTTAAGTGTCAACAGTTTTTTTGTGTCTCTTCATTTACAATATACTGCGTAAACTATTCCTTTGCTTCAGATTTGTAATGGTAAACTAAGAGGAGTGTATGCAGGATAATACTGGATTAAAGTCTTAGGCTGTCAGTATGTATCAGAGGTAATTTAAGCTGGTGTGAAACACACCGCTAGCCTCCACACACCCCGTCGAGCTTATCGCCACAGAGACAGCCCTCATCCTCCCAGACATGGGTAAGAAGTCATCCTCCCCTGACGCTCCTGTGTGTGTGAGGGTGGACGTTGGCACATAAAGAGAGAAGATGATTTCGCTGCAGAATGCCAGTTATGTAATAATAGACCCCGCTGCTGCTGCTGCTGTGTAATGAGCCGCGTTGATGATTTTTATAAACGCGTTGATGTTTGAAACGGAAATTGTGTCCCTAGAGTTTATGGATGTGATTTGTCAGCGAGTGGGCTTTCATGGCTCCTGTCTTGTTATGTAGTCTTTGTGTGTGTGTGGTTGTTAACATGGTCCTTCTGAATGTGCCCGTGGGTGTCATCAAATGTAAGTGCGTCTGCGTGTATTATCTATCATATGCATGTGTGGGCTAACACACAGCTTGGTTCTCGCCTCTCCTCATCATTCTCTTCAGGTTATCTCCTGATTTCTTTACTTTTTGTTTTTCATAATTGAACAACATGATCCTTCTTCTTTAAAAAGTATTTGAGATTTAAAAAGAACTTGAATTCTGTAATGAAAAGTTAGGGGACAGAAATGCTGCGGTTTCCACACTAGTTGACCATCAAACAAATGAAGCATAGATGACCATAGGTTGCACATCTAAGAGAGATGAAAGCAGAGTAACATCAGCTGTTTTTCTTTCTTTGATTGGTGCAGTTTATTACATTTTTGATTTAAAAAAATTGGACACTTGTACTTGCTTAGTTTTTGGTTTGTGACTACCTCCCTGTTCTTTTGATCTTTACTTTTACATAAGTTTATACTTTTACAAAGCATTCTTACCCTCTGGGACAACTGGTACCTTTTTAAAGGAACTTTTGAATTCTGGCTTCATTTTTACTTCACAAAGTTATATTTCACCTGACGCACAGGCACCAGCTTTTTTGTGTGTTTTTTTGATCGGGATAGCCAAACTGGGGCTTTTTGAGGAGTGGTCAGGCCAGGTAAATATTAGGGGTGAGAATCACCAGTGGCCCCACGATACAGTATTATCACAATACTTGGGCCACGATACAGTATTATTGCGATTTTTAACATTTTTCAATACATTGAGTATTAGGATACAATATAATGCAGTTTATAAAAATATTTTCTAGTATTTGGCTTTCCCTTATGTTTGTCATATTTACGCTGTATTTATTTTCATGTTGCACATCTTGCAAATCTTATATTTACAGTCCAGGTGTGCCAAGCTTGTTGCATCATACACAAGAAGACTGGAGGCTGTAAAGGGTGTGAAAACTTATGCATATGCAACATTTGAGTGTCTTATTTTTAATAAATTTGCAAAATGTTCTAATAAAAGTTTTTAGCTTTGTCATTATGGGGTATTTTGTGTAGAATTTTGGAGGGAAAAGGGGAATTTAATCCATTTTGGAATAAGGCTGTAACATAACAAAATGTGGAAAAAGTGAAGTGGTATGAATACTTTCCGGATGCACTGTATTTGTTGTACTAACTTTCTCCTGCTCTATGATGTCACCTCTGCCAACCTCACTGACAAACAGTTGATTTTATTTTTCTGTTGTCATAGATTTGACTTTTTATTAACAATAAATTTGAAAAATCGATACTTGGTAAATGAGACGATACGATATATCACCAGGCAAAATATCGCAATACTATGCTGTATCGATTTTTTCTCCCATCCCTAGTAAATATTAGAGTTTATCCCCTACTTACATCTGCTCAACTTCTAATATTAGAGAATTCGAAAAATATGATACTGAAGGAGGAAACTCAACATTTAAATCTGATGAAATTAAAAACTGAAGAAGACGTTTGTCCGCAGTCACCATTTACAGAATCAATGAAAGAAAATGTTCCATACTAAATTTCAAAGAAGCTTTAAGAAGCTGTTTAATACAACCTGAATAATTGATTTTAATATTAGTGCAGAGATCTGGAGGACTCAGCTCAGGAGAAATTAAAGCGGTATTCAGGAAAAAAGCTGTAATATCAGTGTCAATTATTAAGCCAGAAGTGAAAAGCTCTGAACTCTGAGTAAGAACAACAAACTGTAAGAAAACTATCCCTGAAGACATAAAACAAACAGTATATAAAGATGACCACGAGTATGGGTATAACTGCATGCTCTCTTTTGTGAATTCATCCCTAACTTCCTAACATCCCTGATCAAAGTGTGTATTTTTTTCTGCCCATCTAGATGTACACACTGAAGCAGTTCAAGCTGCTTTGGCCAAACATAAAGAGGAGAAGATGGCGCTCCCCATGCCTACAAAGCGACGCTCCACCTACGTGCAGTCACCCATTGAAACCCGAACACCACCAGGTAGGACAAGAATAAACCTCAAAAGTTTGTCTTACAGTCCAGAGGATGAAGTTCCTCATGACTTCTGTTTGTCCAGACTCCTCATCAGGTTCTGAAGATGAGACAGCCATGCGCCGGCAGTCTTCCGTGGTCGCTCCTCCACCTGCGGTCCATCCCAACCTGCAGAGTCCGGATGCATGGATCAACCGGACCGTCCAGGGTTCTTCCACCTCATCGTCAGCCTCCTCCACCCTGTCCCACGAGAGAGAGGCCAGACCGCAGCCTCAGAGTCACGCTCAGCCTCAGCCTCAGTACAAACCCCAGTACCAGCCTCTTTATCAACCTCAGTACCAGCCACAGTATCAACCCCAAGAACACCCACACGCTGCAGCCGTGACTAACATGATGGCGCACAGTCGCATCGGTAAGACCCTCAAAACGGACTTAAAGGCATGGTTGACGATCCGAGAAGCAGTTGGAAAAAACTGAGCCATTGAGACAGATTTGAAAAAAGTGTCCCACCCCCCCACACACAAACCTCTCCCCTCTGTGCTCCACGATAACTCCCATGTTGACATTGCAGGGACTAATAAGAGTTATTTATGTAACATGTGCCACGATAAAAGGCAAAAATTACTGTCGACTCTGCCCTTTCTTCTGTTGGCTTGCCTTTTTCTTAGCACTTCTGGCGGTGGGGCAAGAAGAGGGTTTTTTTTTTGTGTCCTTCTCCTTAACAGCTCCTGTAGCTAAGCTGCTACGCTACTTTTAGCCGCTCAGAGCTCCGAGGAGGGTCGCGTCGGGAGAGTGGGAGGGGATGAGTCGGAACTACGGGAGAGGGGTGTGTCGAATACAGTGAGGTGATTGGATGGAGAGGCAGAGCAGGAGATTGACCAATAGAAGCTGTCTGGGACGGATGGCTCCCATTGGTCAATGTTATTGAACAGATCTTTTCCATTCTTTTTTCTCTTCACTTTGTGGAGATCACACTACAGGACCATGATCTCCACATAAACGAGGTTCATAATAATTACCAATCACTCCAATCGTCAACCATGACTTTAAAGGGGGATGAAGACTAATAATTGAAACAGCAAGCACAATTTAATATGATTTATCTTTAACAGCACTCAAAAATATCTCTAAAACAATGAAAAAATGCTTTGCCTTTACTATATTCAAAACTTAACTGCATCATTAAAATGTGCAAATTGAGTAATTATATACTCTTCTGCAGATGTAGATTTAAAAATGGATCACTAGCAGATTCTTTCAGATTATTTTCAGCTGATTCACTCCAAAGTTTTCTCATTTCTAAAGGGGAACCATTTTTCTCTGTACTGATCTTGTCCTCTGCATGTTCAAGTCATGTTTCTCACAAAAATCTGAAATTGCCTTTATAACAGTCCAACACATCTCTCTCTCCATAAATCCTTGCCTTAGGAAATGTCGACAAAGGATGTGTTGTAGATTGCTGTGCTTGACACCTGTTCCCGGCAGCATTAACATGCATTGGAAATAATTATAATGAAGTGAAAAAGCTCCATCTCTTTTGCTTTTGTAGGAGCATCGGGACCTCTTTCTATCTTATTTATAGGTGTTCAAACAGAATTCGGGTTTTTAACAGTCAAATACTGTTTTATGTACAGTGCCTGTCAAATTTGTGAGCTCAGATTGTCCTTCTTTTCTTCACCTACAGCCCCTGCAGAGAATAATGCCCCACCTCCAGATGTGACAGCTATGGCCACTCAATCCCGGGGCCCACGGGTGGACCTGCCCTCTAACGCTGTGGTCCGAGGGATGAGCCGGGGGCAAAGCCGATCTAGCATGATGGAGACTGCGGACGGTAAGGACTGCATCTCAAGATTTTTGATACGTTTGTGTGTCTATGTGGGAGCTGACTCCATTCACAGATCTCTTCTATCTTCAAATAAGCATCACCTCAAATCATGACTTTTCATTAATCCGACTCTACTGCTTTCTTCTCTTCTTGATCTTTCTCTGTCATGTCACATTGTTATGTGACCTGCTGGTAGGAAGAGGTAATTTCCAGAGTAAGGAAACTCCTTCATTTATTATGTCCTGAGCCTTCTGTGTTTGCTGGTGTTCCCTTATTCTCCCTCCTGTTTGTAATGAATGGTTAAAGAGATAAATGCAACCGAAACAATATCCACAGAATGAATCCTCACGTGTGATCCCAAACCGACCAAAACTAGCAACCTTTACCCCCCAGTTTTCACCATGTTCTCCTTGTGTTGTTGCCACCTACATATGCTGCTTCTCACTCCTAGAAACGATGAAAACCAATCACAAATTCAGCTGTAAATACATTTAATTTTGTTCTGGGGTGTAGAGCAGCATGGTAAGGCGATGGAAATAAGTTTGACCATGTTGGGTTTTGTCACTGAATGTACAAACCACCGGGTGTGTGACTGTGTGTTTGTCCTGCTGCTGTCTCTCTCCACCGTCATCCTGCATGTAGGAGTTCCTGTGAGCAGCAGAGTGTCCACTAAGATCCAGCAGCTGCTCAACACCCTGAAGCGGCCAAAGAGGCCGCCACTCAGCGAGTTCTTCACCGATGACGCTGAAGAGATAGTGGAAGGTACCCTGCTTCAAAATCTTATACTGACCCAACACTGACTTACACTATCGTGGAGGCATTTGTATTTCTTAAAATCTAGCAACCCAACCTTTGGCTTTGCACTAATAAAGGACCCTTATTATATTGTTTTACTCGTGTTACAAAGGATCTAAAGTTACTGCAGCTCAAGGGTAAAACATATATTCTATTATAGAGGGCAGTGCATTTTCTTTTGCAGAGAATAAGTTCAAGGAAGTCTGAACAGACGTGATACAGTAGACCAACAATAATGAAAGGAAAGCTAATGAACAGTGGCAGAAAATTTAATGACATTTACCATAATTAGAGTTAAACTACCAGTCTGTTTATCTATTTAACTAAAAGTAAAAAGTACTTCATTTTAAATGTACTTTAATGTACTGAGTGCATACTTTAGACTTGTGGTGGCAGCTGTTGGAGGAGTAAGATATGCCCCTGATGTTATCTTTAGATATATTATCCAAAACTCATAGCTGTAATATTAAGACAGAGTATTAGGGCCACATCAAGAAAAAAAAATAAATAATAAGACTTGGAGATTAAAGTCTTTAATTTACGAGAATGAAGTTGTTACTAACGAGAATAAAGTCATTACTAATTAGAATAAAGTTGTAATAAAATAATTATTAATGAGAACAAAATCGTAATAAAACCATTGATACTTATGATAATGTGGTGCTGATGTGCCGAAAGTTTCTCCTTGTTTGAGAAACCTATATTGAAGTACATTTTCACGAAATGCTCCATGGCTCTTATTTCAACAACTGTCATCTTAAACAACAGGTTAGAACTTAAGGACTTTATTTAGACTCTATTCTCCTAAGTAATTATTTAATTACGGCTTTAATCTCCTAAGTAATGTTACGTCTTATTCTCGTAAGTAGTTACTTTATTATGACTCTATTCTTGTAGGTAGTTACTTTGTTACAACTTTATTCTTGTAAGTAGTTACTTTGTTACGACTTTATTCTTGTAAGTAGTTACTTTATTACGACTTTATTCTTGTAAGTAGTTACTTACAACTCCATTCTTAATGACTTTAATCTCAAAGTCTTAATTTTTTTTGGTCTTAATTTGGCCCTAATACTCTGTCGTATAATAAAACCAACAGCACAATGCGTGAAATTATTTTGTCTTTACTGCATGTTTTGTTCGTATTGCACTTTGTAGATGGTCCCTGCACACAGAGGCTGATGTGTACAGAGGAATGCTTTTAAGAGCCCAAGATAAAAACTTAATTGATTGTAAAATGTCTGCCAATGCAGCTAGCGAAATTTCCTTGAAATGTTTCTTAAAACAAAATTTTAAACAATACAAGGAACTAAAAGAAAAGGATCTTGGCTTTGAATTTCTTGAAATAAGGTTAAGATAGGATTATGGCTTTTAAGTGTATAATTGCTTGTATCAAGAGTAATAAGGTGTTTTTACCAGAAAGAAGACAAAGCCATGTGGTAAAATTTGAGCTTTTTGCAGCGTTGACTTCATCCAAACAGCTGGCCTTTATACAGCTGAGGCATAGCTTGGTGTGTTTTAGCCGTAACTAATGGTATGAAAAATATAGCAGAGTGAAGTACTTCTAACACTGAACTTCAGTGCTTTTAACAAGTACTGATTTAAAAAAAAATAACTCTAAAAAGACATAATACTCAAAAAAGCTTCAATTACAGTAAAAGCAGAAAATGTGTCTAGTTAATTTCCCTCCCTGCTGATAGATCCTCATTTATTAAGTCTAATGTATATCATTAAGTGTTCTTTTGTCTCTCACAGTGCCCACACCTGACCCCAACACCCCCAAACCAGAGGGCCGTCAGATCATGCCAGTAAAAGGAGAGCCTTTGGGAGTGGTCAGTAACTGGCCCCCAGCCCTGCAGGCAGCACTGGCTCGATGGGGGGCCACTCAGGGGAAAAGTCCTGCGCTCACTGCTCTTGACATCACAGGCAAACCCCTCTACACGCTGACTTATGGTGAGACAGGACTGTTAATATGTCTGCATTAATGTTGTCAAATCAAAGCAGTAAAATACAGCGAGTGGGAGTTTAAAGTGAAAGGTACTTTGTCATGTTTAGAGCTTTCGTGTTACGAGTTCATCGAGGTTTTGTAGAGTTATGTGCGCATTATGTTACGTGACTATTTTCTGGCAGTGATAAGACATATAACCCACTCCCCATCCCTGCCTGCTCCACCTTCTGTCTGTTAGGGAAGCTGTGGAGTCGCAGTGTGAAGCTGGCGTACACTCTCCTGAACAAGTTGGGTGCCAAGAACGAGCAAATCCTCAAGCCTGGGGACAGGGTGAGAGAGCTAGCACACGCAAAACACAAACACAGCCATATGCACATAAAGTGATGTCATGTTGTTGAGTTCACTGAGTGCAGAGGAATACAACATTTCAAAGATTTACAACAAGATGCAGCAGTCCTTTAATTAAAACCCTGTGTTTTCAACATCACCCACTTTGATGTGCACAGAGCACCTGATCCCTAACAGAAGAGGTTTATTATTACTGACATTTCAATTACCTCTAAATGGCTACAAACAGACTAAAAAAAAACATTTACAGCCAAAGTAGAAATGCATTTTGGTTGTTTGATCGGCTTTTTGTCATTAAACTGGCAAAACTGAAAAAATGTCTCATCAGACTTAGTATCTGTCGAGTCGCAAAGTTTCTAATAATGCTTAAAATCTAACAATTATCTTAGCAACATTTCTTTTTTTTTCAATCTTATTTTGTGTTTAAAGGGATATTCTGGCAAAAAATTAAGTTAGGGTCAAACACACTCTAACATCGAGTTAGACACCCCCTCCAGAGATAAATGTTGCCGACCACTTGTTTCTCTAGTTATACCAACTTTAGTAACGACTGCAGATAGCGATTAAGAGAGCCACACGCTCAACCAAAAAGCCACTTTATAGCCACAAATAATGCTCCGAACAACACCTAACTTCATCAACAGTACATATAGGGTCCCAGCCATAGTACTAGACACCAAACATTGTTTTAGCTTTGCCTAATTTCTTGTTTCACACAACTCACCCTCTCTCTTCCAGCAGCGGCTTGTTTGTAGAGAGACCTCTGGGCGAGTCCATCAACTGCAGTGGGGTGGCACAGCTCAAGGAAGAACATTTATGATAATTTCCTCATGGAAATGCAATCAGACCGAGACGCTAAGGCAGAAGAACTACCGCGTCTGCAGAGCAAAATGATTAATATGGTGATTATTACTTAAAAAAAAAAAAGATAAAGTCATGATCATAAATGTTCTTCCTTGAGCTGCGTCACCCCACTGCAATCGATGGGCTCGCCCAGAGGTCTCCATACAAACAAGCGGCTGCTGGAAGAGAGAGGGTGAGTTGTGTTTAGTCTCTTTGCTAAAGAAATCAGGCAAAGTTAAAAAGATGTTTGGTGGCTAGTACTATGGCTGGGACCCTATATGTCCTGTTGATGAAGTTAGGTGCTGTTCTGAGCATTATTTGTGGCTATAGAGTGGCGTTTTGGTTGAGCGCCTCTCTGTATTGCTATCATGTGGTTGTTACTAAAGTTGGTATAACTAGAGAAGCAAGCGGTCGGCAACATTCATCTCTCAACGGGGTGTCTAACTCTGTGTGTCCCTTTAAGTTCCTCTTTAAAACGGTTCTAGATTCAAAGTTGAATGTCTTGGTAGGTGGCCCTCGTTTACCCCAACAGTGACCCGGGGATGTTCTGGGTGGCTTTCTACGGCTGCCTCCTGGCTGAAGTGATCCCCGTACCTATTGAAGTGCCACTGTCTCGCAAAGTAAGAAAACTCTCATGTAACATGACTATTCTTCGATTTTATATATATATATATATATATATATATATATATATATATGTATTTTTTAAACTGTGAATATGTATTTGTTTGTATTGTAGGATGCAGGAATCAGCCAGGTGGGTTTTCTGCTCGGTAGCTGCGGTGTAGGTCTTGCTCTGACCAGTGAGATCTGTCTCAAAGGTTTGCCCAAGACACCAGCAGGAGAAATAATGCAGTTTAAAGGTCAGTGATCTCTTTCCATAACTTTTCATTCTCTGTTATGAAAAATCACAGAAAGTTAATAACATCAGTTCATCTTCACCAATTTTTGACCTTAAAATGAATGAATGTACTCTGTGTTTTAGTTATTAATGCTTTCTCGCACTTTTATTAGTTTACATGATTTATTTCACTCTCTCTGACTGATGCTCTTCTCTGTTAGGCTGGCCCCGAATGAAGTGGGTAGTCACTGACTCAAAGTACCTAACCAAGCCGTCCAAAGACTGGCAGCCGCACATCCCGACTGCCAACACTGACCCTGCTTATATAGAGGTAACTTACTGCTGCATGAAACTGAAACATGATTGTGTGGTTTGATATGAAAAGATAGGTGTGTCTTGGTTGATCAACGTCGTGTTCAGATTTTGCCTTCTTATTTCTTGTGTAGTACAAAGCCAGTAAGGAGGGCACTGTTGTTGGTGTGGCAGTGTCTAAAGTAGCCATGTTGACCCACTGCCAAGCTCTGACGCAGGCCTGCAACTACTGTGAGGGTGAGTGTGGACCTGAGCTGCTGTCGTCATCCATCACCTGAAGGTTGCTCCGTCAATATGTCGTTATCCGTCTAAAGTCACTTCTGTCTTTCCTCTCTTCTAGGGGAAACTTTAGTGAATGTCCTGGACTTTAAAAAAGATATGGGCCTTTGGCATGGAGTTCTGACGGTAAGTGAATTCCAACTCACACAGGGATGTGAGTACAAAAATTAAATGCTCACATGCAAACTCAAGGAAGTATTGCCCATTTAATGTTTTGTTATGCCGTTAAAACTCAGTTTCTTTGCTCTGGGGCTTTCAAGTATTACTCTCAGAGTTATTTCATGATGCTGGTTATCAGATATCAGGAACAGACCAGGAAAAGGGTTATATATGAGTTATATATATATGAGTTCACTTCAAGTATCTAGTAGACTGATAAAATACCCTAATAATGGATTTTATAGAAGACAGGAGACACGTGTGGTTTATTGGGACTTGATGCAGTTTATTTTTTCATTCGAGCACTTATAATTTACTTCCATCACTTCAAAATAGATTGATAAGATGTTACCAGCCAAGCTGTCTTTTCTCCCTTTTATTCAAAGCTCCTTCATAGTTACCTCTTTTAAATCATTGTTTTTTTTTTCATAACTTGGATACCTCTAAATGAGATTTTGTCAGATTTCCTTTTATCAACACCATTTGATGTATTTTTTATTTGTGTTCTTTAGTCTTTAAAAGGTTTTTTTTTCTTATTTATCATATTCATACTGTCATTTTTTAGTTATTTAATATAGTTCATTGGCGGTTGAGGACATTTTTACAGATGTACAAAGTAAACGAAAGCAAACCCAATCATTCCGCTCTTCCTTGCATTAACATCTCAGAAATAAGTAAGTCAAGCTGCAAGGTGTTGCAGGATATGAAGACGAAATTATTATCATCTGAGAAATATTTTTGTATGTCAGAAACGTGTAAACTCAAGCACTTTGCATTAAGTTGAAAAAGTCTGAATTGATAAGATGAATATCTCAGAATTACGGGAACAGTTTAAATGGAAAAATAAATATACTCTTTTTTTTTCTGAATCAAAGAAACACTGATTCCTTTAAATCCCACTGGACTCTCTCTTTAATCCACTCCAGGAGACAAACATTCCTTAAGTATTAACTTTAATCCAGTAATTTAGTGGTTTGGTTTTGAGGCATAGGGAGATACTCATGTCTTAAAGTAACATAAATGGTTTTGTGATAAGTTTGTTGACTTTTTTGCAGCTCCTTCAGGGCTTTGCAGTTTTTAAGTTATTAAGCCTGTTCTGATCTGCTGGACATTGCAGTGTTTTTGCAGGAGCAGTTGAGCCTATGTGGAGAAAAGATGACGCTCCTAAAAGGCTGTCAGGGTGGCAAGGTAGTTACTTAGGAGACAGTTTGGCGATTGCTGAAAATACTGGAGACCTACAGAGAGCAACTAAGGCACCGTATCTAATAAACTGGAAAAAAGAGAGCAGTTTTTTGTTTATTCTTCAATTTATCTTGTGGATTTAGAAATAAATGGGATTTTTTTTTCTCAAGTGAATGTTGTATGCTTATGTATATGTATAATGATTCATTTCTAGGCTGTGATGAACAGGATACACACCATCAGTGTTCCCTATGCAGTGATGAAGGCCTGTCCTCTCTCCTGGGTGCAAAGGGTCCACGTAAACAAAGGTATGATCAAATCAGATCAGAGCCACACAGAAGAATTTAATCCACGTTACATCACTCCTCTTTTATTCCTTGTGTAGCTCGTGTAGGTTTAGTGAAGTGCCGGGATCTTCACTGGGCCATGATGGCTCATCGGGACCAGAGGGATATTAGCCTGGCTTCATTACGGATGCTGATAGTGGCTGATGGTGCTAACCCCTGTGAGTACTTTATAACACCCCTCATGTTGTAAAACAAGTTTGTACATATGAAATATCATATGTTTAATCCGACGTCTCTTGCTATCCAGGGTCGGTTTCGTCATGTGATGCCTTCTTGAACGTGTTTCAGTCACACGGGCTGAAACCTGAAGTCATCTGTCCCTGCGCCACGTCCCCTGAGGCCATGACAGTCGCCATACGCAGGTATGTACACCTGTTGTGTCGCTGTATGCCGGTATTTCTACTTTTGGACACAATGTATGAGGTTTTTACGGTGGCTGAGAACCGCCACTGCTGCAAATAAAAAAAGAATGCAAAAAAAGAAGTCACAACAGAGGTTACTAGAAACCGAAGCCTGCTGCAAATAAAAAAAGAAATGGTGCAGATTTAAAAAAAAAAAACTACAACGGAAGTTAACAACGCAAAAAAAAAAGTGGCGATGGAAAAAAAAGTTACTTACTGCGAAAATAAAAAGATGCAAATCAAAAAAGCCACAACGGAAGTGAGCTGCCGGGGACCAATAATGATGATACACTGATGTTTTACGATCTAGGTACAGAAGATGATGGCGAAAAGACGAGCAAAGAAGTTAGTGGAAAGGTTGTTGTTTGTGTCATTTGGTTAGACCATGTAGCGCCTGAGTCAATATGAAGTTGATCTAGAGGATGCTGGTGTAGTGCTAGCTTCAGCTCAACTTCATATCGACTCAGGCACTACATGGTCTAACCAAATGACACATTGAAAAGCACACAAAGCGAAATTAATCAATAACCTTTCCACTAACTTCTTTGCTCGTCTTCTCGCCATCGTCTTCTGTGGCTAGATCATAAAACACTGGTGCATTTCATTATTAATCCCCGGCAGGTCACTTCGATTGTGGTTTTTTTGATATGCATCCTTTTATTTTCGCAGTAACAAGTAACTTTTTTTTTTTTTTTTTGCTTCGCCACTTTTTTTGCGTCGTTAACTTTCGTTGTGGCTTTTTTTTATCTGCACTGTTTCTTTTTTTATCCGCAGCGGGCTTCGGTTTCTTTTTTTTTTCATCAGTAACTTCCATTGTGACTTCTTTTTTTGTGCATTCTTTTTTTTTTTATTTGCAGCAGTGGCGGTTCTCGGCCACAGTAGATTTTTAAAAACACAATAAACAGTAAAAAGGCTTTTTCTCTTATCCTGAGCCTCTAATTCCACTGACTTCCCGCATTAAAACAGCATAACAGATCAAAGCAGACAAAGAAAAAAACGACAGCCTCACTCCAGGCTTTTATTCATGATTACCAGTGATTACCAGTAGGTCGGATGTAGATGTAGTGTGGGTTGGTGGGCAGATGGCTAACTGCAAGAACAGATGGGATACACCAAGGTGTCCGTGTTTGACTGAAACTCTCTCCTCTGTAGACCGGGAGTCCCTGGAGCACCCCTCCCTGCCCGAGCCATCCTCTCTATGAGTGGCCTGAGTCATGGTGTCATCAGGGTGAACACTGAAGATAAAAACTCCGCCCTGACTGTACAGGATGTGGGGCATGTCATGCCCGGAGGTAAGCAAAGAAGGACAGACAGATGAATCAAAAAGAAAACATGAGGACAAGTGGCAGATAGCTGCTCATGGGAAAGTCTGACACACAAGATTTGAGTGTCGGGTACAGAAAAACAGTCATGACCTTTAATAAAGTCAGAACAAAACCACACTAAGAAGAAATGGATTTGGAAAACACTTTTTTAACAATGGAAGCTTTTTGTTGCAGCCAATTCCAGCAGAAGGAGCTTTATTTCAGCACATGAACACAACAATAAGAATCTTAAAACTAGAAATTTGCTAAATTAACCGAGCTGCAGTGACTCATTCAGACAAAAAACTCTGTAAGTGGATTTTTAATTCACACAAACTGATTGTTGCTTGAAACTTTTAGAAAATCTGTTTTGGAAAAAAGCTTCATGTAAATGTACAATGTGTATTTGTTTATCTATTTAGTTTATGTGATAGGGAGTCTGCAAATTACATGGTGCAACTTCTGCTTGTTACAAACCAGCTGAAGTATGTAGAGGTTACAGCTTTTGCAGATATGGGGAATTAGAAAATATTGCAAATGTTGTCTCTATGTGTCCCCAGCTCTGATGTGCATCGTGAAGCCAGACGGCCCCCCTCAGCTGTGTAAAACAGATGAAATAGGAGAGATAATAGTGAACTCGCGCGCTGGAGGCAACATGTACTACGGCCTGCCTGGAGTCACCAAAAACACATTTGAGGTATGAAAGCAGTTACGCTGCCTACCTGCCGGTCCTTATTCCATCAGATCTTAGAGTAATCGAAATCAATTCATTCCTTCACACAATCAGTTTTGGAAATTGAATTCGATCTCAGACCTGGCTTGTACCTTTTAAATGATTCATAGCATCTTCAGTTGGACTGGAAAAAATGTAGGATATTGATTATAATCACATATTTTGCTAAGAAATGTATACTTTTACATTGAAAAGATGATGTCCCGCCAACTTTTGAGTTCGTCATGGATCAAATATCAGCATTTTTGCCACTGGAAAAATTAACTTTGAAAAAAATACAATTGTGGTTTTATCTTTCAAGACTTTTGGTCTTCATTATTTTTTTAAAATTGTAAAATTTCTTTAAGAGGGACCAAAGATTAGTTGTAATTTAGTAGGTATGCATTTGTATGTATGCATGTGTATGAATTTGTTCATATACACGTTTGGATAGAGTTTATTGATATCATTGTGGCTTCGATTCTTTTTTTTAAATATATTATTTATTCATACATTTACTTATTTTTCATATTTTGTTCCACTTTAATGTGCTTGTCTGATTCTGTACTCATTTATTCATATACAGTATATATATATATATATATATATATATATATATATATATATATTTTTTTTTTCTGTTCTGTATCCTTAGGGAATAATGGGGAGGGTTGGAAATTATGTGGTTAAAAAAAAAAAGCAGACATTTTCTTTGGTCATATCGTTGTGAAATAAAAAAAATCTTTAAGTTGGAAAAGAAGAAAATCTACCTGACTGTGTGTCCTTGTGTTCAGGTGATACCAGTAAACCACAACGGGGTTCCCATTGGAGAGATTCCGTTTGTGCGGTCTGGACTTTTGGGATTTGTCGGCCCAGTAAGTTACACAGTGTCATCATTACAGTAAAATAACTTGAGTCCTTCTGAAAACCTCCTATCTGTCTGTCTGTCTGTCTGTCTGTTTGAATGCGTCTGAATACTTTCAGTGTGATGACCCACCGTGTGTGTTTTGTGAACTGTGCAGGGCAGTCTGATCTTTGTGGTCGGGAAGATCGAGGGTCTGCTGATGGTGAGTGGGCGGAGACACAACGCCGATGACCTGGTGGCCACCGCTCTTGCAGTAGAGCCTGTAAAGACTGTTTACCGCGGGAGGTGAGGAGACGAACAAATTCTCCTTTTAATGTAATGTTGTGATGAAAGAGTGAGGAACTTCATCGAGGGTGAATCCTGTTTAGTAGCACTGACACCTGGTGGTTAAAATGAAGTACTGTGACACCTGAAACTGTAGGATGTAATGTTAACATACAAATAAGGGGTGCGTGCGTGTAAAAATCTGAACAATTTTCAGTACATGTTTAAATATTTGTCTGTGTTTGTGTTTGTCAGGATCGCTGTGTTTTCAGTCACGGTCTTCTACGATGAAAGGGTCGTGATTGTGGCCGAGCAGAGACCAGATGCCAGCGAGGAGGACAGCTTCCAGTGGATGAGCCGAGTCCTGCAGGTAATATTTCTTTTTTGTAGATCCTAAACAGAGTAAAAAGTGTGTTTTTGACTTTCTGTAAAATGGTTTTGTGCTTACTTCCACCTTTCCACCTCTAACTGAGTCAACATTAGAAACAAAAAAAGTTATTTGTGGGTAATTGAGTTTGTCATTTCTCAGAAATCTACTCATTAACCCTCAAATATTTGTTTCCTCTCATGTCATATCGCATTACTTCATTGTGGGAGAATAAAAAGCACATCTTGTAAAAACACAGTAGCCACATACACACTGACATGCACATATACATGGTGCTATATGTCACCACCGTACATCGCCTCAGTCACAACCTCAGAGAAAGGCTCAGAGGTGGAAGCTTGGTAATTCTTTTTCTGCCTGTACTAAAATACCGCAAAGTTTTCCATATCCATCCACAGTTTCTGTTTTGTTTTGACAAAAATCACCCTTTTTTGAACAAAGCTATATCTTTTTTTTTCTTTACAGGCTATTGACAGTATCCATCAGGTGGGCATTTACTGTCTGGCTCTGGTCCCTGCGAACACTTTACCTAAGACTCCCCTGGGTGGGATCCACATCTCAGACACCAAACAGTTCTTCTTAGACGGTAGCCTGCATCCCTGCAACATCCTAATGTGTCCCCACACGTGTGTCACGAACCTGCCCAAGCCCCGCCAGAAGCAGCCTGGTAGGTGATACGGATCTCTTGTGGAATCTGTATGAAACTCTTTGCTTATGGGTTGGATTGAATCTGCAAAGATTTGGAAAACTGCTGACAGTTGTGCATGTCGAACAGTCCTGGATTGCCGTGTTTGTAAATAAGAGCCCAGTTTTGAGTCTTACATAAGGCACATGTAGCAGTCTCCATGTTTTGGAAGAGTGGTAATCCTGCCATATTTACCCTGCAAAGTTCAGCAAAAGTCATGACACCACCTACACAAATATTCACCAAAACAAAACAATCCAGTATGAAACAGGGCGACAACAAACAGAACAAACCAAATGCTATACCCTGTGAAGTGCAGATAGCACAAGCAAAATCTTCTGAAGAGGAAGGTTCAAATTTCAACATGACAGCTCACCATGCATTCCCCTCCAACCGTTCAAAATAAGAGAGTTGTACTGTGACAGCAGAGATGCTTGAAGGTTGAGAGACATGTTGATTTAAATACAGTAATTACAGTGTTACTTGTTTTAAGTAAATATGGAAGTTATTCAGCCATTCCTCCTCTTTCCATAACCGATAGGTAAACCAGCCACACACTCAAGTACACAGTCTTTTTTTACTTAATTTACTTTTTTTTACTTAAGTTTTATTAAATTTTTAACCACAACAATACAGAGTATACATCTAAATACAATACATTTCTTTTCCTTTTTCCAGCTGTATGTGTATTTTTACAAACATCCACAGATAATGTAGGATTAAATCAAAGAGAATAATCATAGTAATCATCACAATTAAACAATGTCCAATCCAAAATACAGATTTACAGGCACAAATTCTAGTCAGAGGCAGGATGACTGTATTTTGATATGGACGGAGGTACTTACACCATAAACATAAACTGTCATTGCATCAATAAAGGTACCACAAGTTTCCATCTTTTAATAAAGGAGGCCCTTTTGATCTGCTCCATTTGATAAATATCCCATACTTTTTGAATCCAGATATTGTATGAGGGAGGTTCTGGTTTCAACCATCTGATTGTTATAGACTTAAAGGCTGCAGTCGATAATATGTTTAAGATGTATTTTCTGAGCTCCTGTCCAAACCTTCAGGCATTACTCACAGTATTGCAACCTTGAAGTCTTGCAGGATCTTCATTTTAAAAACCTCCTTCCGGGTGTTGAAAACCTCCGTCCAAAACACTCTATACTTCGCATTTTAACCTGTAAAAACTACTTCAGGATAATATTAGGCTTGTTTTTCTTCCACTTATTTTTCTCCTGCTGTTTTTGTCCTATAGTTGGTGTCGGCCCTGCGTCCGTCATGGTGGGGAACCTGGTAGCGGGGAAGAGAATCGCCCAGGCCGCAGGGAGGGACCTGGGCATGATCGAGGATCAGGATCTAGTCAGAAAGGTATTTTGAACAATAAACTTTCACTTCAGCCCAAATCTCTGACCTGTAACCACACTCCTGTTTTTAAAGGAGCCACGTGTTTGTTTGTGGAGAATGAGGGTCCTGCGTGTGTGGAAATGGTTAACACTCAGATCTGAAAACTGAAGGCTCAGCCACAGCTTAGTTTTCTAGATGTAAAAACAATCTGGACCTTTCTCTTTTTCTGCTTTTTCTCTCTCTGGATGTAGCTCTGTATGTGGCCAACTGTGATGGTAAGGACTGTGGCCCCCTTGTGTGGCATCTTCCCCACACCTCTGTTGATCTTGTCATGCCAGAATCAGTTTCGTATTGTGGCTTTTATTTTGTGTGTTTGTATAAAATGTGATGTGAGCAAAAAACGAGCATGTTATAGTGAATGGGTTTTAAACACGAAACTTCTTTGGGCTTTCTTTCACTGCAGTAGCACCATCTACATCTTATGTTATTGTTCATTATTTTAAGGGCTTGATTGGCTCGGAGTATGTGGTATAAATTCTTCTCATGCTGCCAAGAGATAAGTAATGCTGCACAGCTTCGACTGAGGAATGCAGTGTCTGAGCTTTACTTTCTTCTGTTTTATTTGATGTCTTTTAAATTAAGTTATTTCATCAGCACAACCCTCATTATCGTACAACCAATCTGTGGTTGCGTTTGGAATAAAGTATATGTTATCAAAGCACATCCTCAGCATTTTGTTCTTTGTATTTCAGCATCAGTATTTGTCAGAGGCTTTACACTGGAGAGCACAGACAGACCCGGACCATATCCTCTTTGTTCTCCTCAATGCCAAGGTACCAAACTGGTTGAAATATATTCACTCTGCTTTTTGATGTCAAGATAGTGCTGCACATTTTTCTAGAGTCTCAAGTGTCTGTAACCCTCCATGCATTGCCTCTGTCCTAAAGGGTGTAACGGTGGGCACGGCAACCTGTGTCCAGCTTCATAAGCGTGCGGAGAAGATCGCTGCAGCACTCATGGAGAAAGGGAGCATCAACACTGGAGAGAATGTCGTGCTGCTGTATCCTCCTGGTGCGTTTTACCTCTAGCTGTCTGTCTCTGTAAATGCATCGCTCCTATTGATCGAGATAAATAGTGCTCTGTGTCTCGGTTTACTCCACATACATCCTCTCTCTCTCTCTCTCTTTCTCTCTCTCTCTCTCTCTCTTTTTCTCTCTCTCTCTCTCTCTCTCTCTCTCTCTCTCTCTCTCTCTCTCTCTCTCTCTCTCTCTCTCTCTCTCTCAGGCATCGACCTGATTGCTGCTTTCTACGGCTGTCTCTACGCTGGAGTCGTTCCTGTAAATGTCAGACCTCCACACCCCCAGAACCTGGCAGCCACGCTGCCCACCGTCCGCATGATTATTGATGTACGTATGTGAGCTTTTTAGTGCACACATTATTGCATTAGTCAGTTTGTACATACTTGTATGTTTATTGATTTTAATACATATCAGAGTTTTCTCAAGTCACAGCTCATTTGTTGATCATTAAGTTGAATTATTTCTTTTTTTTTGTAATTCACTTTTTATTAGTTTTCAACAGGAAAAAATAATACATCTATACCATAACACAAGTCAAACAAAGGCCAAACAGAGCCTTGACAAAAACAAAAAAACAAACACAAACAAACGCACAGAGGGAGTCCAACAGAGACAGTATTACTACACAAATATAAACATATGCATACGTTGAATTATTTCAACTAAATTATTTCTTACTTTTTCTGAAATGCACCTTTTTTGACCCTGATGTGATTATTCAAATTATAATTGTTATGACTTACACATTTAAATGTGCAGTGTTGTTTCTTCTTTTAATCAAAATAAAAACATGTTATTACTGAAAAAAGAACTCTGGTGACTCATTGGATTTTGATCTATTTGTAGCAGCTTTATTCTGTTCAATTGACTCATATCTTATTTGTGTTCCAGGTCAGTAAAGCTGCATGTATCCTGACCACTCAAAGTCTGATGAGAACACTCCGTTCAAAAGAGGCAGCTGCATCTGTCAACATTAAAACATGGCCGCCAATCATTGACACAGGTAAAATAGTGAGTCAGACCAGTCACAGTGAGGAAAGCATTGGTGTGATTTTTACAGAGGCTGCCAAATACAGAAGAACTTGGCTGTCGTGACTTTGGCTATCTACACCTGTGCTTTTCCTGAGCCAAAATATTCAAGTTAACTTTGAAAGTTTGACATACATGAATGTAAAATCAAAATGATTTTGCAACGTTAAAATATCCACAAATACTGGAAATTCTATTAAAAAGGCCTGATCATGTGGCTGAAGATGCATTACATTGTTTTTATGTTGATATGAACTGACCTTTGCATTATAATTCAAGAGAACAATATTAGCCTTTTAGTTGTTACCAGAGTTGGTCTGTATGTGTAAAGTTAGTCAAGTATAAAGTTGTCAGTTCTGTCAGAAACACTAGTGTCAGTTACTGTGTTTGTGTTTACTGTCTCCAATACACAGATTGTTCAGGAGGTAGATGAGTCCTCTGTGCTTTGTTGCTGTATGCAGTTTTGTATTTACTTAAATCCTCCTTTAGTGCGATGCATAACTATTTTAGTTTCTCTGCACAGCTCTCCCTGTCAACATTTAAACATGAATGAACCGTAGCAACAATTAATATGTGACACTGGTATCGTTCTTTCAAAATGGCAGTTAACTGTACTGGTGGCATCAGGACATAATGGTTTCGGTGTGGTCGTTGTTGTGTTTTGTAACTTAAAGATTACTCTCTTGATGTTGAACATGCACTGTTCTTGTTTGCAGATGACCTTCCTCGCCGCCGGCCTCCTCAGATCTATAAACCGCCCACAGCAGAGATGATAGCTTATCTAGACTTCAGTGTGTCCACCACGGGCATGCTCACAGGGGTCAAGGTGAGACTGAAGGGCTTTTCCTTTACCCAGATCTAATATCTACATGCTACTGCTGCGCTCTGAAATGCCTCTTGGACCACAGCAAGGGGAAATCATCTGTGGTTTTATGAGAACAATATACCAAACAACAATGTAAAATGAGTGAAATCAAACATTCGAGGTCTCACTCATGGCAGTGAACTCACAGCTCTCGAATAAATGAATCACTTCCTTACTTTACAGTTTAACCCCTCAGCATTTGGTTCACTTTCACTCCCCTCCAGAGCGTCATTTTCAGGCTGTTGTTTTTGGCGATAAAGCTCGTGTACAGGACCTGCCTAGTGTTTGACAGCACAGAGATTAATATATATATATATATATATATATATATATATATATATATATATATGCTACATGAAAAGAAAATACAGCGTAAATATGACAAACATAAGGGAAAGCCAAATGCTAGATTACCTAAACAGTTAAAAAAATTGTATAAATCACAATAAATTGTATTACAAAACTCACTGTATTGCAAAATGTTAAAAATCGCAATTATATCATATTGGGGCCCAAGTATCACGATAATATCATATCATGGGGCCACTAGTGATTCCAACCCCTACTGCCACCAGGTGGACAAAAGCACAGAAACAACAGGATCCAAGGTACGCTGTTGTACAAAACTTCAATTTTAAAGAACCAAACAATCATCCTGTTTGGATGATTGAATCACTGACTTCCTGACATCTAATCATGAAAAAGTGAAGAGCAGGAAAACATTCTCGGCGATGAATGACAGAAACACCAATCAGTCATCTATTGCAGGTTAACCCGACATTACCTTTTTCCCAGACTAGTGCCATTCAACATTTGCTGGTTTATACTGAGTGAAATGAAAAGAACGGCTGAAATATTGAGTGACAGAATCAAACCTTTAGTTGAGATGGGTCTAACCTCCACTGAACGGACCGGAAGTTGTTTGAAGCCTTTCAAAGTAAAAGAAAATATTCCGGAAGTATGTTTCTTTAATTCGAAGCCTTTCAAATGAAAGTACGTTTATTTGTCTCATGAGAATATAATTTTTTATATGGGGCTTTATTTTATGTATAAAATGTTAATATGATTTTTTGTGAACTCGTGTTCAACAAAGAAAAAATACAAAACTGAATGACCACCTCAAACAAACTAGAGTGTCTGAGAAAAAACATCAACACAAAATGACCACAAATATGAAAGAAACACAAAAAACTGACACAAAACCACCAAAGAGATGCTGTGTCTCTCTCCAATAAAGGTATTTGGGGGTTGTCTCTTTTATGTCTGTACCTAGGAACCCATTATTTAAAACTTCACATATTCCACTGATATACATTTACCCAAATTCAGTGAAACTTTTCTTTTGAAACTCTTACTTGTATCCCTGTTTGTCACAGATCTCCCATGCAGCAGTCAGTGCACTGTGCCGCTCTATAAAGCTTCAGTGTGAACTGTACTCCTCTCGCCAAATAGCCATCTGCCTCGATCCGTACTGTGGTCTGGGCTTTGTCTTGTGGTGCCTTGCAAGGTATGGTAAAGCATGACCTGCAGCACTTTTCTGCATCGTACCTGTTTTGGAGTTTGTTTGCACATTTTGAAATCCACTTCTTCTCTTCCTGTCTTCTTTCTCAGTGTTTACTCAGGTCACCAGTCTATCCTGATTCCTCCATTTGAGTTGGAGAGCTGCTTGTCTCTGTGGCTGAGCACACTCAGTCAGTACCGCATCAGAGACACTTTCTGCTCCTACTCTGTCATGGAGCTCTGCACTAAAGGTTTAGGGACTCAGACTGAGTTGCTCAAGGTAAGGAAGACATTCAGTGAAGAAAATCAAGAGTGGCCAACAGATGCGTTCTTTGGGATTGATCATTTTATGTGTGTTTGCTCTAGGCTCGTGGTGTGAACTTGTCGTGCGTGAGGAGCTGTGTGGTGATAGCAGAAGAGCGTCCTCGCCTCGCCCTCACGCACTCCTTCTCCAAGCTGTTCAAAGATGTGGGGCTATCACCTAGAGCTGTCAGCACTGCTTTTGGGTCCAGGGTTAACCTGGCTATCTGCCTGCAGGTACATCAACCACTTTCACAGGCTTCAAAAAGAGAAACAGTCTGAACTAGATCTGAAGAATGAATGGGATTTGTTTGAACCTGATGTCTGTGTGTTACAGGGCACCACTGGTCCTGATCCCTGTACAGTATATGTGGACATGAAGTCCCTCCGCCATGACAGGTAAGAACACACAGAGAAGTTTAACCAGCATGACAATACCTCTCTCATCATATTTTAAAGAACCAAAATCTTCCCATCTTAAGATCAGACCTACTCCTATCCTGTCTTAAACCAACATGAGTGTAACATTTTGAAGGTTTCAGGAAATTACATTGGCGAAGAAAAACTTTCTTTTAACAGGCAGAAACCTTGAGCAGAGCCAGATTCATGTTAGACAGTAATCTGCCATTACTGTGTTAGGATTAGATGAGAGAGATTGACGGAGACAAACAACAACAAAATAAGTCAGCAGTGATGTATGGATATGGTGCCAGAAATCATGGGACAAATATGTTTACTATTTACAGGAACAGCTTGTTGATGAGCTTCGTTAAATTTATGGCAAATTTAAGTCAACATGTCCAAAGTAATATCAAACCAGTAATGGCATTTGCAATAGTGAAGTTGAGGTAAATAATAAAAGTTGAAATTAGATCAACTGAAGAGAAAAGAGTCAAAGAAGTTGTATGATAAACATTAGCTTTGTAACAGTGATATTGATTGACATTAGCTGTTTAACAGTGATAAAAAGGGTGAGACTGATGCTAACAGTTGGATCAGTTGGAAAGCAGTAGAGATGTGACGTTCGCGAACGAGTCAGTCCTTTGAACGGCTCCTTTAAGTGAATGATAGAACCGGTTCACACTGGTCAGCCGTTCATATGCGAGCCATTCTCATGTGCAGTTCTCACTGCCCAAGCTGCCTTCATGTGTCACCTGTGCGCCCCAAACACCTGGTAGGGTAGTACAATTTTGCATTCACATTTTTGTCATGTCTTAATTTGTCAGTTATCTGTAGCCTAAATAGTTTTTATTGTTACACAAAGTTTTTTAGGTTAGGGAAATTTTTGAAATAGTGATTTCACTGTCAAATCATGGGGAAATGGCACCACCTTATGGACTGCTTACAATGAAAACACAAGCCAAATAAAATTATTATCAATATTTCAGAATATTTCCCACCTGTGCGTACCACTGGTTGGCTTCTAATAAATAGATAAATAGATATAACAATGAGCCAGTCTTTTGAACGGCTTTTTGAAAGGAACGGCTCCTCAAGATCCAGCTGCCTTTAAAGAGCCATAAATCCCATCTCTAGAAAGCAGGCAGGAGCACAGCAACAAGATGTCTCCAGCAGCAACCCAAAGGAACCTACAACATGAGGGAGGATTAATTTTTTTATGTTTCAATTGGTGGGATTATTTCTGAAATAGCTTCAACTGCACACCAAAGAAGTATCACCAAAATAAAGCAGATACAGAAACGTTATTCATCCTTAGATCTATGATCATCAGTGAAGACAAACAGACAAAACCACACAAACCTAAAAAAAAAAATACCCTGAACTGCAAAAAACTATTGTGGATTATCCTAAATTAGGGAAAAACATATATTCTTAAAAACACTTTTTTTTTCAGAGTGAGGCTGGTCGAAAGAGGAGCACCTCAGAGTCTTCCTCTCATGGAGTCTGGCAAGGTGGGATGTTTCTTCATGGTGTATGTACATCTGTCATGTATTTTAGTCAGTGGATGTTATAAGATCATGAAGGTTGACTCTTTTGTTTCCTCTGCAGATACTTCCAGGCGTACGGGTGATAATTGTAAATCCAGAAACCAGAGGTCCTCTGGGAGATTCTCATCTAGGCGAGGTGAGAGAAAGCTGCAAAATGAAAAATTATTTGTGGTCACAACCAGAACTAATTATGGTTATCCCTCTCAGACCAGTGGTGACCAGTATGTGCTTTCTCTCTTAGATCTGGGTGAACAGTCCTCACAGCGCCAGCGGCTACTACACCATCTACGGAGAGGAGAGTCTACAGGCCAACCACTTCAACATTAAGCTCAGCTTTGGAGACCCGCAGACCTTGTGGGCCAGAACAGGATACTTGGGTTTTGTGAAGAGGACTGAGCTGCTGGATGCCAGTGGGGGTAACAAGACACTAACAGAACCAAGTCTAGACTCTGTTTCACCTTAATGTGCCAAGAAAAAGAGAGGCTGTGTATTACAGTCATATCAAACAGAGAAATATTTTAATATCTGAACTATTGAAGGTCATAAACATAGGTGAAAACACTTCTTTCTCCACTTTGTCCGCACACTATCCTCACTTGATAATGTTGCTTTTGTGTCTGTGCTCAGATCGACATGACGCTCTGTTTGTGGTGGGCTCGCTGGATGAGACCTTGGAGCTGAGGGGGCTGCGTTACCACCCCATTGACATTGAAACCTCAGTGTCCCGGGCTCACCGCAGTATTGCTGAGAGGTGAGAAGACTTGCAGACTTAAGTAGTGTTTCTCCAAACGTATATTTTGAATTATACAACCCCCCAAAAAAGAAATAGCAGACTTTGTTAATGGAAAAAGTAAGCATATTATAATAAGCATACTTTTTCCTGCAAGATACAGAAAAAGTGAAGTATAGTCATCATTTCCACTGTTTTCTAGCTTTACAGCTCCTATTCAGAATCAGACTTTTGAAATCATTAAAGGGATATTCCGGCGTAAAATTAATTTAGGGTCAAACACACCGTAACACTGCGTTAGACACCCCCTCGAGAGATGAATGTTGCCGATCGCTTGCTTCTCTAGTTTTACCAACTTTAGTAACGACCACATGATAGCAATACACAGCGGTCTGAGGAACCATAAATAAACCTCAACCAAAACACCACTCTATAGCCACAAATAATGCTCAGAACAACACCTGCCTTCATCAACGGTACATATAGGGTCCTAGCCACAGCACTAGCCACCCAACATCTTTTTAACTTTGCCTGATTTCTTTAGCAAAGAGACTAAACACAACTCACCTACTCTCTTCCAGCAGCTGTTTGTTTGGAGCAAGACCTCAGGCCAGTCCATTATGGACTGCTGTGTGGTTACGCAGCAGTCCGTAATGGACAAAGGAAGAACATTTATGATTATTTCTTTATCATTTCCTTGAAGTAATAATCCCCATATTAATCATTTTGCACTGCAGACGTGGTAGTTCTGCCTTGCAGTCTAATTGCATTTCCATGAAGAAATGAAGATCATCTCTCGATGGGGTGTCTAACTCGATGTTATGGTGTGTTTGACCCTAAATTAATTTTATGCTGGAATAGCCCTTTAAGATCACATTTAATGTAGTTTATAGAAAAGAAACACTTAATAGGAAAAGAAAGCCTCTGATTATTTTAGCTCCAACTAGAGACTGGAAACAGATAAACTGCTAGTTTAGCCCTATGTAAAGGTAAACACACATTTCAACATTTTTTTAAAAACACACTGTTTTTTTTACAAGCTATTTGAAGTTTCAAAATTGCTTGACATGAACTCTGTGCTCTCAGTCACACTGATTTTGTGCTCGACAGTGCCGTGTTTACATGGACCAACCTACTGGTGGTGGTGTCAGAGCTGTGTGGCTCTGAGCAGGACGCGCTGGACCTGGTGCCTCTGATAACTAATGTGGTCCTGGAGGAGCACCACCTCATCGTGGGTGTAGTAGTTATAGTGGACCCTGGGGTCATACCCATTAATTCCAGGGGAGAGAAGCAACGCATGCACCTTCGTGACTCTTTCCTCGCCGACCAGCTGGACCCCATCTATGTTGCTTACAACATGTGAGGGCGTGTGGTTCTCTTGGCTTGTTTGGCCATCATCCTCAACATAGATGCTTCTCCGCCATCATTCCCGGCAACCAACCACAGCTTGGCAGATGGTGAAAAGGAAAAGCATGAGCCACATGCACTGCCACCCAGCCCTGAGCAACACCAGCATATCTCGGCTACTGCATGTCTGTGATTGGACCTGCCATGTTTGGAGTTGTTCACTGTGTTTTTTAGGTAGAATTTTGCAAAACAGACAGAAACACTGCATAGCACTGCATATGACATAAAAGAAAAAATCCCCAATTGCACTTGTTCGGGGAGAGAGCAAACCAACATAATCATCAGACACACTTTTGTAAGTTCATATAAATGTCTTTGTGAAGACCCGTCTTCTTACCCTGCTCCTTCTACAACTCAACTTCTGGTACCCTTTCCTTTGTGTGTGTCAAGGCAGATTTCAAGAGCTACTAAACTTTTATCAACAACTTGAAGTATTTTTTACATGCAGCTTTTAAAGAAGCACTCACTAACACACGAGCAGAGTCCCTCTCATTCCTCACTAACATGGATGGAGAAAGAGGGCAGAGGAAAGCAAACTATTAAGTAAGTAATAAAGCAGCCACAGTTTATTACAATGAAGCCAAATAAAATTCCATTTTCACTTTCCTTCCCCAAATGTATTTCCTGCCTTAAAAAACTTCAGCCATACATTCCCAATTTGATTTTTACTGAACCTGTTATTTACGGCTGTTTATTCTCCTTCAGTTTGACCTGTAGTGGAAATCCTGAGACCCATAAAAATCAAGATAAAAGAGGAAAGAGGCCATATTCTATACTGTACCTATAAAGGCCTGTTGTATTTTAGATACTGTACGCATCTGTATAGATATTTTTAATTGTACAAATGTAAAAATGCTTGACTTGTCTCCCTCAGTTGGTGGTTTTGTGGAGGCAGCTGAGAGACAATAAGAGTAGCAGAAATTTGTATATAAGATTTAACAGTAGTTTAGAAGAAGAATAGCTGTATGATGGAGAGTGAAGACAAATAACTTAAAAGCATTAGTTAGACACTGCACTTTCTCAAAATAAAATGTCTATTTTATTATAACAATGAGGCATTATAAGGGATGGTTAAGGAGCATATATTAATCTGTGGAGCTTTGAGAGTTTTACAAGGAGGGCTATCACTGTTAATGCCAGGGACTTAAACCAATATCATGACTGTTTTCAGGCTACGCAGCATTTTTTTTTTTTGTAAAATGTTAAAGAAAGGCCCACAATCGTCACACATCTAATATCCGTTGCCAGTGTATGTTGTATTGCTTAACAACTCATACTCTTCCTTGCATAATACAGCAAGTGTTTAAGAGGGATTGGCCCTTCCCCTTTCCTCCTCACTCTTCACTCTCAAGTTCATTGAACTGTGTTTTGTCTTTGTGCAACTCTGTAAAGAAATCCTTGAAATTTAAAGAGGCAAAGAAAGTCTGCACACAACAGAGGCAAATCATTATGGATCTGGATTCTATTCCGTCTTCAGTCACTGGATTTATAAGCACTTGTTGATGCAGTTGCAAAGCTGAGCCACATTAGAAACATTTCTATCGGCAAGAAAAGTAATCATAAGAAAAAGAAAAAAAGCATCAAATGTGTATTGCAACATCTTTTTTAATTCTTGTGCTCTCCTTGTGCTCCTTGTCATAATTTTAAGTTCTTTGTGCTGGGTTATACTGTATTTCATTGTTGGACCCTCAGGGTCAACATGTAAATAGATTTTTATCGTTTAAGACCTTTTAAACTGTCCCATTATAACACTAAAACATGCCAAACACGCTACCAGAATGATGTTTTTTGTTTGAAATGAAACATAAGATATTATCCATTCAAATACTGCACTTTGCACTACAATAGTACTGACAGTAGGGTTCTACTGTGGTTGATTTTAACACTCCCACTTTAAGTCACATTAAATGTGGTAATCATTGTAGAAATATAAGACTTGACTTTTAATTTAACCCAGTTTTGATCCCACCTTGAAGAAGCACTATTCACACTTCGTCTTTTTGTTTGCAACAGAATGTTTGCACAGAAGAAATCAGCTTGAGTTACATCTTTCTGAGGCACAAGTGGGGGAGACATGGGTGTATGAAAAAGTATATTCAGGGAACAAAACTCACAACACAGGGATGGACCAGCTGGTCCCTTTGATGCAATCTGTGAAAAAATACCCATAAGATGTAGATGTTTGTAAAACATGGAACCCCCTTGAAATTAAAGCTGACCTTGCAAACCTAAAGAGCAAGCAGAGGGGTTACTGAGTACCATCCACCATCTACCTGCATTGGGAGCTCTACAAGGGCTTCCTCTGGTTTCCGTTCATTTTCTCTGTCAGAGTTTTTACACACTATGCAAACCCAATGACAGTGCAGTTTGATTTCAAAGCTTGCACAGTCTGGTGAAGTATACATGATGCTTACACATTTTGTACTAAGGATAGAGAAGTGATTCAATTTAACCAGTAGTGTACTTAAGACTGCATTGATCTCTCTTCAGTTGTTCTACCAATAATTTGTGTATGACCCTTGGTATGTTGTATATTAATTATTTGGTCAACTCTAAACTGCTCTATGAGAGCGTAATTAATCATTAATGTTAGGAAGGTGTTAAAACTTATATAAGTAAAAGAAAAAAAAAAAGAAAAAACTCAAGGTGGTACACCCTTACCCATGTTCTCATTTATTTTTTATTTGTTGTACTTTGTTTTATACTTTATGTAAAAGTAATACAGAATAAACAAAAGCATTTAATCAATTCAGGTGGTCTGATGTTTAAAAGTTTGGTTGGTGCTGTAAAAGTTTTAAGAGATTGACCCCAGTGAATAGACTGGACTCGCTAGACAGGAAATGGGTTACAAGAAAGAGGGCCATCACAGAGGTGTTGCAGGAGTAGCCTTCAATGTGATTGGCCGCCCCAAAATTTGATTGGCTATTTGCCTTGTCATTTGCAGGGCTAACATTAAAATTACTATTACTATTAGGGATGTGTGAACAGGCTCTTTGTACCACTGATTTTTGTGATGAATGTTGAACATTTTCCTATATCAATGCCTTCAGTAGTGATTTAGGCCATACATCTCTAAAGAATTCAGCTTAAAATGTATGTACTGCCACTCTGCATTTTTTTTTTATCATTATTTAAAAATAAACACAAGAATATGACAGCTGTATAATGCCCATGTCAGTACCCCAATTTGGCCACTCTATTAAAAAAAGTCTAGACACACCTCTGAGTGGCAAGAAAGGTTAGCTGCTGTAAATAGAATAGAATAGAATACAGAATATAATATTCCTTTATTGATTCCCCATGGGGGAAATTTTTTGTCACAGCAGCATCACAGACAAAGAGTGCAAAAATGCAGTTATAAAAATAAAGATCCTAATATTAAGAACTTAAATAAATGTAATAATTAAGAAAACATTTAGAAAAGGGAAAAAGGGAGAAGAAAAATAAAACTATCTACAATATACACAATTCACACAATATTTAATATATTAATATATATGACACTTGTTTGAATGACAGATATATCAATGAGAATTACAAAAGCTTTGGCTCAGCACTCATACATGTGTTCTGCCATCCATGAATTAATATCACATGATCTGAGATGGACATTTTTCTGTTCTTTTTTTTATTTTATTTTTCATTGATTTCACATATCAATATTCCATCAACATTTTACATATATTGAACAAATTTCCAACTGTACAGAATATTTGCATACCTCTCCATTGCAGAGCAGAGACATAGTTAGACATAAATTCTCAAGTAAAGTTACTGTAGAGTAACTGTGTAGTAAAATGAAACACTTTTCACTCGTCTTTTTTTCACACCTCTCTTGCATTGTCCCTTTTCTCCTGATGGAGGGTAAACATAATAAACATATGAACAATGAGCAAGTTTGTAGCGTGAGCCAAGGGTATCAATAATCTACAATACACAATGCCTGTACTGCATAAAGTCTGCTCTCAATTGATCAACCCAGTTTTTCCAGTAGTGTTTAAAAGTATGTTTTTAGTCTAAATGACGTCAGCTTCTCCATTCTATCGATTATTACCTCTACCCAATCCTCTGTCCTTTTCCACTGTCCTTCGTTCAAATCCTCCCATTCCTCCTCTGATAATCCTCTCCCAGCCTCTTTTTCCCATTTTTATATAAATTGTATTGTTGCCCTTTAATCTTTTGACTTTTGAGATCAATTTTTTTCCCTGGTCTGAATCATATGCTGAGATTAGTAATTTAATGATTTTTTCAGTTCTTAGTGAGATGGCCTAAGCAAAAGGCCAACATTTTCATTCCAGGGATAACTGGCAATATACTGTGTTTACATAAATTTCTGCTAAATTGATTTGAAGAGCTGTGTTTATTGCTAGATAGTTTGAAATATAAAATCCTACTTTTCATAAGCATGAGCTAAATTGAGTAGACCCGATTCTTTTCCATGATGACAGTGTTAAAGTAAGGTTGAGAAAGTGTAGCATCAAATAAACACTCGTAGTAGGGCTCTGTATGAGGAAATCTAACAGACGGAACAGTTCTTTTGAATCCACTAGTTGCTTGAATTGTCTAAACCAATCAAAGCCCAAAGAAGCGATTACGTCGTGCGTCTTTAGCAGGCGGCCCGCCCATTTCCTTTAGGAAAAAAGTAGTCAGCTAATTTTTAGCTGACATCTTTGTATTTTTAGCAGTTAGCCAGAGTTGCTTAGTAACTTTTCAAGGAATCCGGTGTCTCAAAATATATACGCGACTTTCACGAAGTCCACGCTGTGAGCAAGAGCAGTTACGCGGCCTTTGAAAAGGTAATTTTTGGCTCGCAGGGCAGTCCTCAGTACTGGTCTGGCCGTCCGCAGCGGCGGACGGTAATGGCGGCTGTTGGCTTGTCAACTTCTCGCCGTTTTACGAAAAGGGAAGGAGTAGTTAGCTTAATGGCTCCCCGTATCGCTGACGTCTATTGACGCGTTAACTTGCGTGCCAGTGACAGTGTTGCTCATATTTGCTCATTGAGACAAAAGCTCGTCCGTCCTGTGAACAAGAGTGAATGTTGGCTCGTTTGTAACCCTGAAAAACTGTTTTTAACGGTTTGAAGTGGTTAACATCCGTTTTACTGAATGTTAGCTACCGTTAACTAGCACGTTGGTTAGGTCGAACATTCTCGCAGTTGTGATTTGAAGCACAAGTTTGCATTTCATGCCCGTGTTTTTCACTTGCAGAGAAAAGTCATTTACTGTTTTGCTGTAACTTAAACATAAAAAAACTTCGTAGTATTTACTCTCGGGCCTAGCCTTGCTTCATGTGAACATTGGCTGCAGTGGCTAACTAACTGAAACAAAGAGGAAGTCCATCTTTATGTGGCTTGAAGTCGCTTGTGCTCTTTGCTAAGCAGTTATCACAAAGAAACAGTGTATCTCTGACCTATTTACTGTCAATCGACGAGAGTTGCAAATTAACTAATACAAACAAATAACCTACAAGTCACACCACAGTTCAACTTACGACATGCAGACAGCCCCGCAACAGAGAGTTGTGTATTACGATCAGAGCTGGTGTAAAATAGTAATATTCATTTATTTGTTCCCAGTTACTATGGAAGAAGTACAACAGAGCAGCAATGGCACTGATTCACAGACTGCAACCATTCCCACAACCATCACAACCTCTCAGTTCTCACAGATAGCTCAACAGGTAATTGCTAGATCCCTTTCAAAACAGCATTAAAATTACTTTACATAAATACATATATATATATTTTTTTTCTTTACCGAACTTTTGCTCTCCTAAAACACCACTCATCTATTCCATGCTAAAAACTGAAAAATGAGCTAGATGATTTCCAAAGTATCCCAAAAGTTTGACAAAGACTGCTACACAGACCAGTCTCATAAAAAAAAAAAAAAAGATCAATACAAAAATGAACTGGCTAAATTACTGGATTATATTTGAAATTTTTTAGATGCTCACTCTTATCACACTGTGAAAGCAAAGACTCAAACAAGACTAGTCTTTAAGTGTTGTGATTATAAAAAAAGAATACCTGAGATCTGGGCTTTAATGTGGGGTGTGTGTCCTATTTATCTCTGTGTAAACTCTGATTTGAGTTCATAGGCTTTGATAATTAATAGACACTTCACCTCCATTAACAATAGGCATACACTGCTTCAAAAGTATGACTAAAAATAACAATGTAATTGGTGGCACAGTTGTGTGTTTTTTTTTGTGCCCTTTCAAATCAAGTCCCACAGTTTGGATTTCATGGTATATATTCTAAAGATTTCAGCCCTTTGCAGTAATGGTCAAATACTAACAGCGGTTATGAAAACTCAATCCCAATATTAAAGAATTTCAAATGAAGTGCCTCTTTGCACACTTTTAAAAATGTAGCTTGAATGCTACTTCCAGGACAAAATCATAATACTTTATGAATTTAGAATTGATGTTTGTTTGTTTTTTTTGCAGATGTCACTGGGTGGTGGATCTTCGGTGGCCGTTGTACAGCTACCAGGGGGTCAGTTTCAGGTTCAGGGAGTGATCCAATCTGCACAATCATCAGTCATTCAGTCCCTTCAGGGGCAGACTGCACAGGTGAGACCACCTGGTTTCCTTTATACTAAAGTGAATTTTAAACAATGACCTATAAGCTTGCGTGTGTTACTGTATCTGTATTCTGATAATCTCCCTCCCCTCTGAAAAGGCCCAGGGTTCAGATAGTGAAGATTCACAGGACTCATCAGATAGTGGAGCTGCTGCCCAGAAGACGAGAGAAATCCTGGCAAGAAGGCCGTCATATAGGTAAAATGAAAACCATAAAATTCTAGACCCAACACATTGTAAGATAAATCTAAACCCTCTTCCTCTCACCTTGCAGAAAAATCCTTAATGAGCTTTCATCAGAAGAAGTGACACATATTGAGGCCAAGGACAACAGCCCAACATCCACAGGAGTCACAGGTGTTACAGTACCCTCTACCCCCATCTACCAGACTAGCAGTGGCCAGTACAGTATGTACTTCTCCTTTCTGTTGTATATGACTGAAAAAGGGCAGCTGCTATGGTGGGGTTGATTAGTCTGTGAAATTACTGCCAAGAGAAATTCTGAATGATTCTGATTTTGTGTTTCCTTCATCTAACGGGATATGTGTGGTTTTTGTAGTCACCATTTCAGCTAATGGCACAATCCAGCTGGCGACTCCAGGGTCGGAAGGCATTCAGGGATTACAGGCCGTTGCCATGGCAAACCCAGGTGGATCCCAGCAAGGCACCACCATCCTTCAGTATGCCCAGACACCTGATGGCCAGCAGATACTGGTGCCTAGCAACCAGGTTGTGGTACAAGGTGAGGGAAATATCATAATAATAAGAATATTACTATAAACTATATGAATAATAATAGTTATTGTTTATGTTGTACTTTTAAAAGTAAGTTACAAAATGCTTTACAATTACAGGTAGTTAACCAAATAGAAATCAAATACCCAGCTGTTCACTGTAGTTATTAAAAGCAATACAACAAAAACAAGAAACAGTAATTTGATAATGACTGAAGGCCACATACACAATGCAGTGTTTAAGAGAAAGTCAAATAAGAGAAGTGCGTTTTCAGAAAGGATTTTAAAAGAGGACACTGAATTTGCTTGTCTAACATACTCAGGTAGGGAGTTCCACAGTTGTTGAGCATGAACTGCAAATGCTCAGTCATCTCTTGTGACCAGTCGAGGTTTAGAAACCTTAACTTGGGCCCTACTGGAAGACCTCAGGCTGCAGTCAAACTCATAGAGTGTTAGCAGCTCACAGATCCAGGCTGGAACATGGCTTTAAAGAGGGCTTTAAAAACTAGTAGTAAAATCTCTGTCTATTTTAGAACTGACAGGGAGCCAGTGAAGGGCAGGAAGGACTGGTGTTACGTAGTCATCTCCTTTGCTGTGTTCACAGTCTGGCACCAGCATTTTGAATCAGCTGTAGTCTTTGGATGTTGTGCTTGCTGGTGTCAGAATTAAGTGCATGGCCTGTTTTTTTTGGCAGTGTTTCTAAATATTAAATAGTTCTTTCTAGTTATTTGCTGATGAAGTTACCTTTATAAAATAGTCTGTAGCTCTGGAAAAAAAACACAGCTCCTTCTTTTATTCCACTGATTCCAGAGAAGAACACGGTTGCATATATTAAGAGCAATCATGGTCAACAAACAAAACAAAGCAAAACCTAAATAAATACTTATAAATTTCAAGTAAAGGACAAAGTGAAGAAGTTGAAATGTTCCTGTCAACACTTCAGGACTGAGATTTGTCAGGTAATGAATGCTATGTGGCAAAACTGCAGTGAGCCCTGAAGTAACATTTCTACTGTAATGTTCCTCTCAGGTGCAGGAGGAGAAATGCAAGCATACCAAATCCGCACAGCGCCTACATCCAGCTCCCTGCCTCAGACTGTAGTTATGACCTCTCCTGTGGGCTTATCTCAGGGCAAGAGTGATGACCCAACAATGAAGAGAGAAATCAGGCTTGCAAAAAACAGGTATGTTTGAATCCTTTTCTCTCCACTGAATGGATAGAAAGTATTTTTGTTGTTCAAGTATAGACCACAGCTCCTTTTTGAACAAAGCCTTGGATATTTGGTGGATGGTTCATTTATAAGTTTGCAAATGTTGAGCCAGTTCCAACTAGAAACAAACCGAGCATGCCAATAAGTTAGTTTTTTTTTTGCATTTTATTTGTTTGATTGAGTGACTGCCGTTATTTGTTGAGCATGGAAACATGCTTTTCTTGATGAATTGTAAATGATCTTGGCTGATTATTTTTATTTTATTCATTTATGTATTTTGCACACATATAAAATTGGTTTGATTATAAAGATTATTGTATTTGATTATAATACACATAAAGATGTGTCATGTGAGGTCAAGAGGCCAGCAGGCTCAACATTAAAAAAACAATACAAATAAACAATGAAGAAAAAAGGAAAGTGAAACTTGGGAGCAGTGTCGGAAGTTAACTTTTTTGTCCACCTACCTGTGTGGCTGTTGCATTTCAGAATCTACCTCCCACTCATTATTTAAACAGACAGTAGTGTGTATCATAGACAATGCTGTATGTTATAAAGGAGTTATTGAAGGCCTCCTCTTGCTTATCTATATGGTTTTAGTTTAAAGATCATTATCTCAATTTCAAAGGAAATCCTGTCATGCTCTTTTCTCTGCTCATAAAGAGACTGTTACCTATCAAATTCTAGTTTATTACTTTAGTAATAGTTATAATTATAAGCAAATGAGTAATAATTCAATGCATTTCAACATCTTAGTATTGTCAATACATGTATACTGTCATTCTGTGAGAAACAGTTATATAGTTGTCTTCAATAGAGATAGACAATAACATACTTCTTTCGGTTGGACTAAACTGCACGTTTCTTCCTGTTTCAGAGAGGCAGCCCGTGAATGTCGACGCAAGAAAAAAGAATATGTCAAATGCCTGGAAAACCGTGTAGCTGTTCTTGAAAACCAAAACAAGACACTTATCGAAGAACTCAAAACATTAAAGGACCTTTATTGTGTTAAGACAGGATAAAATGTTTGAGTAAAGGTCGGAGGTTAATACACAATGTGTGAGTGATCTGGGAACGTCTCAGCTCAACCAGTGGGACGTGAACGGGGTTTCTGGGAACACTTCATTTCAGGCTGAGATCTGTCTCTCTCTCTTTTTTTTTTACTGTTTGATATTAAAGTGACATGTGATGGCAGTGAAATATACTCAACAAACAAACAAGAAATTGGCAATTTTTCCACCTGCTGTTTTTTTTAAAATTATGCTAATGCTATAACATTTATAGTTATGTACATTTTTAATACTGGGAGGTTTGAAATTGTGAGCTTTAACTTGGAGTCTCAGTTTCTAATTATGTCCCCTTTTGTCATGTGTTTTTAAAATGTTGCTGTAGATTTTTTTTTTTTATTTTATCTAACAGCATCTGCAGGATTTGGGCTGTACACTTCCAACACAGAAATAATTCCTCTATATTTTGTAAACCATCAGATTTCCTCATTTCCCTGCAATGGAGATGTTACAACTGTCATTCCTAACTATTGTGCAATGGAATATAAAGGGTAACAGAAACGCTGACAGTGAGTGGTGTTTGATCGTTGTTTTTTGGCAGTTACTTAGACAATCAGGGAAAAAAAGCACAGTGTCCAGGTAATATTTATTATGTACATCTTGGGAGGGGTTGGGGAAAAGAAAAACGGTGTATGAAATGTTGCTAATTCTGTAAGTAAATAAATATATTTTCACTGAAAAACAGGTGATAGGTGTATTTTTGTTCAGTGCAAATAAAAATGTCAGAAGGTCCTGCAGGCTTCACTGGGGTGCAGACTATGCTTATCATTTTTGTCTGTTTTTACGGCCAATTTAACTGATATTTTTTCATTTATCAACACGATATTTTGGACCACTGCTTTGAATGAATGTCAAAGTCAATTCAGAGGACACAAAGTTTGGCCTTTCAGTCATTTAATTGAATATCCCATTATATGTGGTCTTATCACCAGAGTCACCCCTGGTGCCTTGATGTGTTTGATGTTAAGTTCAGAGAAACCAGCTGCTTCTAGATCTTTCCATGTCGCCCTTGTTATTGTACATCCATCCCCAAGATAATACCAAAAAGGCTCAAGGACATGCTGGAGTAAGTAAGTCCAGGCAGCTGGATCGGAAACAACATGTTCCAGAAAATAGAAGGCCCCACCCTGAAACAGAGAGACAACGAAAGCAGATTATGAAATCAAATCAGGTTTTGTAAGTTTTTTATTACTCAGTCAAAACAAAAAGCAGACTGATGGGCTACTACCATGAAAGTCATGTATTTTACTTTTTAAAGGCATCCACTCTTTAATGAGTCTGATAGTGAGAGTTAGTCCTGTTAGCCAAGTAAACATTTTTTCAAACAAGTAAGTTAAGGTAAGTTTATTTGCATAGCACCATTCATACACAAGGTAATTCAAAGTGCCTTACAGATGAAAGGAAATATAGGGGAGAGTGGGGTAAGATGAGCCATTATTCGTATTTCAGATCACTACATCAAGGCAATCATAGTTTTGTCTCTAACTAGTGTTTCTGTAGTCTGGCTGGGCCATTCAGTTGCGTGAATCACTTGCCGTTCCCCGGCAGGTGATTCATGCAACTGGATGTCCCAGCCAAGCTAGTGTATCTGTATATATATTTAAAGATGTTGTGTATCCCTGCAAACAAACAGAATGAGTGTAAACAGAACTGTCTTGATAATATAGCTTGCCAAAAAAAGTGGTCTCCTATGGTCAACTTACCCCATACATGGGGTAAGTAACTACTATTAACTACTAGTAACTACTACTATGAACTACTATTATGACCATAGGAGTGGGGTAAGTTGAGCCATATCCCTACTACCCCCCCACTCTCACCTTCTCTCTCCCTAAATAACAGTCACTTCTTCACATTCATGTGTATTTTTTAATCTATTATACGCTATTCAACTGGTACAATAGTTCGTTTTATTATTATTGCATATAGATGCTAAAAGCTGTTTTGTAAAAAGTCATTTTAACATGAGAATGTCTTCAAGTGATTCAGAACATTCACAGCTGTATTTTTGAAAAGAAAAAGTAACACATTTCAACAATCTGAACTGAAACTCTGATCCTCTCATCAGACTTTTTTACTTTCTTGGTTGAACCACTGACTCAACTTACCCTAGAACTACTATTATGACTTTATTAGTCCTCTAAGCTAAAATGGTGGACTTTTATGCAAGGTTTTTGACCTCATGTTGTAGCTCATAAATACCACAATTGATGTATAAAACAAATTTCAAATGATCTTTTTTTGGTCTGAACACAATTCTAATAAAACTTATGACAGACTAAATTCACTTTCAGGAGTGAAAAATGTTTGTTTGTATATTAATGTCTCACCCCTTCACCCATGTGCTTCTAACCTTCACAGACTCCATGAATTGATGCCCATCTCCTAAATATTTGGTCACATGATCAATTTCTTTTACCATTTCCAAGCAACAGGGGGTGGCTCAACTTACCCCACTCTCCTCTATTGCAAATTTTAAAAAGGAATTAAAACAATTTAAAATCATTAAGATATAAAAAAAAATCTGAATTTTATTTGTGCCCCTATCCCTGCCCACTCCTTCTTGCAGCTTTACCAAGCCACACCTCTGTCGCACCCTCAGTCTATGGACTCACAAATATTAGATTTCCTACAGCACTTGAACGCAGCAGCGTCTTGTACTTACTGGTTTGAGAATGCGTCGCACCTCGTGCAGCACCTGAACCGCGTTTCTTACAGAACAGAGCACCAAGGTGCAAACCACCACGTCCACGGACTCATCCTCCACCTGCTTCATGTCCTCCCCACGCGCCACTACAAATTTCTCGTACGTCAGGTGCGCGTTCGCGTCCATGCTCCGCTGCAGATACTTCTCAAAGTGCGGGTTGGGATCTGTGCAGACTACTGTGCAGCCGTACGGGTAAAACTTGAAATTTGCGCCGCTACCACAACCGATCTCCAGCAACCGAAGAGTGCCGTCGGTGTTGGCAAACCTGCCCACGTTTCGGAAAAGCTCACGCTTTATTTCGTGCATCTTGTCGTTGTAGGAAAATGTTATATTGTATGCCAACAAGGGAAATACGCGTTTGTACAAACTGAACAGTCCCATGACCTCCATTAGACGCAGGGGTAAAGTCAACACTAAACAAAACAGTCTGCATATTTTCACGAGACAGGACTTCATTTTCTTCCGTGCTGATCGTAAAAAAAGCTCTGGGAGAGGCATTTGAAGACGCTCTCAGTAGAGGATCAGGGGATTACTATCGTTAATACCTGGACCAGAATGTCTGTATTACTCTTTCAACACTAGATGGCGCTAAGAGACTACAGCACTTAAGGAAAAACCGGGACTGGGGCCAACTTTCTTGTTTTTACTCCAACCTAGGTCATCAAACAAAAGGAGAAAAACTAAAGTGAATTTATTTAATGAATACCACAATCACCGTTCTCTGGCAAAAATATTTGTTTTTATTGACAAAGTTTTTCCACTCATAAGAGAGTAATCAAAAAGAAACAAATAGTAGTAGACGTTTACAATGACATCTTACTTGTTTACATTTATCAGCAAGCATTTTTTGGATTTGAAATGGCAGATTAAACATCAAATACTGCAAAATCTTTTCCCTTTGTGCAAAAAAAAATTCAGCCCCCTACATAAATGATTGTTTTCATATAAAGTCATCTATATTAGCATCACAAAAAACAAATATAATCTGCCTTAAAATAAAAAGGCGTTATCTCCATCACCCATCACTTTCCAAAGATACACACTCTGTGCTTAATAAACCAACATACGGATATGAGGCAGGCTTATTATACAGCTACTTGTAAATATATCTATTTGACAGCGTAGCCCAAGATGTGCGGTCTGATGATGAAGACAAGTGGTGCTTCAATGTGTTTCAAATTGAGATCCGAGAAACCAGCTGATTCCAAATGCCTCCAAGTGTCCCGGATGACTTCACATCCATCACCAAAATAGTACCACGCAGGCTGTAGGACATGCTGGAAGAAGTAAGCCCAGGTGGAGGGGTCTGCCACAACGTGCTCAAGGAAATAGAAGGCTCCACCCTGCAGGGAAAAGATTTGTTACATGAATGCCCTCTTCATAATGTATCTCTGCTCACTAAATGCAAGTTGATCTTATTCCAGCACAAACAAATCTCATCGCATTACTTTTGTCATTCATCATTTATTTTTTCTTACATTCTATGCATGGTAAAATGACCAGCTAAAAAAAACGAGAACTTTTGGTGACATACAAAAAATTGTTTAAACTATATCATAAAGGCTGAGAGTATATATGCAGGCTGATTTAAACACTTGCAACACTCCCTATACTACTGCAAGTCCAAAAGGACAAAGGTAACACAGTCGAGTTCAAATTCAGAGTCTGGTTGAACTTGTTAGATGTAAAGGCGTTGGCACAGATTACATAAACATAGTCACAAGTAATTACTTAATTACTCACTTACAGCTGCAAAGTTAGGTGGCTGTGCATGTACATTCAAATTTCAGCATACTTACTCAATATCTGCCAACTAGCAATGATTTAAATTAGTTAAAGATTAATCCTTTAAAGCATGAAAACCATAAGTATATCAGCATTTTTTATGTAACAAGTAGCTACAGATAAGAATCAAATTACTTGCAAAGGCAGACGTGTCACCCAAACAAAACTAGGTGGAAAAACTATTCTCTTAACTGAACAGTTTTGTCTGGTAAACTTTACAGTTCTGCGTCATGATTATCTGGCATAAAAACTTTTTCAAATCTCGGTCGCTTTGAACCGATTAATCGAATAAGCTCTAGAGTTTATTGTTGACTTCCACTGTTGCAGAACAGTGACACCTTCAGAGCCGCAGCCTCACTAACTTTTACTGTGAAGCTGCATGAAATACAGGAGTAAGAGATAACTCACTGGTCTCAGTATGCGGTGGACCTCTCGCAGAGTTTGCGGGATGTCGTCGACACTGCAGAGCACCAGGGTGCAGACAACAACGTCAACCGATTCGTCCTCAACTGACCCCATGTTCTCCCCCGATGCAACCACAAACCTCTCGTATGTGAGCTGGTCGTTCTCGGCCACGCTGCTCTTGACGTATGATTGAAAAGTGGGGTTCGGATCAAGGCAGATCACCTTGCTACCGGCCGGATAGTACTTAAAATTCGCGCCTGAACCACAGCCTACCTCAAGCAGTGTCAGATGCTTGCCAGGCTTCTTAAACTCTGACAGACTGCGAAAAAGCTCCGTCTTCTTGTCGTGCATTTTCTTGTTGTACATGTCAGCAAGACGATATTGACAAATGGGGAAGATATACTTGTATATTCGATACAAACCGATCGCTTTTGTGAAATGAAGAGGCAAGCAGAAGACATTTACAATCAAAGTGCAAACCCGCATTAAAAGTGCCATTTTCGCGAACTACGACTGATGTGGAGTCCGGCCTGGTCGAAAACAACCTGTCAAGTGAGCTTGTTTATATAGTTTCAATGCGGTTGGTGCAGATTTCCGGTATATTTTCAAAATAAAAGCTAACCATCAAAAGACGATAAGAGGAAGAACACTCTACAAACACAGAGAAGACGGCCTTGATCCAAAATGAGCAGAAATGCATCGTGCCCGTAATACTATACTAGGTACCTTCTCGCTAAGTCGTATCATCACCGTGAGAAGCTTTTGACAAATTCACGGAGAAGCCTCTGAACAATTGAACTTGAAGTTGCATGTGGTGGGCAAAGTTATGTAAATTAAGGGAATACTAAAGACTGACCACAGTGCTAACTCAGCGAAGGCTCTACTGCAGGGGTGTCAAAGTCAAATGGACGGAGGGCCAAATAAAAAATTTAGCTACAAGCCGAGGGCCGGACTGATAGAATGTTCATTGAAAATTTTTTAAATGACGCATATAGTCTAGTGAACCTAACTGAACCTACTGAAAACCTAACAAATATATTCCAATATGATCAGATAAATAAAGCAATATTTTCTTATGGCTCTGTCAGTAATCTTTAATTTTCAACAGACACAAAAGACAAATTTCCTTTATATAAAAATCCCCATAACATGAACATTAAATGAAAGAAACCGGTATTATTCAAGGCACCATCAGTAGCCTATATTTTCTGTTTTAGCAAAAGTGGGCTAAATTTACTTCAAAGAAAAAAATAATAATAGCAATTTTCTATCATCCATTCAACTGAAATATTTTAAAAATATAATTGGATTGAAATACAATAAAAATGTGTTTCGTTTCATAATGTCGTCTCAGATTATACTCTTTCAGTACCGCCACACTTTCTCCACACAGAAGACACACAGGTTTTCCAGCTACCTCCGTGAACATATACTCCGACTCCCACCTTGTTTGAAACCCCCGGTTCTCAGTGTCCACCTTCCATTTTGCCATTTTTGATGGGTATCTGAAAGTTAATTTAACTGTTATGCTGACGACTGCTGTGCTAATAAATATTGAAATGAAGCAGCCTACTGCTCGGTGCGTCACCGTTGCATTGTGGGAAATGTAGTATTAATGCGTCTAAAAGATCTGTGGGCTGCCGGCTTGCTGCGGTCTGCGGGCCAGTTCTAATAATAAACCAAGATCATCCCAGGGGCCGTAAAAAACCTTCTCGCGGGCCGGATGTGGCCCGCGGGCCTTGACTCTGACATATGTGCTCTACTGTGTTAGTTCCTCAAATGTCGGTGTAAGTCCAGCTAACTAAATGTTTTTTTAACCGGGAGAACATCCACAGACCGCCATTTTTTTGTCACTCTTGGAAATTTCTCACCAAAGTTTGCCATATAAGTAAGATGTTAAAATTAGTACCAACGGCATGACTGTTAAACCTCTATGCATATGCTCATTCCAGCTGTAGTTGTCTAACCGTCACGCCAGTTGACTTGTTCAAACTTGTTTTAAAAACCTTCTAGTATGTACTTACTAGCAGAAATAGTAATCAATCAACTTTAAAATAAAACCCCACGATTCACTCTAATACCAATGGCAAGTAGGGGAGAGTGGGGTAAGATGAGCCATTTTTCATATTTCAGATCACTACATCAAGGCAATCCTAGTTTAGTCTCTAACTAGTGTATCTGCATATATTTCAAGATGTTGTGTATCACTGCAAACAGAATGAGTGTAAACAAAACTCTTGATAATATAGCATGCCAAAAAAAGTAGTCTCCTATGGTCAACTTACCCCATACATGGGATAAGTTGACCATAGCAGCGGGGTAAGTTGAGCTGTATCCCTACTACCCTCCCACTCTCCACCCCGGCCCTCCCTCACCCTCTCTCATTTCTTCACATTCATGTGTATTTGTTATGTATGTAAAAAACAGCTGCTGTATTTTTGAAAAGAAAAAGTAACACATTTCAACAATTTGAACTGAAACTCTGATCCTCTCATCAGACTTTTTTATTTTCTCAATTGAGCCACTGGCTCAACTAACCCCAGAACTACTATTATGACTTTATTAGACCCCTAAGCTAAAATGGTGGACTTTTATGCTAGGTTTTTGACCTCATGATGTAGCTCATAGATACCACAATTGATGTATAAAACAAATTTAAACAGATCTTTTTTGGTCTGAACACAATTCTAATAAAACTTATGACAGACTAAATTCACTTTCAAGAGTGAAAAATGGTTTTGGGAAATTACTGTCTAACGGTTCTAACCCCTTCACCCATGTGCTTGTAACCTTCACAGACTCCATGAATTGATGCCCATCTCCTAAGTATTTGGTCACATGATCAATTTCTTTTACCATTTCCAAGCAACAGGGGGTGGCTCAACTTAGCCTCTGGCTCAACTCATCCCACTTTCCCCTACTCTGAGGTTCAAATCTGGATTTAGACACTCAGCTGAAATTATTTCTTGTCATTTGAGATCGGAAATGGAATGTCTGTCTTGTGTCAGCTTATGTGCAACTCTAACATAAAGAGTGATGTTAGGGTTTTTCATAATTTACAGACAACTATCTAGTAACTATTAATGTTGGGTGTCAGTGTTTGCAAGTTATAAATTGTGAGATAAACTTTGAGTTTGAGTGATCCCAGAATGAGTCTGCCAGCGGCTGGCTTCTCCAATGTTAGTTGAGAATTACATGAGGGGGACACAAGATCAAATAGCCTACTCAAATCATTAAATCAGTAAATGGGGAATCTCCTGCCAAACGCACTAGAAACTTACAAGACAGAAACATTCTACTATGTACTTTGTTGCTTGTTTTTTTTACTTAAAAAAAAAAAACTCTCGCTCAGATTTGGGGTCCAAAACATATGATCACATTTCATGGTTTGTGTCAGAATAATGTGTATAAATGTATATAGAAGTTATCATCTTACTCAAATTCTTATGTAAGAGTTTGCTACAACTATGAACTGTTTTAACCTCTTGTTACACATCACATATGTGTGTTTCCTAACTTCTCTGACCTTATTTCTTCTATCAGCAGGTATGTGTGTGTTGTAACCTCCACTGTGAATCGTGGGAAGTAATAAGGAGGATCCGCTCTTATCAGAAGGAGCTCGTTTAATGTCAACAATGTCGATGTAGCAATCAAGACAACCTTGGGTGTGAAACTAAAGCTAAAATGGTGGACTTTTATGCTAGGTTTTTGACCTCATGATGTAGCTCATAGATACCACAATTGATGTATAAAACAAATTTAAACAGACCTTTTTTGGTCTGAACACAATTCTAATAAAACTTATGACAGACTAAATTCACTTTCAAGAGTGAAAAATGGTTTTGGGAAATTAATGTCTAACGGTTCTAACCCCTTCACCCATGTGCTTGTAACCTTCACAGACTCCATGAATTGATGCCCATCTCCTAAGTATTTGGTCACATGATCAATTTCTTTTACCATTTCCAAGCAACAGGGGGTGGCTCAACTTAGCCTCTGGCTCAACTCATCCCACTTTCCCCTACTCTGAGGTTCAAATCTGGACTTAGACACTCAGCTGAAATTATTTCTTGTCATTTGAGATCGGAAATGGAATGTCTGTCTTGTGTCAGCTTATGTGCAACTCTAACATAAAGAGTGATGTTAGGGTTTTTCATAATTTACAGACAACTATCTAGTAACTATTAATGTTGGGTGTCAGTGTTTGCAAGTTATAAATTGTGAGATAAACTTTGAGTTTGAGTGATCCCAGAATGAGTCTGCCAGCGGCTGGCTTCTCCAATGTTAGTTGAGAATTACATGAGGGGGACACAAGATCAAATAGCCTACTCAAATCATTAAATCAGTAAATGGGGAATCTCCTGCCAAACGCACTAGAAACTTACAAGACAGAAACATTCTACTATGTACTTTGTTGCTTGTTTTTTTTACTTAAAAAAAAAAAACTCTCGCTCAGATTTGGGGTCCAAAACATATGATCACATTTCATGGTTTGTGTCAGAATAATGTGTATAAATGTATATAGAAGTTATCATCTTACTCAAATTCTTATGTAAGAGTTTGCTACAACTATGAACTGTTTTAACCTCTTGTTACACATCACATATGTGTGTTTCCTAACTTCTCTGACCTTATTTCTTCTATCAGCAGGTATGTGTGTGTTGTAACCTCCACTGTGAATCGTGGGAAGTAATAAGGAGGATCCGCTCTTATCAGAAGGAGCTCGTTTAATGTCAACAATGTCGATGTAGCAATCAAGACAACCTTGGGTGTGAAACTAAAGCTAAAATGGTGGACTTTTATGCTAGGTTTTTGACCTCATGATGTAGCTCATAGATACCACAATTGATGTATAAAACAAATTTAAACAGATCTCTTTTGGTCTGAACACAATTCTAATAAAACTTATGACAGACTAAATTCACTTTCAAGAGTGAAAAATGGTTTTGGGAAATGTTGTGTCTAACGGTTCTAACCCCTTCACCCATGTGCTTGTAACCTTCACAGACTCCATGAATTGATGCCCATCTCCTAAGTATTTGGTCACATGATCAATTTCTTTTACCATTTCCAAGCAACAGGGGGTGGCTCAACTTAGCCTCTGGCTCAACTCATCCCACTTTCCCCTACTCTGAGGTTCAAATCTGGATTTAGACACTCAGCTGAAATTATTTCTTGTCATTTGAGATCGGAAATGGAATGTCTGTCTTGTGTCAGCTTATGTGCAACTCTAACATAAAGAGTGATGTTAGGGTTTTTCATAATTTACAGACAACTATCTAGTAACTATTAATGTTGGGTGTCAGTGTTTGCAAGTTATAAATTGTGAGATAAACTTTGAGTTTGAGTGATCCCAGAATGAGTCTGCCAGCGGCTGGCTTCTCCAATGTTAGTTGAGAATTACATGAGGGGGACACAAGATCAAATAGCCTACTCAAATCATTAAATCAGTAAATGGGGAATCTCCTGCCAAACGCACTAGAAACTTACAAGACAGAAACATTCTACTATGTTCTTTGTTGCTTGTTTTTTTTTTACTTAAAAAAAAAAAACTCTCGCTCAGATTTGGGGTCCAAAACATATGATCACATTTCATGGTTTGTGTCAGAATAATGTGTATAAATGTATATAGAAGTTATCATCTTACTCAAATTCTTATGTAAGAGTTTGCTACAACTATGAACTGTTTTAACCTCTTGTTACACATCACATATGTGTGTTTCCTAACTTCTCTGACCTTATTTCTTCTATCAGCAGGTATGTGTGTGTTGTAACCGCCACTGTGAATCGTGGGAAGTAATAAGGAGGATCCGCTCTTATCAGAAGGAGCTCGTTTAATGTCAACAATGTCGATGTAGCAATCAAGACAACCCTGGGTGTGAAACTCACACATTACTCACAGGAAAGTTTCCTCATCTGGTCCCAGGACACAGGATATAAATCTTTCCAGACTTGTTTGCACTTTCAGGTTACCTAACTGATCTGACTGGAGGTTGACCAAACCTCTGACTCTTCACGATTGGCCAATTCGGAGACAGAGACAGAGTTTTTATTACCTTTCAAACTGATGCCATCGCTGACCATCTAAATAAACATTCATGCCTCAATCCAGGTCTCCCATTTGAGATTTACCATCTTAAACATACAAACCCCATGGGCTCTATTTTCGTGCCTCGCCGGAGATGTGCCGCAAGTCAGGTGTAAGTCAGGTCCGCCGCACCGACAAGGCGTTCCCAAGCACAATTTGGTATTTTGGTGAGCGGCGCAGCCCGGCGTAAGTATCCCCCCTACCTAACTCAGCTCCTCCCAGCGGCGCAAGTCATAGGGAGGGAGGAGAGAGGGCATGGAGTGGGTTTAACACAGCTGAGACCTGTTTTCACCAATCACATAAGCTCCTCTCCTTGCCTTTAAATCCGCCACCGGCGAGGCGTATTACTATTTTCGTGAAGTAGTCAAAGAGATCAAGCGCTGTCTGGAGACAGTAATGCCAAACACCCTTTTCCACAAATAAAGACACTCACATAAAGTTGCATATATTCAAACCTCACGTGACAAAGGTGGGTTGAGCGCACAGATCACAACATAAACTCTGAATTAAACTTTTGTTTTTCTTTATTTTCCCACCATTAAGGGTGGGTGGTGCCCCTTTTCAACGAGTGCATAAATGTCATAATTTGGGATTATTAATCTTCAGACATTTATTATAAATTCAAATCGCTTCATCACCTTGACCCTCACATATTATCTGTTGTTCATAATTA